CTAAACGCGGAGGTTGAAATTCGCACCTGGCCGTATGTGTTTACACGTTGCGCCTCGAAATTGCTCATTATATGAAAGGTCACTCACCCGACCGAAGAGCCCTGTCTATCAAAAACTGTTGAGATAATGGAGTGATGAGTTATTGGTCTAAGAAAATAAGTTTTCGCAATGACTTGAATTGCTGTCCATGCATATCGCCAGCAACATAACCACGTTTTCATGCCGTACATCTCAAGGCTGCTCGTGAGAAAAAGCATGGACTTCGATGGCAAACGATTGGGTCCAACAATGCTATTGTATATCTTGGTTTTGGCAACCGCCGTCGTCCAAGATCCAATCCTCTACCTGGAGTGATCAGGAGGATTGGATCTCGGATGACTTTCAAGTCAATATTTTTGTCGTCGCTTCATGACCATGTTTCAAATCTGGGTCGGTAGTAAACCTGTCGAAACGCGCAGCTCAAACTCAGAGTTAACTCTGAGTTAACACGCACCTTTTAGGGCCATTAACACCTGCATAAACAAACCAAATTGAGGAAAGGGTGATGTGGCAGGATGCCCCGCAAGACGTACTTTATACCAAGTACGGAAACGTAGCCTAACTTGTTCCACGCGAGACGCTAAGCGAGTTATTTCAGGCTCGCGCGAAACTCGGAGTTCACTCTGAGTTTATTTAGAGAAAGAGAAATAGTGTGCAAACGCATAGGTGCAGCGAGAAAGTCCTCCGGGGTAGATTTTGCTCCGAGTTTCATCAAGCATGATGGGGGTATCATGGTGCATCGTTAAAACAAGGATTTGAAATTTTGTAAAATTTTGGTCCCGGGGGTTATCGGACGTGCTGATCACGAATCTGATGCTCATTTTTCGCCATTCGCCCACATAACGAGATTACGGTAGGGATACGGTAGTTGGGCGAAAATCACGAAATTGGCTGAAACTTGGTACACTGGGGTTTTTTGGCGCGCTGATTACGACAATGATGTTCACTTTTCGCTACGGGGCCACATAACGAGGTTACGGTAGGGATACGGTAGTTGAGCGAAAATCACGAAATTGGCTGAAACTTGGTACACTGGGGTTTTTTGGCGCGCTGATTACGACAATGATGTTCACTTTTCGCTACGGGGCCACATAACGAGGTTACGGTAGGGATACGGTAGTTGAGCGAAAATCACGAAATTGGCTGAAACTTGGTACACTGGGGTTTTTTGGCACGCTGATTACGACTATGACGTTCATTTTTCACCATTCGCCCACATAACGAGGTTACGGTAGGGATACGGTAGTCGGGCGAAAATCACAAAATTGGCTGAAACTTGGTCTGGCGGGGTTGTTCGCTGCGCTAGTTTGGATATGAGTATCATTTTCACCGCGGAGAGACAGAGCAGGGTTACTGTAAGAATTTGGTGAAAGCCAGAGTCACATAACAGATTCAAAATTGGTTGGCTCAGTGGCGTTGCGTGGTGTGATGATTACGATCACGTCGCGCGTTTTTCACTACAGCGGTGTATAGCGGAGAAGAGATACGGTAGACTACCCAAATTCACAGGATTTCACGAAAGTTTGACTTCGCTGATTCCGCACGTTAATCACGAATACCGTAGCCGCTTGAAAATACCTTTCAAAGAGGGGTTTCGGTGGATTCACGAGGTAGATGGATAAAAAAATCTCACTAGAGCTTTTTTCGGAGGAAGTTCAGCTAAATATTTAGTTACCAGTGACGAGTGCAGGATTTTCGTCCGGGGGGGGGGCTACTAAATTTTTCAAGTGAAGGTGCGTGGCGTTGGTCACGCACTCAGGCAGTTTTTTGGGCTGCTCCTTAACATTTTTGCTGGCCCATACCCCTGAATTCTGAGAGAAGGGGGCGTGTCAGCAGCCACGCCCCCAAAAATTTTTTTACAAGGCTAATTCAAATTTTTGAAAAATTTTAAAAGATAACTTTATTATTTCCAAGAACGAACGAGTTATTTGCGCATTTTTATAACCCAGTAAGTGAATTTTGAAAATTTTCGTGACCCATTCTCGGGGGAAGGGGAGCCTCCCTTTTGGTCCGCCACTGTTAGATACTTATTATTTCTTTTTTACTGAAAGGCTATGCGATGGGGTTACAGTAGATGTTTTGGACTAAACTTATTGAACTGCTTAAAAATCGCTACTGAGTTCATTTGGCAGTGCAATCATAAACATGATGTCCGTTTTTAATGAAGACAAGCTCGCACACCCGGCTCCGCTCGGCCCTGTCAAAACACTGTAATAAAAATCCCATCCCTAGCCCTGTACAGCCTTTCCCTTTGCCCACTTCTACATTTCTTTTCCCGTTCCGTGTTGTTTTCGAAATCAGCATGCCCACTTACTCCCCTGTGCCAACTCCCAGCCCCGTAGGTGAACTTTGCAAAAAATCGATAAAAATCGATATTGATCGATGACGAAAAGTAGCCTATGACACCCACCGGGCCCGAAGTGTATGTGTGCCAAGTTTGGTCCAAACTAGTTCAGAAATAAAAATTTCTATTCCGCACATACCGTACAGACATACATACAGACACACTCAGCTTTATATACAAGATTATTACGGTGGGCATATACGGAAGACGAAAATCTCAGGTTGAGTTGAACTTTTTAGCAAAAAAAAATGATAAGAGGGAGCATTTTTCAAATTACTTCTTATTTATTGTGTCAACAGAAACCCTCGGAAAATTTTTTCGAAATATCTTATATTATTTAAAAGTATTTTAAAATTCTAACAGTCGACCTAGGAATGAAGACTTGGTTTCTACTACTGTTTACTAGTCTAATTTCACAAAATAATGGTCAATTTCAAGTTTACAAATTATAGGTATAGCTCATTCGCAAAATTTTGGATACTAACAGACTTTTGAATTTTATCAAGTATAGTATCAAAGTATGGGGTGATGGGAGGGGGATGGGTTGTTGGGTTACTGTCTATGTCCATGTTTTATCCTGCTACTTCTTTAAGAATCTTTATGATTTATTATGGCTAGGCACCAGTGGCGGATTGAGGGGCGGGGGGAAGGGGGGGGGAGCGAAACTTACCTACATGGGCTATAAAAATGTGCAAATATGTTTATCTTTATAAATAATCAAAATAATTTTTAGAATTTTTAAAAATTCAAATCAGCCTTTTAAAGAATTTTTGGGGCTTTTTTCTAGATTTTAGGGGCTATAGACCCGCTAAAATTTTGAGATGCACCCCAAAAAAATTTTCAGAGTCATGGCTAACGCGCACCTTTACTTGAAAAAAATTTCTGTCACGTTCCCCCCCCCCCGGTACCGAAATCCTGGGATCGCCACTGCTTGGCACCTCACAGGCACGCCTAACACCTCTCCACGTGTCTTGACATGTGAGATGTTAATTACGGGGATAAATTAAGCAATTGCCGCGAATCCACAATAGTGGTTCTTTAGCCTGTGGTCTAGTAGTAGGCACTTCGCGCCAAGCAACGGAAGTTCGAGTCCCAGCTTAGTCGCAGCGTTTTGCGATGATGCGTGTGGCGGCTCCTCAACAACTAGAGCGGAGCCTCAAGTAGCAGAACGTTTCAGAAACGAAACTCGCAGTTAACTCGGAGTTTCAAAACGAAACTCAGAGTTAACTCTGTGTTAACGCGCAGCTTTAAACTCAGAGTTTCGGCCAGATTACTACCGGCCCTGAAGTGCAGGTTGCGTATAAATCTCAAAAAGTCGTTCTATGAAATCTTTTATGAAAAGTGCGGAGAACTTCAATATCTAAGGCCCTTCGCTCTATGCCACTGATCAGCTCCATCGGTTAAAAGGAGTGGTGAATTTAAATGAAAATTATGCTATTTCAAGGTTTGCTTTCAAGAATTTTCTGTTGAATGAACTGATTTTGGCCACAGACAGTACACAAATACATGGTCTGCTCGCAATCTGAAAACGGTTGCCGGTCTGTAAACGCTGCCTCAAGCTTCCTAAGCGTATTGAGACTTATTGATAAAAATAATTAGATTAAATAATAATTTTGCATGCTTTAATCGACAGTCAAAGCCACAGTTCCAAATTGAAGGAAGTGGTAAATGGAAAACAAACTATAGTGTACTTCTGCGACAATCTATGCATTAGGTTGTCTCATAAGTTTTTTTTTTAAATTTTGGCTTTCTACCGCAATAAATCGCACTAAAACCGAGAATACTAAACTTTTTAGGCTTTCAAAAAAGCGATGCTGCGCTGCTTCACATAGGTAGGTGTATACAGCAGACCTTAGAAATACATCGGTGAATTTTAAGCTTCCTGAAAGCGTTAGTTTCCGAGAAATATTGAATTCAACATAAAATACAGTAGCAAAATGAGCTAAATTCAATATTTCTCGGGAACTAACGCTTCCAGAAAGCTGAAAAATTACCGATGTATTTCTAAAGGCCTGTAGTATACACCTATCTATGTGAAGCAGCGCAGCATCGCTTTTTTGAAAGCCTAAAAAGTTTAGTTTTCTCGGTTTTTAGCACAGAATCAAACACAGCAAAGGCATATATGAATGTATTATGTGAAGATGCATACGCGTGAGCTGAGGATTTGACAAGTCTTCTTTGAACAAAGATATAAAAATTATTTAAATTTTTCGGGCATCCGGAAGTTCTCAGGTTGTGGCTTCTGATTTCTGATGTGCTGAAGCTGGTGCAAGCTTATACATGCCATCTAATAGAGCTTGCTTTGCTCTATCGAACGATGTCCTGCATCTTAATCAAAATTGAGAAATATGTGAATTATTGCGGTAGAAAGCCAAAATTAAAAAAAAACTTATGAGACAAACTAATAGACATTTATATCTTATCTCAGCAGACCATGAAGTTCCTTTTGCTGAAATGCGCTATCTCATAAAACCATTTTGAGCATGACTTTCACTTCGACTCTAGAAAAGTTTTTCAAAAGTTATAACCAAGAATAAAGTGGCTGTCAGCTTCTGCTTCAGAGACTGAAATTACAGGCGATCATTATGCTCTAAGGTGATTGAATGTTGATTTACAGCTGCTACATTTTGGCGATAGAGTGCGAAACATAACATGGTTCTCGGATGAACTATACGAGGAGATGACTGATATTGACACCAACATTACACGTTTCAAGAATGGAATTTTCAGTAAGTCTAATTATAATGCAAATTTCAGCTTCCGACATCCTTCGTAGCTCCTTTAGAAGACTGCAGCAATCAATTGGCAGAAAAGCGTTAATTCTGTAATTGTCGGCTTCTTTAATAGGTGGCTATGCAGCGTATTTAAGGGAAAAGTAAACAAACTGAAAATCGTCGTCTCGATTGAAAATGAAAATATAGTGCATTTGAAAATGTAATGCATTTGATCAATTTGTTTCCATCTTACATATCGGAGCTTCAACCAGCTTACTGAGTTCAGATACTCATAAACTCTAAAGTCCATAACGAGATTTTATCTCATAATTATGCGTCAATTATGCCCTGGCTTCAATGCGTCTCCTTGCTAAGTCCAAATTTCTTGGTAAATGACAAAAGAGATCGGCAATGCTGCATGCTATTGCTTTCATCGCGTCTCCCTCTCTTGCGCATATTGTCTTGCAAGTGTTTTGTTGAATGCAAATTTTCAGATGTTTATATGTGTTGTTTGCATATACTTTCTTCACAGAATCAAAGTTCTGAAATTAGAAAGCACTGCGAGCAGGACAAGCTAACATCTGAATTTGGTCCTATACTGAAAAGTAGTCCGCGATTGATGAACAAATCACCTCAAGCAGCTATGCGAACATGGTAAGTAGGCGGTTAGCGTCTTTGTGTACACATTCGAGGAAGCTCCTCTCCAATCGCGCTTGCGAGGAGCTGCTTGATATAGTTCAGCTGTTTTCCAGCGATCAACCCACTTGCAGCAAAATTGCCCATAAACGCGCTCGCATGGGTCCATCTTGTGTAGCTGATTGTACCCATGTCCCTTCAATAAATGGGCTATAATTGTAAAAAGTGGTTATAATATCGATCAATTCTTAGCTCAATCTTTTTAAGGATCTGTGTTGATTCGATAAAAAACAAGTTGCAGAAGAAACTATGTTCTTGTTCAACGCATTTACTGCTATATCTGCTTTGTTTGGAGGAGCAAAAAGGGATCTGGATTACTTTTTGAGCGATTGATAGCGACTGATGTCAAAAATCAAGAACTGGTGTAAACCCAAGCTGATCACAAATAAGCTTAGATATGAAGCTATCAGTACTTGGCTTGACAAATCTGAGCTCAATGACCGGGACATAGTAGGCAGGGGCTGAGTAGGGGTTGAGCGTGAGGTCAGGCGCGCCCGCCCTGAGGGGTCGTATTGGTGGTAAGACTGAGGGAGGGGGGGGGGGGGTCGTAATCAAGAATCGAATCCGCTCAAAACTAAGGAAATACTACGATCGAGCAAGGTGAAGAAGAAAAGCTTTAGACCGATGCTTATCACAACTCCAATAGAATTGAGGGGATGACTGTCGTGACCAGCTTATTGATTGACTCCATCGAAGTTTCAGCCAATTTTCTCTCCATCCCTTACCTGACACTACTAAGGTCACCAAAGAAGCTTGCTGTGTAAACTGAGTATAGTTTCCGTTTCAGAACATCAAATCACCGCTACTAGCACTACAGACCATTACTTATTACATTTTCTAGCGTTTTCTATCGTCCAAAAAGCCTGAAATACAAACATGATTTACTTGGTTTCAAAAGTGAAAGAAGTTAGCTTTTTTATACTGATAACAAAGTAATTTTTCCTGTCAGTCTATACTAGAAATTAGAGTTTATATTGCTTCCAAATATTGGATTAGGAAGTACTGCGCCCGGCATGAGTCGGTTTTTAGGGTTTCTGAAAACGAAGTCTCCCCTGACTTTCGGAAGTTTTACGAAGTCCCTTTTGACCTACCTGCTTAGGAGAAGATGAAAAAAAAAAGATTTACTATTTTGAAAGAAAAGACTTAAGATAAGAGTGAAAATTGGAGCTGAATACTACGCATGCACAAGACTTTGGCATTAGAGCGCGATATTTAACAAAGCGAGAAAAAATGAAGGCAAAAAACAAAGGAAAGGCAATGATATGAAAATTTCTTCATGCCCAGGGATAGATTTTTGACCGGGGAATCCGTCCATGCTAAAAAGATCCGAAACTTATGTGAAGTGACGAATGATGCTCCAGACCATCTCAGATCGTCTGGTGGCCGTCTGAAGACGATCTAATTTTGGAAAAGATATTACTTCACATAATTTTGCCTTGATTTCAAATCGCGCGCACTCTTCGCCATGCACGATAGAGCATGTCAATCGTGTGATAACCTGTCCGAAAAGCTTGTGTTCGACTAAATGGCGCTTATTCTTGGTTTTCGGCCCCGACTCGTCAAACGATATCTTCTTTGCTGTTTGCTTCAAAAATGAAGTCCAGCCTGCTTCCAGACGAACTGTGCCGGGCCCTGAGTACTGCCAATAATCCAAACATCGCGTTTTTTACCTTGAGCGCTTCAACTTCGCGGATTATCACGAAGCCGAAACAAGTCGAGCAAAGCTCAAACACTACTGTAGAATGTTCGAGGTTTGTGCTAGCGAATTACATAAAACTTGGATGAGAAAACGTTTTCGGAGATGAAGTTAATGGGGTCGGGCGCAACCCTCAAAAGGTCAGGCCGCTTGAGCTGTAGCCTTGACCCACTTAACCTGTCCTCAAAATTCAGAAATCAGTCCATTCTTGGTATGAGTATTGAGCCCATAGCCTCTTCCTGCCTTACAAGGGAAGTTCGCGGAATCGAAATGGCCGATTGATATGTGGTATACATCCGGGCTCGGGGCTCGGGAGGTTAGTATCAAATATGCGGCCATTAGCTGCGACGCGTTACTCTGGAGCAAGTTACAGCCTCTGAAAGTTTTTGGCGTATGCATGTGTAGCGAACGCATAGATGCTACCATCGTGGTCGTGTGGTGTAGTGGTTAGTGCCTCGGACTCACAGGTAACCCATGAGGGTTCGAATCCTGTTGCATCTTTTGCGTTCTTCTCAAATTCCATTTTTTACCTGTTTTATGTGTTTTTGAGGCAAAAAATGACACAAACGGCTTACGGGATGTTTTTTTCACGAACATTCGACCAATGTTTCAGATGCAAAATTCCCGGGCAATTTTTTGCGTCGACAAATTAAACTTTATCAAAAGTCTATATCACATCGAATTGCTCATAGATAACCAACTACTGGGAGCATATGTGATAATCTATGACAAAATGGTTGAAGCACAGGTATTTCTCGCAATGTGTCGTTGGCCTCTTCTATCATCGTCTTCGTCCGATTCGATATCGAGGGCATTAGTAGCTGCTTCGCGCAATATGTATGTGAACTTGTCGATTACTTTTTGTTTTTTCCCAGTCGGCTTACGCATAATGTCGCAGGAGCCAAACTCCTTTGACAAATATGTTAAAACCAATTTTGGGCAGAACATGGCAACGACAACGACTTTTGAGCGACGGCTTGTCAAATGACTTTGAAGATTTGCCAAATTCTCACTTCCACATATTATCTTCGGTTGCACGTAGCGTTTACGTGACAATCTCGAAGTTGTATCACATCGTACTATTGATTCTTGCTAATGAGCTACTTGTGAGAATGACGTCGCAGGTTCTAATTAGTAGAGTTTAACGAAGCGTATGCGTCATTTTTTGCCTCAAAAACACATAAAACAGGTAAAAAATGAAATTTGAGAAGAACGCAAAAGATGTGCACAGCAATAGGATTCGAACCCTCATGAGTCGCCCATGAGTCCGAGACACTAACCACTACACTACACGACCACGATGGTAGCATCTATGCGTTCGCTACACATGCATACGCCAAAAACTTTCAAGGGCTGTAACTTGCTCGAGAGTAGCGTCGCAGCTAATGGCCGCATATTTGATACTAACCTCCCGAGCCCCGAGCCCGGATATATACCACATATCAATCGGCCATTTCGATTCCGCGAACTTCCCTTGTTAGTGAAAATTTGGAGCAAAACACTGCACCCCTGGGGAAATTCTGGCTCGTTCAACAAGGCGATTCACATCAAAATCCAAAGTCAAATTGCATGTACTTGTAATGTGCAATCACAGAAAAGCGATCATACAATCTGTTGAAGCTCAAAAATTCTGCAGGAGCAAGGCGATTCACATCAAAATCCAAAGTCAAATTGCGTGTACTTGTAATGTGCAATCACAGAAAAGCGATCATACAGTCTGTTGAAGCTCAAAAATTCTGCAGGACGGACTCGTCTTCTCCAGAGTGTCACATTCTGAGGTTCAAGAGGTGGAAGGGATTGAGAGGAGGTGTTTGGTGGCTCTCCTGGAAGGGGAGGGGGGTCGTTTTTGAACGACTTGTGCCTGACCTTTTGCTCAACTCTGGGCAAGGGCTTCTGAGCGCATCAAGAAAAGATTAAGGTGGTGCAAATTTTATGCTTGTTTCTCTGGGCCTTCTTCTCAAAAGCATCAAAATCAAGGCTGACGAGGTTGATGGCCCCTAATTGAACGTGGTCAAATCTCGCTGCTCCCAAGGCAAGAAAGCCGCATCAGATTACAGCGCAGCCACGCTGGCTTCGCTTATCAACGTGAGTGGTCTGAGATAACAAGTCCAGATTTGGATTTCAACTTAATAGATTTATGACCCTTTGCAAATACTCTCAGCAATTCATTACACAGAAGTTGGAAAATCAATGCGGAATTTTAGAACCTACTACATAAAATTAAGAAACAGACCATTTCAATTTTTTTCATCCTCTTTGTGTTTTGGACTTGCATCGAAGTAACGGGCCCTAGGGAATTAGGATTAGTCAAAGAGCGTCTCACAAATTTCGTTGTTTCCAATCCAGATTTTGCTCATATACCAATCAATACAGTAAGCGCGGGCTATGAGATTCATTTAATGCTTTTAATAATCTTGATTGCATTCAGAAATACGAATTGTTCTAAAAATAAGTTCTGGGGCAGTATGTATCCATTAATGTCTCGAAACTCTCGTTTAAATGTTTCGAAACTCTCGTTGAAGTTCCTACCGTTATCCTACAGTGGTAAAAAGCGGTGAAAGACTTGTCGCGTACTGGAAATCTAACTTAGTTTCTTTGCCTACTAGTTTTAAGCTAAATGAAAAATGTCGTAAAAAAGAGCTTTTTATGATTGAAAGTGAGTGCTTATTTTAGAGATACCCTGTTGAAAATTTTGAAAAGGCTATAGCTTGCTGATGTGGAATTCAGTAGAACAAACGCACAGTTTGTACCAGTCTGATAATGAGAGATATGTATTACACAGGACGTAGAAAGAAAAATGAAATAAGGCAGACATAACCAAGACCGACTTTGCAATTGTACAAATTATACCGCCAATAAAATGAGGGCTATAAAAAAGTCTAGGGAGATTGTGGGACGCTTTCCTGCTCGTATAAAAACTCTCACGGTGAAGGCAGTACATATGCAAAAAAGTATGAAAATATTAGGCTGAACCGAAAAATCTGTAGCACCACGTTCAAAAAATCGTAACTTCTTCCTATCGCAATGATTTTGCATAGCTATTTTTTGGAAAGAGCAATCCATGCTCTTTGTAGTGACACCTTGGCCGCTATCTACTTCACTCTGAATGTAGAGATAGAATTGGAGAAAGGATCATTGCAAGTCCGGAATTTTGAAGCAAGCCCGTTAAAAATCCAAAACTGTGCCGTAAAATTCAAAAAAGCCAGCATCCTAGATTGTTTGAACCCCTCTTTCTAGTTGTGCACGATTTGCGCTGATCGAGCTCATCTTCAAAAAGTTGAGTTTCGGGAAAGATGCCAAAAATTAGTTTCTCAAAAAAATTATTTTTTGACAGTTTTTTTCGAAAATTACAACTTTTCGAAAAACAGCTCGACGCGAATCTTGCACAGCTAGAAAGAGGGGTTCAAATAGCCGAGAGTACTGACTGTTTTGAATTTTATGGCACATTTTTGGATTTTTAAAGGGCTTCAAAATTCCGAACTTGAAGTGTCTCCTTTCTCCAGTTTTATCTCTGCATCCAAAGCATAGTAGATAGCAGGTGCCACTAGAAAGCACAGGGATTGCTCTTTCCAATGAAACTTTAGCCATGCAAAATCCTCGCGACAGGAAGAAGTTACGGTTTTGGAAACGGTGCGACAGAACTTTCAGCTCAACCCAATATTATGTATGTGGCACAGAGCCCGTTCCAGCTGACTCGGAAAAAATTTTTAGCACGGTTTTCATTCACAAAAGTTTTCATCAGTATTTGAATCATATTTCGGGTCTTCCCACGGGCATGCGCACAAAAATTTAGTGTCATACGATTGCCTTTTGGATGTAAACAACTATTGTTTGTTTGGGGTAGAGTGTGCCGGTTGCATGATGCAAGCATGCTGGTGGCATACCAACGGCATGCTTTCGGTTTCTCTTCGAGGATCCCGCAAAAATGATATCCCATTTGTTTTTCCCAGAGGCGATATCCAGCTTGACCAGATTTGCGTCAGGCCTGGTTCAGGTGCTATTCCGTAAAGTTGGCTTTAGCTTAGGTTTTATGCGAATCATCTTCTCATGTAAGCACTGTAGGATTGATGTAGGAACTTTCAGCTTACCGTCTCAAAAAATTTGCAAGAAATCTGAGATATCTAGCAGTCTAGTTTACGTTTTTTATCTAGTTTACTCGCACTGTGTTTTTAGTGCATTTTTGAAAAAAAAAGGTTTTCTGGGCTTACAGTAAAAAAGCAGCCGTTACAGTTCAAGCGTGTTAACTTGCGTAGGAAGCATGCCTCAAGAATGCACACAGCATTTTTATTTGTGCCTTTCATTAGCCTCTTGGAAGTTTTTGATTGCTTGGATCGATTTCTAGTGTGTAGTATGGTTCCCAAATCAAAATCTCATTGATCTTACCGTAATCCTGCAGTAATGGAGTAATGGCGGTTTACATCATATTGTAATTCTGATGGATCTACAGAATGGTTTCTAAATTCCTACAAGAGACTTTTTGAGAAGAGGGATATTAGCGATTCATCAGTGCATACATTTGGGACAACTGTAGATTACGAAAAGTATGTTTCAAAATGGAAGTTAAACAAGTTTTCGACGTTTTTATTTATGAAGTACACCACAGCCTTATTCCTGAAAGTCGCCTAAAGCGATTCTTTTGCAAAAAAAAATTCGCTTGTAACAAAAACCCCTTACACGCGCAAAAAAATGCATTTTTTCAAAAGTCTGCGAGAAACTTTTTCTTCCATTAGTCTTTTACCAGAACCTCGATATATTCTCCTTCTCAACTGGCATTGGTTTTTTTTGCACAGCTTTAAATTTCGTTTTTGTTACGTCTCCACGTTTGCGAACGATTCATTTATCATTCTGCCACTGAAAACAGCTGATTCGTTGATTTCTTAGCTCTAGATACATAACCAATGACAGCGTGGAGCCCGGAGCTTGGTATGAGTGCTAATGCTGGATGAAGCTTGTTAAATTACGTGCAAGTGCTTTTGCCGAATTACTTCATGCTATTACTTTCGCTACTTACTATGACTAATTTGCGATGATCTGGAAACCCAAAGGCCTGATTCAACATAACTGTTTTTCGAAACTCGTCCAATGCTAGCAAACAATGTAGTCTTTACTTTACAGAAAAATCATCCGAACTTGACGGTCTGGATATTGGGCGAGAAATTCAGAAACTCCGTGGTGGATCACTATTTAATGAGCTCAATAACCATATGCAGACCAAGCTGAACTGCAGCAGCAGCAACGACGAAGAACCTTCACCTCTATGCAAATGGATGAATGGACTAAAGTATTATGCTTATTCAGGGGTGGGATCGACTTATACACTTATAGAGGAACAGTTTAGTTTAGATTATTCCAGCACGACACAACATTATATGCCTTTTTAACAATATTAGGACTGATCCAGTCCGATTTGGCAATACCGAATGGATATCCTGCATATTCCGCAGCTGTATTTTTAGAATTATGGAAAAATAAGACTAGTAATCAGCCATATTTCCAAGTTAGAAACATACTTATTTGACTTGTGTGTGAGAAAATGACTTAAGATTATGTACTATCCAAATCGTAACAACACGGAACACACTATTTATCCTATATCACAAGAGATCAAAGCTTGTAATGGGAAATCACTGTGCGAGCTTCGCGTGTTCGAGGAGCTTGCCGAAAAAACAAAGCCGGATAAGGATATGATTGAAGTAAGTGAATTTGGAAGTTTTACATTTTTTAAGTTACATTGTTTTGAAAGCTATGTGAGAAAAAAAGAAAGTTTGCAATCAATTTCTCTATTACAGTGGTGTCGCATGGATTCGGATGTTGCAAATGCAGGACTGTTCTCCATCTTGACATTAGGTATCTAAGATATCTAAGATAACGCTTTCCGTCTGACTCATCTCAGCTAATTTTTTAGCTGCCGCTTTTCTGTCCCTTTTATGGATGAACTCCTAAGACTGATCGATTAATAGCACAAATCATATAGATGTACAGAGTGGCAATCTCAGTTGATTTATATTGTATTGGGCGAAGAACTCAAATAAATTTGCAAGTTTAATAACAAGGTAATCTGTGGTTGCTATATCTTTTTGGTTTCAGCACGCTTTTGTGGAACATACAGTACTCGTTTCCTCCCTTTGCTACGAATAAATTCCCCAAAATCTTTTTTATGCATCAACTATCGCTGTTAACTTGTAATACTTCGTAAGCCACCAAAACCTCTAACCTTCTTACCTTCATGTACCATTGAGTAGGTAGCGGACTATATGCCGCCGATAAGCTTCTCTCCTCGTGAACAGCTCGTACAAATCTGTAACTCTAATGAAACTGAAGGCTTTGTCGCAGATGCCCGCATATGACCACCCCCTTACAGCGACATATAGTCCTCCACTCCCACTACAAGCTCACCAAAGAAGCAATGTCATATCATAAAAGCCAGCTGTAGATTACATGCTCACTCCTAAAATTACGCTTCATCCGGATCCTTATTCAGATTCCTCATATTTGTGTACTTCCCTGTAATCAAAAGAGCAATTTATTTGATTACACTGGTAGGGTGTGGGTTTTTGCTTACACTCTTCATAAATATTTTCCTAAAACCATTGTGGTGAGGCATGTCATTTCGAATTCAGCTCCTCAGCAACGTTTATATTATCAACTTTCAGTAACTGTACATTATAACTATTGTGTTAACTTCATGTTACTATTCGAAAAGGTATTCAAGAACATCAGTATTTCATAAGGATCTTCAGATTTTATTTTGCACAGTGTTACAGGGGGAGAAACAGCTACATGTGCACTAATAAAGAATGTGTTACGCAATTGAATAAAACATTAATTTTAAGTAGAATTGTATTTGGTTGTACAAATGTTTTAGCGAATTCATGATAAACTGTGTTCGCTCCTTTCAAACTCGTCAATGACTGATTGTGCAAGAACATCCAAGGGTGCTGACATGATTCGACTCCTATCTATAGGCAGAGTAAGAAGATGTTCGTTGAGGCGCCTGCATTTTTCTCCAAAATCTGGGCCATGCGAGAAATCGAGCTGAAATTCGCATGTGTATTTGTCGCAGCCTCACCTCAAACAATCATAGGATCCTAATTTGTGTTGCTTGTGGCGTAGGTCGAAAATTACAGTGAAAAAATAAGGAGAATAAAGCAGTCTAAGGCCTAAGGCATACCTCACGCGATTCGGCCGAATCGCCACTATCACACGACTTGTCGATTTGCCAGATTTCTATAAATTTATTATGCGTACTTCTCGGACATATTTGGGTAGCTTGTATAACTTGTTGCAAACTAGGCAAGCAAAAGCAGCGCATTAACGACGAATTACGAAGAGTCGCTGTTGTGCCAAATAGCGCAGCGACCGGAATCGCGCGAGGTATGCCTTAGGCCTAAGGCTTGTTTGCATTAACCTCCCTGTGGGAGAGAAGCTCCCCCCCCCTCTCTTACGAAGTGGTAGCGGAGAAACGCCGCTCTTTCATTGTTCGGCACGCCGCTCCCCCTGATGATGTCGCAGTCGGTGCATCTGGGCCTAATTTCCAATTTGTAGAAAAAGCCTTCATGTATTAGTTGATGCATCATTGCCAAATGCGTGTGTTTGCGTGTTTATTGTCAAAATGTCCTTGCTTATAATCAGGAAGTAGGAGATTATTTTGTAATCACAGCGACTACAGTCTGTAGCAATTCTAACGGTCAAAACTGGCATGGCGGGTGTCCGCGTCGTTAGGGTCTCGCGGTCACTCCCACTTCTACGAGTGCAAAAATTCACGCCGCCGGTTCGGCCTGATCCCAATCGGAGCGGACTGTATGCATAAGCATAGCAAACTTCTGATGATAAACATATCGTGTGGGTTAGTTTAATGCAAAAGTTTTGTGTTTTTCAACACAGAAAGAAACAGAAACATAATTTTTTTTAGCGTTTACTACAAAAACAAACCAACAATTACCTTCCATCTCAACCTTAGCGGATGTGAAGCGGAGCTTGGAAGATTAAGGTAGTTTGGAAACTTGCTAGCAATGGAGTTTATCACCTAAATTGCTTAACTTCATAAGGGTACTGTCATATAAAATAATGAGTACTTCAACTCGGTTAGAACATGTCGTATACACTTCCAGCACCATAAGCATTCCATATCTGCAAAGCTCGGTCTAACTATTTATACGTTAAGTAAATCTTTTAACTTTTTCTGATATAGAAAGCATTTTTTGTTGCCATTAAACATATTTAAGCTTAGCCTTTTATCGGATATGGCCAGCAAGGAAGTAGGTTGTTTGTGACACATAAAGAAATGAACGCTCATTATTCACTTCTGGAAAATCAATTCTGCACTTCTGTTAAGTGTTGACCATAGCCTGTATTACAGAAATCGCTGCAGCGACGAAAACAACGTTTCCCATTGAAAAGTTGTTAGCAATATAGTTCACTTCACAATCCAGTCGTAAGAGGCAGCCCCTTACAGCAGGGATTATACGCGCACAGCTTCAGTTGCGTTCGTAGGGGCTGCTTAACGTCGCCGATGAGGATATGTGCGGAAAAGCGCATAAACTAAAAGTTTCATATCTTAAAGCTCCAAAAAGACCTGAACTCTTTTATCCCCTTCATGTATTGCTGCCTGCATTTACTATGCGAACAGATAAAGCAGCGGCTCGGCAAATTGGCAGCTGTAAAATATTCATCGTTGCCGATTTCCCTAACAAGAAAATGGTAAGAAATCGAAGTGGCAAATTCAAGCATGCTATTATTAGATGCAGCATAAAATGCTGACTCTAAATCTGTCTTCCTTATCTGCAGAACACCTTTGTGGATAAATAAGCCGTTGAAGGCCATTATTTTGCTAAGAAATCGTGCGTGTAAAAGGCAAACTTGGTTGTATAGAACCATTGTCGGCTCAGTGCTGGGACAAGACTTGCGAACTAGGTCACTTCCTATGGCTCGTACCTAGAGCTGAGTTAAAAGGGCAACAATGTACCTAATTTTGCAATCTTTGTGTACATTTTTTCCGTGGTACAGCTGCTTATAACTTCTTCTACAAAGGCGTTGTGCAGATATGGAAGAGATATGGAAGAAATACTTCAAATTAGCGTTCCATGCTGCATCGAAAGGTGGGCAGATTGTTTGCATTGGCCACTTCGACTCTGAACATTCTTGTAAGTGAGCTGAGTCCAAAACTGTGTTTTGCAGCTTCTGAAGTACTATTGATAACTCGCTTTTTTGGACGTGGAAAGTGTTGTTTGAACGAGGAGCGAAAGCCCGCCCTTTGAAGAGCGATTGGCTGCTGGAGCCAGTAATCCCATCGTCGCCAGATGGGTGTGGTAATTCCATCCATCTGGACCCCACGAGCCAAATGTTTTTTAAAAAACGGGCCTTTGCTCCCAGTAGAAACAGCAGTTTCCACGTCAAGAAAGGCAAGCTAGAATATCTTCAGAAGCTGCAAGGCACAGTTTTGAACTTAGCTCATCCTTAGAAAACGAGGACGATGAATAAGTGCCCATCTAACAAGCCAATGCCTTTTAACACTAGCGCATGGTTTTGTAAGCCGTTGTCCCGCTTTTTCTGTGATTCTGCGACGAAGTTCAAAGACCGTTTGAGGTTACCTTTCTTTTCTGAGATAAACATCCCCTAGGGTATCGAAAATCTTAGTATGACAGTGGCATACCGAGGGGGAGGGTGGGGGAAAGGGCGTCCCCCCTCCCGGAAATGGGTCGCGAAGTTTTTGAGATTTACTTACATGGGTTATAAAAATGTGCAGGGGACTTGTTTTTATTTGTAAATAATTAAAATGATTTTTAAAAATTTTTCAAGATTCAAATTAGCCTTGTAAAAAATCTTTCAATTTAATTTCCCAAGAAATTATTTAGACTGCGCGGCTAACGCCATCCACCTTCATCTAAAAAAATTTCTTGTCGCCTCCCCCCCCCCCTCCGAACGGAAATCCTGGGTACGCCACTAAGTATGATATTATTTGTTCTTATCAGAAACCAGCAGCGTTGGTCTATTGCACAATTTTAAGTTGTTTTTATCATTTTAACAAAAGCAAAATGCCTCTAACAAGGGAAGGATTCTGCTGCAGCGTGCTCGAAGTGCTATTTGAATATGAAATGTATAGTCTCATAAAGCATGGAGCGCTGATTCCAAATCTGCTTTAGGTATCTGTAAAATCCTTCTGGGAAGGGAGTTATGAGATTTTTTTTTCTTTGAAAGCAATTTCTTTCTTTTCTTTTTCTTTATTCTTTCTTTTTTGAGGCAAAAATTTTATGCTTTGGCTAGAGTAAAAGCAAGCATTAGGTCCTTCCAGCTCTTGAATAATGTAATGACTAGCATAGGTTCGAGACTGAAGGTATTATTTGCATAAAGCGCCCTGACAGTAATCATGGGTTCTATTTGAGCTCACAGACCCCAGCTCTGGATGATTTTATTGTAATTGAGCAGTCAAATTTTGCTACAGAAACTCTCCTACCAAAAGCTTTCTGCAGATTCCAAAAGAAGATATGGAATCAGCATTCTATAAGGTAGTACACATTTCCTATGGAAACGCCACTTTGAACAAGTATCTTCCCCTTGTAAGACACAAGTTGGCCGCTCAGGGTCTTCGAGAAATTATTAGAAAGACTGGAAAAAGCTGCTCAACGACAGTGCGCTCCTTTTGAAGACTCTTGTAGGAAAGGTCAGCAAAGATACTTAAAAATGGCGGCAGCGCTTTCCTCCCTATTGGAATGCTCGTGCATGCAGCTCTAAACAGAAATTTTTCAGATTTTTCAGAGAGAAAAAGGATGGGGCATTGTGGCATCCATATACTTTACATATACTTTGCATACTACTCCTTTTCTAGAAGAATTCAGGCAAGTGTAAAAGAGCGAAAACATGGTTTCAAGAATGGGAAAAACTTGCGAACCATTAGTAATTATGTTAACTTAGAGCGAATCCTCGTTAGTGAAATCGGTCATTTGAAATGAGATATATGACTGAAGTCGCAATTAAACGCTGATCACAGAATTGCACTCTATATCTGCGAAACGCTTTTTGAACATGGGGTGATGCTAGGAACAAAAATGCTAAACGCTGCTTGGAAAAGGATTCCAACATGCAACCTTTTAAGCAATAAACAAGCATACGCGCTGCATTACCCCAACATAGAAGCACATGACAAGCATATGACGTCCTACACCATAAGCTCAGACACTCGCACCGGCCGGCGGCCGTTCCATCATTTTGGGCGGAGCCAAACGCCGGCCGGCCACCGGACTAGTAAATAATGCCGGCCGGCGGCCGTTCCACTGTGCAAAAGCTCGGGAAGCGCACAAGATTGCGCGTACAGAAGAAAATAGTTTCAAACATTGGGCGCGTTGTGCCTGCTAAGCAGAAGACTTCTCTCTATTAATTTTCCTTTGCTATTATTATGATTCCGTTCATTTCATTCATTTGTTTTCAGATTTGATCAAACTCCATGGTGTTCGTTATCACTTCTTTCTATATTATTGCTTATTTTGACTTGAATGGCGAAAAAGCCGAATGTCAATGAGTTCATGCCTATTTGCTATGATGTGAATTCTAGGTAAGTGTCGCAACACCTTTTGGGTACGAAATAAGGAAGTACAAAGTAGACGTCCACAAGTTTTTTTTAGGAGACAGCTGCAATACATTGTGTTTGGGTTCTTGCTTTTATGATGGATACGATGAATGGTTGACCGCTGCCAGTTTAACACTGTTATTCGTGATTACGAAACACTGTCAATGGTGAATACGAATATGGCCAATGAATGCTCCTTTATATAGTCCTCAATGCTGCGAATTGTGGACTATTCCTATTTTGGGTTTCTGCTAAGTCACTATGTGATATACCACCGCATTTCTGCTAATCTGATGCTTACGGCTGCTCGAAGCACTCCAAAAAATGTAAGTTTTTTCTGACTAAGATTTGATTGAAACTGCCCAGTGTTTTCTAGGGACCGATACGATCATCTGTTTTAACCATCTCCTGTGAACGCATATGTTTTGATATTGCTCTGCTAACAGACGTTATCGCTACTCTATGCATAGCTGTAAGTTCTGATATAAGTAAAAAATTGTCAATAAATTATTTCATTTACAGGTTATCGGATGCGGCTTATCAACGGTTGAATGTGGCATTCAGAAGTACAAAACAAAATTATGTGACCTTTTAGCCTAGCCAATCCGGAAAGGTTGTTTAACGATATGTGAACCAGTTGTAACAAATCTAGCTTTTCAGTTTTGAATGTATTTTTCATGCATATTATGACAATGTTTGTTGTTTTTCAATGTCTCTTTGCATCGCACCTTCTGGCTGTAATAAATATGTATGTTGTTGTAAATTCGCATCACCCCATATTAAGGTTACAGAGCTGAATGAAAGGTAGATAAAGAATAATAATACTGTGGCCCAGTGCTATTTTGTTGCGCTATTGACGCATACCGGCCGGCGGCCGTGCGGGTACCGGCTGGCGGCCGTTCGAATACCGGCTGGCCGCCGGCTCGCGACCGTCCCGGCCGAAATGTCGGTGACGGACCGGCCGGTCGTGGAACGGCCGCCGGCCGGTGCGAGTGTCTGAGGAGTATAGTAGCATGGCCAAATCTGTGAATTACTCTTAGAAACTACAACTGCACCATTTTTTGCCAAGATTACGAAATAAGGGTTTGATGAAAGAGCAGAAATCAGCATTTACCTACCGTTCCTTCAACTCTTGAAATGTCGCGATTTTGATAATTTTGCCTTCTGACATTATTCCAACTTGATCAGCAATCATTTCGCATTCTTCTATCGAATTGGTTGTAAAGATGACTGTTCGACCAGCTTGTTGCACATCTCGCATTATGTTCCAAGTATACAAGCTTGTCTAAATTGCTTCCTTTATAAGGCAAGTAACATTTTTTCATAATAGACTTGCCGTCAAATCTACATCTTTCGTGGGCAATTCAAATATTATTACTTTCGAGTTTGTCAGAGCAGCAGCGGTAACACTAGCTCTTCTTTGCTTCAGATAGCTGCAATCATTATTCTATCAATCAAAAAGTCAGTCGGTGGAAACTTGTATTGTGATGACTCGGACTTTGATTCTTGTATGATTGTAATTTCTGTACTTGCATTAGTGCATCAAGATTTAGGTGGTAGATAATCAAACGTTTTTTTGTTGTGTACCAAGTGAAGTAGGGTGGGCGAAGTGGTGTAGAATATCTATTCACACTGTTGTAGATTAGTTGAGAGCGATCGAGGCGTTCCGGTGTTAACCGGAGAGGAACTTCTAATACATTAGAAGGTTCCTTATATACGAAGAAAGGCGGAGCTGAACCAATACAAGGTACAAAGTACACGAGCTTGAAAGAAGATGCCGCCGATTGGCTACACTCCTGGCGCACGGGTACCACTCACTCTTGAGTGATCAGATACTCAAGAGTGAGTAGCTTAGCGTTTAGCCTACGGGATTCAGACAACTGCATCGGGAAATTCGCGGGTGCTTGCTCGGCCACCAATCATCCATGCCGCGAGCTGCCCGGTATAAACCGATATTGGACCCGGTATGTGACCGCGCCACATCCTGTAAGCGCCCGATATTTGACCCGATTAGCATGCTTGTGAGGCCTAGAAGAGTGAAAAATCTTTTGGATTGCCTTTCATGACAACGACTTGAGTGCAAATTGAGCAACTTTTAGCTCATCTGTCGACATCATCTAATGTCGTCGATAACACTCATCCGACTGCTGAAGTTTGTTTTGTAAGCATAAGAACTTAACTGTCGACAGGACCAAACTCAAGGAGCGATTACCGGCCTTACAAACACTTAGGGTAGCCCCATCACTGCGGCGTACCCCACTCGGGTTGCGCCTTAACCTACAGCGTGTAGGAAGTACGGCCCTTGATAAGACCCGCGGCCCGCCACGTGAGGTGATTGGGCCGCGACTCTCCCGATAATATCTTCCCAATTTCAACTCTGGCCGCGGCGTTCCCGGTAAAATTTACGTGGGCCGCGGCGTGCTCGGCTGAAATTTTAAAGGCCGCGGCGCGCCATGTAACACGCTTTGAGGCCGCGAGCTTTCCGAAGCAATTGTCCAAGGTAGGCTATACAGAATATAGAGTTCATCAATGGTTGATGATACAGAAATCATCAACACGTTTTCTGCCATTCAACTTTGGTCTCATAACCAAAACTTACATTATTGAGAAATGCAGGGTCGCCAAAGGTTATTATGGAACTAGCTGGCATGCCCGGCTTCACGCGCATCGAGAATTTGACTGGCTCAAAAAACAGCAAGATTGGCGCACACATTTGAAGCTTAACTCACTGCGTTTTGGCTTTGGCTAGTACAACACAAGGCAAACTTCCTAGTCGCATCTCCTTGAAATACCGCATCTCACTCGTCTTGGAATGGAAATGAGTCCTACCGCCATTGTTCACACGAAAGTTGGAAGTAGTTTGATAGTACTTGATAAAAGTTCATTTTTTTCAAAATCAATAAATCAATTGAAGGAGCGGTCCGCCGCGAAAGGTAGCTTGCGGGGTGGACCGGTGTTGAAAACATATATGTGCAAAGTTTGGCGCGGATCGGTCCACTCATCTTATATATGAAGCTGAATGTCTGTTTGTATGTATGTCTGTCTGTGTGTATGTACGTATGTTCCGAACAGAAAATTCCATTTCTCAACCGATCCAGACCAAACTTTGCACACATACACTTCGGGGCGGGGCGGGTGTCGTAGGCCACTTTTCGTCATCGATCGATATCGATTTTATCGATTTTAATCGTTTTTTATCGATTTTTTGCAGAGTTCACCGGGCTGGGATTTGGCATAGGGTAATCGAGCATGTTGATTACGGATGCAATATTAGGTTTTGGAATTATCCGCCACATTTGATTCTATCTGTTTTTTTTGCAAAGTTTGAGTTACGGGGCTGGAAGTTGGCACAGAGGAGTAATCGAGCATGCTGATTACGAAAACAGCGCGAATAGTGGATTGGCTTGTAGGCGTGAGCACTGGGAAGGTTGTGGGACAGGGATGAGAGCTTTATCATAGTGTTTTGACAGGGCCGAGCGGAGCCAAGTAAGCCAGCTTGTTTTCTATAAAGAACTCATTAACTAACAATTTACCAACACTCAGCTTTATATATGTATAGATTATTGTGGGAAAATGGCATACATGTCTAACATTAGCAAAAAAAAGTCTTAAACCGTCCCCTACTATTTTACTCAGTGTTTTCAGAATCCATATGGTTAAGTTTCAGTTCAATACAATTTGCATTCAAAGCTCATATCTTAACTTTAGATTCAAAATCACTTTCGAAAAACAGTAAGAGGATGACATTCCCAATTTCAAGCGGAACCTACTATTAAAGTATCTAACTATCCTTTGAAACAGATTGTGAATTGGGATTTGAAGAACCCAGCAAAAGACAGCCGACTTGATATCAAGTTTTGAAAAGAGTGCAAAGTGCGATGATTATAGTGTAAGTCGTTTGCGCTTCAGATTTAACATAAAGTCAACCTGGACAGAGAAATAACGCAAATTTCAGGGAAATGCAGTCTAACCATTTGCATGAATTGATCACATTACGATTTCAATAGTATGTTTATGCTGGCCGCAGAACGGTTTTTTAAGACACGATAGGTTGGAGCAGCTCCCGTTTGAGTAAAAAATAGGAGTTTGTGTGATTGTAAGAAAAAATTGTGTGGAAAATCTCGTTTCTCCAAGAAGAAGAAGTCCAGCATTTCAATATCTTCTGCTGGCTAAACTGCGCAAAGGATATTGAAAGAGTAAAATAACCGTCTGCAATATTGTTTAAATGATTTTTCGCAGAGTTTGAGCAACGGGGCTGGGAGTTGAAAGAGTAAGTGAGCCTGCTGATTGCGCAAACTAAAGGCATATGGAGGGGAGACCGGGACAGAGGAATGATGTACGAAATAAGGCATGATGATTGCAATCAAAGCGTACTGACAAAGACGGGACTAATTGGCTATGTCAACTAGTATGTAATGGGCATGTACTGTAAGCAAGCCACTTCCCAACTGGAAGTGGGTTGAGCAGCTAGTTAATCCTTCCAGATGTGCTGCGGAATGAGGAGCGGAGTTTTTAGAAAAACTCATTAATCGTTTGAAGGTCCGAATTTAGCAAAGATGTAGTGCTACAACTTCAACTAGCTCAAAAACATTTACAATACCGCTCGTAATCGTGAAAAAAAGACGCACAGTCGCCCGATTCATGTGACATTACTGTAACGTGACCATATCTCGCTTCCTAGTAAAAGAATCGTTTAACTCAAAGACAGCACTCACGGTATATAGAAGTGCTCACTTGGACAGGAGGTTAGATTTCACAAACTGTCATATTTTCGCTCATGGTAGGTGCCCAGTGAGCGCAATGAATAATCACTCTAATTAACCTACTCTGAGCAAAAAATCTGAAATGATCCGTGGAATCCAGCGTTTTACTGTTCCAAATGGGCACTTCCATAAATCAGAAGATGCGCCGCTCCAAGATGAGTCGAATGGTGCTTTTGGATTGAATTCGTCCACTCTGAAGCAAGATATGACCACGCTACGAATTCACATGAATCGGAGAACGTGCGCCTTTTTTTCATAACTTACAAGAGGTATTATCTATATGTCTTTTAAAATCTAATCGCCCACGCAGCGCCTTGAGCATCAGCCTAAGAGTTTGTCGCGAGGGCTGTAGGCGTATACTTCCATCTTTTCCGTCACATTCCGTTCGTTTTCAACATTGTATGTACGCTTTGACAAAAACTCCTTCAAAGTCTGAAAAAATCTATATGGAAGGGGTGCTCTCTCATTGTCGCTCGCTTGTTTGTATTATGCAATTCAATAAAGCGAGTGAATTGTATCATTAGTTTTCACTCTTGGAGCCCTAAATTGCACCGATAAGCAGATGCGATATAAGTAGCTTGCCGCCTTTAACGCGATCTGCTCTGCTCTTTTTGCCCAACACAGAGATATACCACTTCAGCAGCATTTTTTGAAACATATTCATGCTAGTAAGAATTGAAATAGTTCGCTGGAACAATTATTTTTTTAATTTCAAAGCTCGTTTTGGAAACTAGTGTAGATCCAAAGTTGCGGACATAGGGCCCACAGGGAAGCACTCAAATCAGAAGATTAGCATAGGAAAACCACCAAGTCTCGATCAACAAGAAATCAGTCCTCGAAGGGAAAGCAGCATTCAGGCGTCCCCCCCCTCTTCTTTAATAAAAGCTAGAGCGCTCAATAATAGCTGAGGCCAAAAATATCGAAAGTGGCCCCCTAACACCTTCCCCTCCCTTCGCATCTGTGCGGACATTGGCATATATTAGGTTCATGCAAAAGTTCTTTCGCACCAAATTCGAAAATTCATAACTTGTTGAATTCTCGACGAATTTACAAGCTGTGAATTTTGTATAAGAGAGAAACTCAAGCTCTTTGCAACAGTTTCTAAACTGCTCGTTATGTGTACAAATGAAGGAGATAGAAGCTCAAAACCAAAATCACTCGAAATTTGAATTTTTCGTGTAGGATCATAAAAAATCGGAAACTTGCAACAAAAATCGGAGCAATCAGTATTGTAGGTTCTTTCACATGTTCTTTCCAACAGTGCAAAGTTTGCGCCGATTGAGCGTCTCTATGAAAAATTATGATTTTCGAGCAAGCAATACAAAAGGGCGAATTTGATTTATTTTGGCAATTATTAGGGAATTCATAACATCACACAGAGACGCTCAATCGGCGCAAACTTTGCACTGTTGGAAAGAGCATGTGAAAGAACCTACAATACTGATTGCTCCGATTTTTGTTGCAAGTTTCCGATTTTTGTAATAATTGATAGGAATCCATTTTTCTTTAAAATCGATAAATCAATAGAGAGAGTGGGAATTCCGTCGCGAAAAATAGTCTACGGAATGGACCGAAAACTCATGTGTGCGAAGTTTGCGCTGATTGGTTCACACACTGAAGATTCTGTAACGAATCCATTGATTAGCAATACCAACACTCAGCTTTATCCATGTATAGATGATGTTTTCTATGGGATGTTTCAGACTGCCGCACTGACGGCAGCAGACTGCAGCAGGCCGCAGCAGACTGCAGCAGACTGCATGACCGCACTGACCGCAAGGCCGCACAGATCGCTGCATCCTTTCGTGAAGATGGAGAGGATAAAAAGTTGTGGCCCAAACAATCAACAAAAATATATGCCTAGATCCATGACACAACACGAGCTAGAGTAAAACAGGTATATGCAATAACAGGAGGAATCAGAACAAATACAAGCATACCAAAGAAAAACATCAATCGCCAAAATTGATCGAGAAGAGTAAGTTAGAACCTGTGAACTTCCTAGGAGTAAATCACGGTGTTAAACGTAATCGCAATTGTTTTCTCTTTTACGAAAGTATGCAGCGATCTGTGCGGCCGTCGCGGTCAGTGCGGTCAGCTGCAGTCTGCTGCAGTCAGTGCGGCATATAAAACAACCCTATCATTGACTCATATTATCATGATACTCAAGTTGTCGCTGTCATCAGAAGTCCATTAGGACATTTACTTTTACAAGTGCGGTTTTTTTTGGTTGACACCATAACGACCCCAAAATAAAAAGTTTGTTTCAAGTTCTGAATAAGAGTGATTCCATTTATAGCAAACAGCACGGGTAATGCTGCAGAAAGACAAAATGCAACACCGTGTGAAAGAGTGCTTGCGGAAGGTTAAACATCCGACCGTGTTGTTGCGAATGGAGGTATGTATATGAAATTTGTTAGCGATGAAAAAATATGCAAGTTTCGCCTCACCTGTAAGATGAAAATGGTGATCGGAGTTGATTTTCACCACCCATAGCCGGAAGTATCAGCTTTTCCACGTCAGCGAATGGATAACCTTAAATATCAAATCTCAAGTCTCTTATCAGTGCCAACCTAGTGTTGCGTTTTTCACCTGCAACGCTAGCAATCATCTTAAGATTGAATTTTAAACTGAGAAACGGATCCAATGTACTTTTCAGCGAGCAGACGCTTATTTCCTGGAAACAATTCAAATTGTCGACCCAAATTGGTGGTGATTGCTTAGATGCTGTATGACAGCCGACCCCCCCCCCCCCCTATAAGCAGTCGCCCAAGTTTCGCTGCAAAAGATGAAATGCGACTTGAGAAAATCGCCTCTAGAAAGTAGGAGAGGTCACGCTGGCTCCTCCCAACCTGGATGGTTTGAATATAACAAAGACAAACACTAGTTCTGATGTATCTAGAATTGTCATAGAACCGCTCTTCATTAGGATAATTAGCTCTCCGACCTTTCTGTCTACTCATAAGCCCAATTCAAGACTTGTAGCTTTTAGACCAACCATCATAATGACTGGAGTCAGCGTCGCCGCTTCTACTTTCTGAAGTGGTTTTCTTATTCTGGAGTTCATCTTTTGCAGCGATACATGGAACACTGCATAGTAAGGGTTTCGCTAAATATAATATCAAAATTTCATCACCCACAATTTGCTTAAGTGGAAGATGCTTCTAAGAAAAACCAATCCAACCAAATTTTATGTGGGCTGTCTTGGATGTAAATTCAAGAGTGTTGGAAAAGTGACAACAACTTGAAGCCGTCCACTTTGCGCATGTCGTTCCATTCGTAGTTGTCAAGGATTTTATCGGCAGCTGCCAGAAAGTCAAGGCAATTGTGATCATATTACTTGTACAAAACACGGTTTTTTTGCATTAGGCCCTTGCAAGATCGGCAGAACTTTTGCATCAGGAATCCAGGATCATCTTCCCAGTATACGGTAATGGTTGCACTAAAAGAATTTTCTAACACGGTAAGCTTCCAAATCTCAGGCCATTGCGCTTTCCATCGATGCAGTTTAAGCTCAAAATCATTGTCTTCTGACAAAGATCCATATGTATCAACATCTCTGCAGTGGGGAGAGCGGCCCCTCCCGTTATGAAGGGAGGACCGCGAGAAGAGCGCCGCTGCGGCTTTTTCTTCATTGAGGAGTTGCCGCAAAGATTGTATGATTGATACGGGCCGAAGTATTTTCACTCCGTATCGCCATGCTTTCATCCTCGCATGTAATCCGTTGGCACAGGCCTGGTTCTCAAAACTTTCGCAAGTTTGCCTGATACCTCACACTGACCTTTTTTTAGAGGTTAACTTGCAATTTTCAGTTCGAGTGCATGGCCTCACTGCCGTACACACAGCCAGATAGCGAGACCCTCAATATTCCAGCTGCACTTACTCTCATGTGTAGCACGCCGAGCCAAGAATTTCTGTTTTATATCTAGAATAGATAGAATTTCTTAGCCTTCTCGTAAACCGCTAATTATCGAGATGTGGTCGTATAACATTGCAGGACATTGTAGGTTTAAGTGCATCATTAACGATATGTATGATTCTTGGTGGTGTTCTCATCTGTTCGCCCACTTCAACATATCTCTCCCTTCTTAGGGTGCCTTCATACCGCGCCGGCAGCCGCCGCTAGCAGCCCGTAGCAGCCGCCAGCAGCCCGCAGCAGCCGTCAGCAGCCCGTGGCAGCCCATAGCCGCCGCTGACCGCCTTTGTTATAGGCGTTAAAATCTTACTACTTTAAGTGCTCCTGCCTACTCTTTTCATCTTTTACGCTTATTTCTTCTTATTATCGCTAATATGCAGTTCAACTCCCCACAAGTCATTTGTGTTCATTGGTGTTCATTGTTCTGTTCCTTACATTGTATCCTATCGCGCTCACATTCTTTTGCAATCTGTCTTATCTGAAAAGATGTGAGCGATTATCAAAGCAAGAAAAACTCGACCCGCAAATGAATCCCGGCGAAGTTGCGAAAGAGCAGAATGCAAGTTACATATGCACCGATAGCCAAGAAAAAAATGAAGCAAAACCTACTCAAATAACAAATTGCACATCTGCTGAAACCGGACGCAACCAAACTCAGAGCGAATTACACCGGAAAGAACCTTCTATCAACTATGGTTCAACAGGATGACCATACGGCGAGAAGGTAATGACAACAATGGCCACATATATGATATGTGGTCAAACTGCGTACTAGCGGCAACAAAAGGAAAGCGTAGAAGATGAAAAGCGTAGACAGGAGCACTCAAAGTAATAAGGTTCTAATAATTTTGCTTATATAACGAAGGCGGCCAGCGACGGCTACGGGCTGCTACGGGCTGCTACGGGCTGCTGGCGGCGCGGTATGAAGGCAACCTTAGTATTAGACTTCAGCGCACAGCTCTGAGCTGTCTCACTATTTTTCTACGTAACATTATCACCTAGAAGCTCTGAAAGAAAGAGCATTGCAAAACTGACTAAGTGCCAAACATGAAACTTTTTGTAAAGGAACTGTTCTGTATACTCTTGCTTGCAAAAACTGGTGTACGTTGTTGGCAAGCATCTGTAATGTGTGCCAGATCCTTAAGGATGGTCAGTTTGCAATCATTGCTCACAATCAGTACGTCAACAGAAATTCCTTAGTTTTCTTCAATTTTTCTCGTTTTCATTGGAGTAATTGTCTAACAGTGTAAGTGCTTTAAAACCTTGTGGTTTAGTGCATGGCAATGTTAGCGGCCAACAAGACCATTACGAACTAGCAAAGCCTATATCACGATTAGATTTTCAGCATATCGAAGGGGCTTACTGGTGGTATACTGCATTCACTATTGCCTTGTGGAGGAATAAAAATCGTAAACAAACGTCTTTCAAATGTTTTCTCAAAGATCTTTCAAGGATGACATGTAGGCGGAGAAAATGTGATCAGGTGCACATGATCTGGGGTCAAAGTGGAAGTCGCCTGGAGATTTGTCACACGTCTTCAAAGTCAATTCTGGCACACCCAAAATGCATTTCGTGATAGCTTTCGTAGGTTGATAAAATACCCGATTCTTCTTCCGGTGAGTTATGAACAATTCGAGTATGGCAAAATCCGTGAGGTATGCCTAAGGCACGCAAGACCATGAATGTCATATCCTTAGCCGTTCGTTCCTTAGGCTCACCGTTATTAGTTGAGATGTAGTGAGCAACAACGTAAAAAATAACAGCTTAATTGTCATATTTATCTATATTTATTGGGATTTGCTTCGCAAAAATCGCTTTTCTCATTCATAATAAAGAGCAACCTTATACGTCAAAAGTTTCGCTTTAAGTCGCTACGAGATTATGGATACACAAGCGCTGTCAAATTTTCAGCCATTGCTTTTTTACCTTGGGTGCTCTCACTCGTGAACCAGTATCAGAAAACCCACACAAAACGAAGCAGTCTCAAACAGGCCATAGCCAGGCTGTCGAGCTCCTGCTTTCAAAACAAGAAAAAATTATTAAAAATTTGGCATGCGTTGTAAGCAGAGTCGAACGTAAGTCAAGCACACGTAGTAAACGACCCGATCCCTTTACTCATCCCCTTAACGACCTCTTCTTCCTCCTTTTCACCTTGACGACCTCTAATAAATAATCAGACTGTATCAAATAATTGATAATTTTTTAGAGTCTATAGTTTCTGGCAGACTCAACCACAGTACAAAGAGCATATCTGATAAATAATTTGCCCTACGTGTCAGGTTTTTCAAGAGCCAAAACTCTGTTAAAGGAGATACCACAAATTACTACTGTGGCAAGAACAGGTTTGAGCTTGCTATTCATAAAACGAAATAATTTCTTCTATTTTCCGCAATCTGGCATTTTGCTCGTCCGTCAAGACAAATTTGCTACCTACACTTGATTGCGAGCTCCCTTCCGCCCACTCCCAATGACTCACTGTCGGGCGTGCCTGACTTCAAGCTTGACCCTGGTCGTAACCTTAGAACCCTTGCTTGTCCTTTTATCAATTTGATCCCTACTCTGTCTTTCTGGAAAAAACAAGGCCAAATCACTTTATACATGAGCTCACTATCAAACTGCTGTTGTACAATGTAGTCCCGTTGAGTTGCAAAAGACGACTCAAATTCATAAAACTCCTCACATTGGCTGGATCACCTAAGGGATGCTGACTTCTCAGATTTTGAAGGGGATAAGATTAAGGGCTTGTTAAGGTAAAAGTTTTGAAGGGAAGGGGGTCGATAAAGACTCGACTTGGACCTTTTTTATAAGTCGAACAGCCGGTACAATGCGCAGAAATTGCATTATTATTGAGTGCGCGCATTGTAAGTTTTTTGAATTTCATTTTTAAAGTTGTGAGAAATTATTTGTCCATATAAACGACTACGTAAGGCACCCGCAGCACCACCGCACCCATTTCATGCGCATTGATATACAGTGCTGGACATAATTATAAAGCCACTCTAGAAATCGTCGTAATTTTCGTTCTTCTCAATGAATCTGTCTAAAACTTTGCTTTGCTATATTGTGCGCATGTTAATCTGCCATAACCACTCAAAACGGCTTTCAGTCTTGTTGAGTTTGAACGTAGAAAAACGAAAAAAATTCGAAAAAGCCCTCTTTGAAAGCTGGACAAAATTGTAAAGCCACCTGGTTTTTCTAATTACTATCGCATTCGTTGACTCTCAAATTTTTTGTACAATTACAACCCAAAATATGAAACATTTGCAACATCTATGGCCTGTCATCCTACTCAAATAGAAGCGATCACTGCATTTTTTGCCTTCAAAAGCACCAAAAGTCAATCTGCTTCAAGAAACAACTGGTTACAAGAGTATTCAAGCTCTTATTCATTACAATGATGACTGGAAGCCGTTTTGAGGGTCATGGCAGATTGACACGCGCACAATACAGCAAAGTTTTAGGCAGATTCATTGACAAAAACGAAAATCACGACGATTTCTAGAGAGGCTTTATAATTATGTCCAGCACTGTATCGTAATTTATGATGCCGCGCTTCAGTGTTGAAACGGATGAGAGTGATTAGTTGGACAGATATGGCGCGTGCTCAATGATGTTGCTGACCAAATTTGTTTTAATTGCTACTAAAAATGATTCTGTTTATTTTTCATTGCAAGGTTTGGATGAGGAAACTCAGGAAGCCTTAGGAAACTATTCATTATGTCCCGTGCCTCCTTGCTTAAGGCTGACTATAACTTGACGTTTGCATTCGATTCATGCTCATCTTTGCTTTGTAAAAAGCATACCCTCTCTGCTGTCGAGGGTTTCTTCATACTACGCCTCGCCTCGCCTGGCTCAGCTTACGGCGCAGGCCGCTAGTTGCAGCGAAAATAGGCCCATACTACAGCAGCTTCGAGTTTATCGACGTGTTCCTATGTAGATTCTTATAATCTGCAATACATGTAGAATCTGCTATAGGTGATGTAACAAGTTGACTTGCAAAAATCTGGTAACATCATGAGATTGGACAGAACAAAATTGTGCACTGAAGTCATTGACTGAGGACTGACTGAAGAGAAATTAGTTTGTTGAAATTAGGAATGAATCAAAATTCAAGCTGAATGAAGGACCACCGACTTATAACGAGACAAGGCAAAAGAGAACGATGATTGCTAATTCTAAACGAATACTGTCCAAGAATGCAAACGTACGCGAGGAGCATCAATAAATTGCGAAGCTGCGGCAGGCTGCCACGTCCTGCGGTGTAGTATGAAGGAACCATGAGAATGGCGGGCGCGAGGTGGGGCTCGCGCCCTTTGCGGCTGTTTAAGTTGTGCTCTACAACTTGTTCACAAAAGTGCTCTCTAATCTTTTCCCATCACGATCATGGGAAAGGGGAGCCTCAATCGTAATTGAACCGGGATGATTTGGAGAGCATAAACCGTTGAGCCTTCATGGGATGGGCCTTTTAGGATAGAATGAATGAACTTCTCGTGAGAAAGAAAGCACAGCCTGAATTTGATTTATTTTTGAAATTTTGGTAGTCTTGTTCTCACTTTGCCTGTTCTCAGCAGTATATCGAGCAATAAATCTTTTTTTTTTCTGAAGTTTATCAAACCATTATGAAAAGCTGTGCCGTTCAACAGTAATTAGAATTTAACGAATGTCTGGCTAAGATACCGAGTTCTAAAAAACTACGGTTTATAATTATGACTCAATATAGACCTTGTCTTCGACACATTTTTTCCTATAAAAACATGCTTGCATTTTTGGCCTAGATAATCAGCACAACTCTGTAATATTTTTGATTTTGTAAGAGAATAAAAGACCGAAGGGTAGAGGTCTGCAGTTCACAGGGGATCATGCTGAAAATCGCTTAATGTGTTTGAATCAAACAATAGCAGTAATATGAAGTGGCGGTGAGATCAGATCTCTGGAGCATTATGAAATTTCTTCCAAGTTGCGGCTTCCTCCTCTGGCGAATTCACGCATGCAGTCTTTAGTTTCACATACTCGCATAGATTAAACCAGTTACTCAGTATTTTGAAGTAGAAGAGCCAAAATAAATGTATTAGGTCGGTGCAAAAGTTTTGTCAATTTTTTGAATCATCGCAAACACGTTAGAATGAAGATACACCAACGCTTCAAAATGTATTCGATGCAAAAATTCTTCCTCTTTCCAGCTGCTTATCTCTCATTGTGTTTCGTTGCGAGAATGACGAGATATTTGCTGGAATTTACAACCACTCGTTTTTACCATGTCCAACTTCCGTTGATTTTCAAAAGTTTTGTATGAGACTTTCGGAGGAACACCAGTAACCAGCAGATAGAGCAAACTTTTCGCCAACAGAAGCGATTTTTGCAGCCCTACGGCTTGTCTTTTAGAATTTCTGCGATTTATTTTTTTGAAGGGACCAAATCTTATATTCAGCCTATTTAACCTCGAAGAACATAAAATGTCAAACACTTCAGTCACCATTCGATGTAAATTTTTCTCCTCTTTCTAACACTTGTCTTTTTTTGCCGAGACAAGTGAAATTAGTGCGGAAAATCGCAGTATTTCTCAATTTCAGGAGTGCGCACTGACGTTACCTATGTTTCGAAATCTTCGTAATTTGAAGCGAAAATTGCTCATTTACTTTGTAGGTAGCGGTAGTAATAATCAAGTGTTGAAAACTAAGTATTCTGTGGTTTTGCAGAGTTTGGTGCAATAACAGGTTATGCGATTTTTCCAATACACAAGACTTTTAGAAAATTATTTAGCAAAAATCTGAAAAAGCGGCTGAAAAAAAAGAAAAAATTGCATAAGTTGGCAGAGGGTTTGTCCTATCTGGCTATTATTAGAGCTCCTCCGAAAGCTCATGCGAAAATTTTCAAAATTAGCGAAAGTTGGACATGGTAAAAATGAGTGATTGTAGTTTCCAAGAATATCTCGCCATTCTCGCAACGAAACACAATGGAAGATAAGCATCTGGAAAGAGGAAGAAATTCTGCATCGGATTTATTTTGAATCGTTTGTTTGTCTTCATTCTAACGTGTTTGCTGATGGATTGAAATAATTGACAAGACTTTTGCACCGACCTAAAATATTCATGTGAAAGATTGCAGGGCAATCTTATATATAAAGCTGAATGTCTGTTTGTATGTATGTATGTTTGTCTGTCTGTCTGTATATCTGTCTGTCTGTGTGTACGTATGTTTCGAATAGAAAATTCCATTTCTGAACCGATCCGGACCAAACTTGGCACACATACACTACGGGCCCCGGCGGGTGTCATAGGCTACTTTTCGTCATCGATCGATATCGATTTTATCGATTTTTATCGATTTTTTTGCTGAGTTCACCTACGGGGCTGGGAGTTGGCACAGGGGGGGTAATCGAGCATGGGGATTCCGAATACAATATTGGTTTTCAGGATTATCGATTACTTTTATCGATTTTATCGACTCCCTTTGGGGATGATCAGCATGCTCGATTACCCCCCTGTGCCAACTCCCAGCCCCGTAGCTCAAACTTTGCAAAAAATCGATAAAATCGATAAAAGTAATCGATAATTCTGAAAACTAATATTGTATTCGGAATCCCCATGCTCACTTCCCCCCTGTGCCAACTCCTAGCCCTGTAGGTGAATTCTGCAGAAAAATCGATAAAAATCGGTAAAATCGACATCGATCGATAACGAAAAGTGGATTGTGACACCCGCCGGGGCCCGAAGTGTATGTGTGCCAAGTTTGGTCCGGATACGGCAGAGTCGGGTAAGCCAGCTAGTATGAGATAGAAGTAAGGTCAAATGTAAATGGGAGACAGTCTTTTGCAATAAGCTGCAATTTTTCTTACCGAAATGTTCTCACAGTTAGTTGCAAGGTCCTCCATGATAGCCAGACTATCGTTTTTGCTTCCGAGGAGGGCTATGCATTCGTTCGGTGATAGAGGGATTTCTCCAGCTTCGATTGAAAGTATCTCTTGACCGTTGGAACTCTGTAGAGCTACTAGTTTTAATGATACATAAAAAATTCGAAAAAAGATTCTAATAAGTAACTGCATATACCTCCAGGAGGTCGCATTTGGCACGCCACTGCCAAGATTTGACTTCAACTATCAGCAAAATTATCGCAAATGTAAAAAATGCTGCAGCATTAAAAGCGAGGAATATCGCTAAAAATGATAACTATAAATGAAAGGGCAATATTGTGATATAGCCTCAACTGAACAAAGAACCAAGATTGACAGAAGGCTCAGCCGCTCTCAGTTCTCGTTCAGAGGCATCATATCGAGCCATGAAAGGCAAAATTTGATTAGGAGCGAGAGTCTGGAAAGAAGTAACTTGTTATGCAAATCCAGCAACCAGGTATACGGTCAAACAATTACTTAAAGTGTGTGAGATTACATGACCTGAAAAATCTCAAAATGTTTCGATCCGCGTATTAGCAGTACTGCAGCGCACTTGCAACATGAAAAAGACGTTATTACCAGAAGCGCCTTCAAACGCTCTCAAATCTATTATCCGTCGCTGCTATGCGACTTTGAGATGTTTTGAGCCAACCTATGCTTGATGAACTTAATGAAGCCCTTATGACCAATGTGAACCAAAATTTGAAGTCTGATAGAACGCAATTGAAATGTATGAAAATACATCGTTTACAAGAAACAACCCATTGGAGGTCCGCCTAGGCGTTTACTACAGCGTCTTGGTAAGCTTGAGCTATTTAAAACTTTACAAATTCAGATTTTCAAGCTCTCATAAGTTCCTTTGGAATTCATTGGCAAAAAGGAAAGCAACCTGGAAGTAGCGTTCAAAAGCGCGTTCGTCAATGTGCAGTGATATGCATCTTTTTCCCTTAACCAACTTCTCCACCAACCATTTTTCCCTTTAAAACAAGACTTTGTCTCAGATGTTTGCAGGAAATTGGACAGACAGGTATAATTGAATACATTGAAAAAACGTAAAAGCTATAGAGGAAACGCGAGTTGGTTACAAAGTTTGCCGCTCACTATTGGAATTATGATTCTTATATGTAGTGATCTCAGGTAATAAACTATTACGGAATGTCGCGAAGTTCTGCGCATTTCGGTGACAAGCGACATCTTGAACTCCGCAAATCACGCGAATCACGCAAATCACGCAGCACTTTCCCTCGAAAGGAATAGATTCTAATGTGAAAGAAGCATTGTGCTTAGCTCGTCAAGGCGCCTTTTTATATACAGCATGTCTACGGTATTTTAATTTTAGGTTTCGCAGATTTTACTACGGACTTTCGCCGGGGTGCAAGGCAACTACAATCATTAAGAAAGTTTCATTAAGCACTGTTTAATTGTGCTGTCTTTTTAGATTATCGTTTTCGAAAAAGGAGCCGGAAATCTCTTTGTTTAAGGAATAAAAGAGCTGGTGAAATCTGGAATAATAGTCCCTTTCCAGATTTTGCGCACAGTAATCTACAATATGAAACCAGCAGGTCCGATAACCCCTATAGGCAAGCTTCTTAAGAGATTTCGGATTTTTCTTTTTCGCTAGGTCTCGGGAAGAGTTCACGATATTTTATCGCCGCGATTCCCCCAAGAAGACAAACAGTTACGAGTTTGATGCATATTGATTATGTTGCATTTCGGTCGTGATAGTTAGTCATGGATGGTCATGTTGAAGTACTATTACAACCAGAATGAAAGACTCGTTTTTTGTCTTAAGGGCAGGGCATACTTCACGCAATTTAAGTCGCGACGCGATTTGGCAATATTCCAACTGTTTATAACTCACTGTAAGCACATTTTGTATGTGCAGAAGATAGGGCATTTTATCAACCCACGTAAGTTATACACACTATGCATGTGCAGTCTGCTAGTGCTGGATCTGAAAAGTTCTGGCGAATTGCCAAATCGCGTTGCTACTGAAATCGCGTGAAGTATGCCTTTATTGTTGTTTTTTTGGGAGGCGATGGAATCGCGTGTACTCTGCTCGAGGCCTTACGCTCTGAAGCTCGCCTATGAATCTTTGCTAAAATGTTGACTTCAACTGAGAGCCAAAGTTGCTCATAGGTTTCGGACACACTGTTTACGAAACTTTTTGTTATTGTGGAGTACAGAGTATTTTGGCAGAGATGAGATGACGGACTTGTATCCATAAAATAAAAGTTCGTGTATTCGCCTGCGCTTTTCGCCTATATATTAGAAAACATGCTTTTTTGTTGTGAGAGATTACTACTGAAAATCGCGCTGTGCGAAGCGCCCATTTTCAGGCATTGATATGGAACGATCGCCGAGTTACGAGCTTACAAATCACATCCTCATAAATATTGTCTGAAATGTACAAATCGCACACTTCGTCAAAATTCCGTCTTGAGTTTGCATAGCACGCTGATTGCAAAACTGTTCATTTTCTTAAGAGTTCCTACTGAGACATGGTGGTGATGATCTTAACCGCAAAGTTGCTCTGAGATTCAATTAGCAGCTAACGTTCGCTTCTGTTCTATTCCCGTATTATACAGTAGGATATCCTGAGCAAAACGAAGTTTGCAGCCAGCAGTTATACAAACCACACAACGGAACGACGGAGTATGTGTCGTTACATTTCGAACAATATTCACGAAGACGTGATTATATAAGCTGTAACAGGCGATAGTCACGTAAGGTAAGGCTGCGTTCATACTGATCCAGAAGTCGCGAATAGTTTCAGCACAGCGTTGAAAATGAGCGCTGTACTGGAACTGTTCCCGAACCTGCGGATCAGTATGAACGCAACCTAAGGAAGCCTGCAACACGCACGCTTCGATAGTGCGGTACCTAATAGTTTGATCTTCAAAAACAAGCAGGCATGTTTTGTAACATATGCGCAAAAAGCGCAGACGAATTTACGACCTTTTATGGTTTGGCTATATGTCTGTTCACTATATCTCTGCCAAAAACCTCGCACTCTACAATCACAGCAATATTCGTAAACTGTGGTCAAACCGCTTTGAACAAAGTTCGCTTTTAACTGAAGACTATGAACATTCTTGCCGAAACCGATCGGTGAGCTTCGGAATGTAAGCAAGAAAAAATGAAAGAATTCGAATTTCCTTGGAAAACTTGCCAATAAGGGCTATTTGTCCTGCTTGTGACGAAAATCACATCTGCTTACAGGAGTACTTCATATTGTAGGGTTACGTTGAGTAGAGTTCGGAAGGAGAAGACGGTTTTTTTCAAAATTTACAAGCCCCTCGATTTCCTTTATAAAGAAGTCTCCGCAACTTTCTTACATTCGATAATTTAAGGAAACATCATAGGAAATCATGATTATGCATTGCGTTACACCCTGCAAAAAGACGTCTACAGAAGAATTTTTCGAAACTGAAAATGGCATATCATAAACATGAGTAAATTACCCTATTTTCAGGTGTATAAGCCGCGGGGTGGTCCTAGCTTACATCGATTAGCCCGAACACATCAATGGAACTCGCATCCATTGATGTGTTCGGGCTGTGTTCATCCAAGAACCCTATACCGTGCTGCGTATTGCCTGAAAGAATCGTGCGGCATAAGGATCGCTTCTCGAAACACAGCGAAGCAGCTGAGCAGCCCGGGCGAAACTTTAAAAAAGTGCGGCTTATACACCTGAAAATAGGGTAGAAGATTCGCCTAAATCAGCAGGAATCTTTTTTTTCAAATAAATTTTTTTCGGGAAGTTATGACGTGCATAGTTTGCCTGGTTTGCGTGAGCCGCGAAACTTACGGGATGTGATCATCCAAATATCGCAGAATGTTGCGAATTTTCGGGAATTTTGCACGTTTTGTAAGCGGTATTGTAATAGATCATCCTCATCAAAGTTTCGTCATACCACTCCAGTTTGAGTTTAAATAAAACTTACTATGATACTATACAATGAAAATTTCACAAATGAAGAAATGCACACTGTAAGGATCATAAAGGAAAGAGTAGCTTGTATTTGAGAGTCAAACAAAAGCGATGAGCAATAGATCAGTGGCAGTCTTGACGTGGCGTAGAGAAATAGTGCACAGCTGGAATAAATCATTAAATTTTTTCATTGAACATATACACTGAACCTTTTGTTTAAAGCAAAAGATTTAGTTTGCAAAAAAATTAAGAAATACTTTGCTACACAAGGCATAATCATTGAGCTCAATGGCTGAAATAATTGTTCAGAAGCGTCCAGCCAAATAGAGTACGGTGAGATTAATGCTATAGCGCGGCCCCTAAGTGAGCCTGCCTAGATCTCGTTGCAAAAAATGAAATTGAAGCTAAAAAATTGCTCCAGAAGATACTCAGGAACATCCGCCCCGTTTATCAACCTGTTTTCTTCAAAACATCTAGATATGTCAGAGATCTCTTTTTCATTACGGAGATGGGATTTTTACATTTCTAGGTAATTGAAGCACAATCCAGCGCACATTAGTTCCGGACTACCCACGTTGATCAGTGGGAGGGACATGCCCATGAATGCCTTTTAAAGCAGTTTACTTGTTTTGATATTGAATGGAATTGGAAGCGAGACGTGGGCAATAATTTAATGAGAAGCTACCATGCAAAATGCTACATACAACATCAGATCATAGTAGTAGAACTTAACTATTAGGTTGTCTCAAAAGTCTTTCCATTTTTGAGTTTTCGCTGTAATAAATCATACACTTTTTGGTCTAATTAGATATTAGGACATTCGATAGAGCAAAGCAAACTCTATAAGATGGCATTTTTGCTTTTGCACCATCTTCAATCCACCTCAAGTTTAAAACCGAAATTTAATAATTTTCTAATGCCCAAAAAACTGAAAATTTTTTATACGGGGAGGGTATCCACACTGTTTGATCGTTAATATCTCTTTTCCCAAGAAGTCTTTTGCTTAGCTTTAACAACCATTTTGTAGTGCTGGCCTCAACTTAGAGTTACAGCATGGAGCGAATCACGGATCATTCTTCACTACTGTAAAATTACGGTAGGAACTTTCAGCTTATGGCGTCATTACGGATTTACCGTATTTCAACAAAAGTTTTCAAAAAATTTGAAGAGTGGTGTACTGGGGTTATCAAGCTCGCTGATTTTATTATTCAACTTTTTACGAGTTTTCAAAGCTTTTAAAATGGTGTAATCACGATTTTATGGAGTCTAGTACTATCATGACTTATAATAACGGGCTAAGGGTTGTTTACGTGTTTTTGTGTGTATGTGTGTGTGTCTGCCCGTTACGAAATTCGTGGAGCGAGTTCCAGCCGACCCCTTGAGCCCAAATTTTGCACGGCGCATGCTGGCAGCATGAAAGTCCACTAGGCAAAAGCACGAGCGGATCCGTTGAGTGGATCCCTCAAAAATTGCGCTACAAACGGATCCACTTGGCTTCTGGACAGCAAAAGTGGGCCTATACCACCACTTTTTGCAAAGTGATGGATATGATTAACAAGCTGATGTGCAAACCATGGACTTTAGCCCAAAAAATTGAACTAAAGTTGATTACTTTACGACAATGGCGCTGAAAAAAGTTAGTTGCGTAAATTTTCAATCTGCCAAGATTTTACCTAATCATTTGAGAAGGTTTTTGCCAAAGATGTAGCCCACGGTGATCATCGTCGTTACGGCAACTACCAGACCATAAAAAAGTTAAAAACCAGTTAAAATTCGCATTTATTCTTCTCGGAAAAGTTTCATCCACGCGAAAATACCGATCCCACACAAAAAAGCTCTCAGAATGAGTAGTTGTTTACAAATCAGCCGTGATAGCCTGCATAGCGCGGTGAGTTTCAATGTCATTATTATGCGGGTAAGGCATACAGGACGTAGGGCCAGTGTGAGCCTCTGCGAAGCAGAGGTGACGCACTGGTTTGTTAATAACTCGCTTGCTTCGATGTCTTTCGCCTATCTTTGAGTGCCATTCTGTAGAGCGAGGTTAAGATTTGCAGTATGGAGCAAAACTCTGACCCCCTTCGTCACTGTAGGATTACGGTAGGAACCTTGAAATGGGTTTTAAGCCATAAAAGTCGCATTACGCCCTGTAGAGGGAACCAAACAAGCCGGAAATTTTGATGCTAGGCTAATTAGAGTCGCTGATTACAGATATGCAATTTGCACATTACGGTCCTTTATAAGTTATTTCAGAAAAACAGTAAAAACTGCTCTTTCACTGTTCTTTGGAAATGTAAGCGAATACAAAAAAATACAGCGGCTCAGAATTTTTTCAAAAAGTTGCACAATGAAATCAGTGTGCTTAAAAATTCTACTACACAAATTTCTAGAGTTTTTTGGAATTTTTTTATTTAACGGCCTATTTTGCAATGGCGCTGTGTGCTGAAAGTTGGTACTGTAATCATAGAATAGCGAAAAAAACGGAGTTTTGCTTCACACTGTAAATCTAAGTTGAACATCGCTCTACAGAATGGTACCTAAAGATTGGCGAGAGATATCGAAGCAAAAAGTTATTAACGATCAAACAGTGTGCACATTTTTCTGGAACACCTTTTATATACTCCACATTAGTCATTCTTGTATGCCGTTGCTGCATTTTCTTAGCTAGAGATCGAGAAAACGAAAACTTCCGTGTTTTTGGGCAAGTTAAGTGCAATCAATCTTACTGAGGCCTTTTTTATTGGAAGCTAGCATTGAATCTGGGAAAATTTCTGGATATTGCATACTTCCATTGGACTTTGATAATTATCGCATATTGATGACTTGTATTTCAGATTCTGCCAAGTAATCTATATTGGGGTGACATTATTTGGTAAATTGATTAAATGCATATCTGGTTCGATTGATTTATCCTGATCATTCTCTTCTCAACCAGAAGTGTTGCTTAGTGTATTTTTTAGATTCACTTCTGACTAGTCCCCTGTATGAAAAAGAGATATTGATCTGCACCTCAAAAAATTTCTAGCCAATCAAGAGCGACGCTTATCAGGGAAATTGTCAAAAAAAGTTACAGAAAAAGATCAGCTTCCTAGTGCTGAGACTGATTCTGGTAAAGCAGAAGCTTGGGTGAATACCTTGCCGGTGTTCTTGCGAATCCTTCAAAAATCATTGCCTCTCCTCTCAACCTCTCTCTCAGAACAGACTAAATTCTGTTCATTTTCATCCTGCTGGTTTGAAAAAATTTTGAGGTCTAAAACCTTCGTGTATGGAGGCGTAAGGCCCCGGGCAGACTTCACGCGATTTGATCGTCGCGACTGAATCGCGAGGAGACAACTGTTACAACATCATTCCATGCAGATCAACTTGCATTCGGTTGTGATACTTTTCCAGACCGAAATTTTTGAATGTGAAATGAAAATGAATGGAAATCTTGGCGATTTGGTCGCGACGATTAAGTCGCGTGAAGTCTGACCGGGGCCTAAGATAGCATCTTTCAGATACTCTACAAAATATGTACAAATACTCTTGCCAAACCGCTCGCTGATTTTTAAATCTTTCTCTATACTTCGGTGAGATTCCCTCTCTTTAGAAGGAAACCATCGTTACAGTTACGGAAATCTCCACAGCTGAGGAAGTGTTGCCGATCGCCCCATTAGTCATAACTCTTTGGCATAAAAGTCATGGAAAGACATTTCATAATTATTATCGTTCTCCGGCTTGGTTTTCATGCTCAATTTTTTATTTTTTGCTTTTATTTTATGACTTATTATTCATTGTTCCTCTTTCTACGTCTTCACTATCACTTCGTTCGTCGGTTTTTGTTCTGGCAAGCGCCTCCGTCTGTCTTGAATGTTTACTGTATGTCGATCGTGGTCGAGGGAAACGACGTTTTTTGTCGGATCTTAGTTTATATTTGATCAGATTCCACTTCATTAAACCTCGGTTCGCATCATCGCCGTCTAATGTTGGCGTTTCAATATATTTATACTTCATGCACATGTTGGTTTGGGTGCGGTGCCGGTTCATCGTTACCGTTGTTATTCAGTTTAAGTTTTCAGTTTTTTTGTATTGTGCAGCCTCTACTCTCGGAGTTCTGCTCACTTGACCACGAAGTGTTTGGGCGAGTTTTACCAAAATTACTACCAATACATCTGCTTCCCCATATACAGCTGCTTAAGTTTGATTAAGAGCATCTTTGCTACAAGCGGGGAAGGGGCATGAGACAGGCTCCATTGAGCCTCTACACCTATGATGATATTATACTTGTCTGAACAAAACTTAATCCCTCTTTATAGTTAATTAGGTGTTTACTTGTTTTCTTTGTAACTAGAGTTCATGTGGTACTTTTATTGTACTGGATGTGCACCCTTGTTACGTATCAAATAAGCTGCCTTAGCCGCCCTTCGTTAATAGCTATGGTAAATGTCCCACCCCTATCCCTGTACAGCCTTTCTCTATGCACACTTCTGCGCGCCAGTTCGCCAATTTCCTATCCAATTTAGTTCTCGTAATCACCATGAAACTTACCCTTCTACCAATTCCTGAACGATATAGCTCAAACTATGCAAAAATCGATAAAATCGATAGAAGTAATCAGTAAGTTTCGAACAATAATATTGTACTCGTAATCAACATGCCCACTTACCACACTGTGTCAATTACGAGTCCAGTAAGTCGAACTTTGCAAAGAATCGATAAAATGATAAAACTAACGGACAATCTAGAAAACTAATACTTATATTGTATTCGTCATCAGCTGCTGGATTACCCCGTCCCCGTGTTAACTCTCAGCCTCCCAGCCCCCCCCCCCCACACCTCAAACTTTCCAAAAAAAACGATAAAGGCGATAAATGTTATAGACAATTCTAAGAACCGTTACAGAAAATTACACCTCAAACTTTCCAAAAAATCGATAAAGGCGATAAATGTTATAAACAATTCTAAGAACTGCTGTTATATTCGTAATCGCATGCTCGATTACCCCGTGTGCCAGCTTCCAGCCCCGCTGATCAAACTTTGCAAAACGATGAAAGTAACGGACACTTTAGAAAACTAATATTGTATTTGTAATCAGCATGCTCGATTACTCCCCTGTGCCACCCAGCCCTGTAACAAACTTTCCGAGAAATCGATAAAATCGATAAAAGTAACGGACAATTCTAAAAACTAATCTTGTATTCATAATCAGCATGCCCAATTACCCCTGGGTCAAACCCAGCCCCGTAGCTCAAACCTTGCAAAATGATCAAATCGATAGAACTGACGAATGTTTTCAAAAACTAATACTGTCGTCGTAGCCAGCGTGCCCGATTACCCTGATGTGCCATCTCCCACCCCGTAGGTCGAACTTTACAAAAAAATCAATAAAAAAATTATAAAGTTGATAATGATCGATAACGAAAAGTGGCCTACGAACCTGCCCCGCCCGAAGTTTATGCCAAGTTTGATCCGGATCGGTTCAGAAATGAAAATTTGTATACGGAACATACGTTTTATATATAAAACCAGTTCAAAGCGCCGCTTCGCTGCGCTGTATTGGGTGTTTGTGAGAAGTAGAAAGTGTTCAAAAGCTGGAACATTTAGAGATTTGTCTTTATATCTTTTCGTAGTCGAAAGTATAGCACAAAACCTTTCAGGCACGCATAGTTCATGTAGAAAGCACCGAATAGTAGTAACTTACTTCCTAGCTCTTTATCTCCTCAGCAAACTTGCACTTTCCTTAGCTGACTTGGGCATAAATAGCTCCACGCCACATGCTACCTTACAAGGGAAGTCACTTAACTTAGGTCGGCCTTTTGAAATAAGACACATATATTTAGAATAAGCTCGGAACGCTGAAAATATGCTGTCCTTAGCTGCGAAGCGTTCCTCTGAAAGAGTTATGAGCTTTATCCTAAGCGAAGCTTACGTGCAGACCGACTTAGGTAATGTATCGTCATCCAGGTAGTAGTTTAAATGCATACAACACCCTATCAAAGCCAAATGATTCAGTTTGATGTATTTCGATTTCCCACCACCTTTTTAGGCAGATTTTGATCTAAAGGCTTTCTTTCCATATTCAGTTATATGTCAAGTATACATACTAAAAAGCTCATAACTCGCTTTAGAGGAACGCTTCGCAGCTAAGGACAGCATATTTGGAATCAGAGTTCCGAGCGGATTTTAAATATATGTGTCTCATTTCAAAAGGCCGACCTAAGTTAAATGACTTCCCTTGTTAGCTCCATCAAAATCCTCTTAATGATCGAATTTTTTTGGGAAATGTCACTACATGCCTGCCTGCATTCTACAGGCTTCTTCTAATCATGCCATAGTATCTTCCGCTCTCCCAGCTGTGCCGGCTTTTTCGCACTACCAAAACCAAATAATTTCCTCGCACCTGTTGGATCATATATTGGGTACTAATCGGAATTCCCTCTAATCTCCGCTCTCAACGGGCCGACTGCTCATAACATTTGCTACCAAGTTTTCGAATAGAATTTGAACTTCTCACTATTGAGATTCTAACCACCGTTTGATTCTCAAAATTCAGAAACTCGAATATCATAACACCTTCTACCAATTTTCCGAAAAAAATTGGACTTTTGTCCACAAAATTGAGATTCTACCACCACCTAAATCTCAAAATTCAAGCATCAAATCAGATACCATAATACCTTCTATCAATTTTCGAAGAAAATTAGAGCATCCCATTGATTATAACCACCCTTTAATTCTCAAGAATCAGAGATTTTCTTTCTTTTGATGCTTACGATCCGATTTCCGCTAACGAAATTCATGCCAAAATACTGTATTACCGTTTTTTTTAATACCGTTTTCTCTTCGGACCTATCTAGCCGCCCCACTCGCTTTGGTTTTCAATCAAATAAAATCCCACAAAAGTATAGCGTAATCCCTTTCAATTTCATGCAGAAAACAATGAAGAGTAGTGAGTTAGTCCCCAGCTCTTTAGGTCGCAAGAAACTCGAGAATTCCTTAACTGGTTTGGGCTTAAATAGCTGCACGCCGCACGCTGCGTTAGCTTCGAAATCCTCTCAATGCTAGAAATTTTTCCGGGAAGTGTGCCACTAATTGCGAATGCACTCCATGCTTCTTCTATTCGTGCTATACCTTTCTCTCTCCCTTCCCCACTCCTACCACCCTTCGCCCCTCCTCTCCCTCTCCCAGCCTTTGTACCCTCTTTTGTACAGAACACCGTGAACTTCATTATGTTGTGCAGTTTGCCTCTATAGCTTTGAACGGATCTTGCTTTCCCCTTTCCCTGCCCACAACCCTCTTCCCCTATTACTTCCCTACTTCTACAAATAGAGGAGGAATACAACGCGAATAAAATAATCAAACAGTAAACATGTAAACATGTTCCAATTCTTTCAATATCTCTACATTTTCGGTTCTGTCCTACCTTTCGGGTTTCATATTTGCTGACGCTGCTTAATTGCAATGCGTTACCTCAGATGCTCATCGAAATCCTTACGCTTTCTGCTCAGTTTCAGCTTTTTACAGAGTACCGCACAGAATTTTGCTAAAGTGCAGGCTTTTCAAGCTCTACTAAAAATTCCACATTTGGCAAAGTTTCTCATAGTGATCCGTCGTATTTCCCCCTTCTTTCCTCTCTCAAATCGGCCTACTATTCAAAACAACCTTTACCAAGTTTTTGAAGAACAGTTCGACTTCTCACAGTTGGTAGTTCTAATCACCGTTCAATCCTCAAACCCGAAAGAACAATTCCATTCCACCCCTCTTCCTTTCCACAGACTCTTTTTGAAGATGCTTACGATTTGACTTCCACTCACGAAATTTTTTCTGTCGAAAGTTTTCCCCTTTTTCTTCCTTGGAGGCCTTCCTGGCTACCCTTAGCTACAGTGCGATCCAAGATCCCACTATTTTGCGCCGACACAATAAAATGTTGGACAAATAGTAAAAATGTTTGGCTGTGGCTGTTTGCGTATAAATGAGAATCTCAAGAGGAAAATCATATTTGGAGCTTCTGCTGCACCAAATACAATTTTGTGAAGCGATGCCTTTGTACAATTAAGTTATAGAAGTTGGTAACTAAAATAAGCTGGTATTAAAGTTGACCCATCCTAATAGGCTACTTGTGATGAAGCGAGCTGTTATTTGGTGATAATAATGCTAATCAGTATACTGTTTATGAAGTTGAACACGTGCATTGGGTGCATTCGAGACATAGCGACAAACGCATGACGTCAGATGGGCCTCCCTGCGCTTTATATATAGTTAGATGATTATGATAAATAAGTAGGTCTAAGTGAAGGCATCTCAAATATGGTGTTCAAAAGAAGGCAAAGCTTTCATGGAAGGGAAATATCACAACTCAAACATTCGGTACCTCATCTTGAAACACCAGTCCTAGGTTGGCCCAAAAGTTGTATGCACCCTTCTATTAAAAAAAGGCCTCAATTATGTTCTTGAAAGCATGCTCTTCACTCTTTGCAACATTATCTTAGATGTGGCTGTGCGGAAAAGTAGGAGATTCAGAAGCTTATGAACAAAACCACTCAGGGTCGGCATTCAAAGGACAGGATATCCAGTTCCATTGATGTCTCTTAATGCAGCTTTTTGGTATTTTCTGTAGATTAATGTGAGAAATGCACTTTTGAGTGATTTTCTTTCAAATTCTGTTCGCTTGTAACTCCTCGCATTTTCTCATAATAATCTCCACGGAAAGTTTACTACCGTAAAACGCATTTTCTCTTTTGAACAAAGAAGCTATCAGAAATTTATGATCTGCTTTAAGATTCGAGTGAATGAAAAGTTTTATTCGTTTGTTTCTAACTCTAGCATTTGCTCATATTGGGTCAGATCAAAGAAACAAACAGGTCTAACCTGATATGTAAAAACAACCCAGTATTACCTTGGATGACTAAAGTTTTCCTATTTTCCAATTCCTAGGCAAAGGAAAAAATACTGCAACTGCTTATACGAATGTATTGATGTAGGTTGGATCCAAAGTTCGATCGCACTATTTTCCAAAATTCTTAATTTCTTACTTTTTCAATGGATCCGCTCAATTTAAAATCGTCTCAAAAAAAGAAATCATGCGCTTTACAAAAACTTTTAAAAGATTTCCTATTTTAACGCGCAAAAACAGCGGGGATAGAAGCTGTAAAAAAGTATTAGTCACAATTGCTAATTTTATATGCAGGGTTGCCAAAAATCCATGATTTGCACTTAGAAGCCGTTGCGATTGCCATGTGAGTTTTTGACTTGCTCTTTCTACCTCAATTTTTGTGCCGATAGAGCGCTTCTATCAAAAGTTGTGAGCGTCAAGAAAGACGCCAAAATAATCAAATTTCCAATTTATGCTGCTTGCTCGAGAAATCACAGCTTTTCGTGACGAAAAAAGACGTACAGACTAGATCACAAAAACTATCAACTGTTTCTATTTTTAGCACAAGTTTTAGAGTTTTGCAGCCTCACACGGAAAAATCAAAGTTTGAGTAATTCTATTCTACAGCTACCCTCACTGCAGTGCTTAGAGAGATTAGATTAGAGAGACTCAAATGCTGTTGTAAAGCATTTGAAAGTCTCTCTAATCATCTCTCTAATCTCTAGCATGGTTTCGTTTTTTAAATGAAATCAAATTCAGCAATTTGGTAAATTAAAAAGTTATGTCTTATGATGCAACGAACCTTCGGGGCCAACCTACCGATGACATAAGTATGAGCGAGTGGGGGCACTTTAGAATCTTTAATCATAAAGTCATTCAAAACTTTCTAGATTGTGCTTCAAACATCACATAGATCAACATGCTGCGAAAGTATGAAAAAGATTTTGCATCTTTTGCTCTATCAATAGTGCACCTCTAGAACTTCGCGGTTCGATTTGTTGCCGCGTCATAGCGAGAAAAAAAAGCACTCTTTTCTTAACGTAACAGAGATCTCGATGAAACCTACAAAAATATTGCAGTTTGATAAAGCCCGATGGCTATTGAAATAATAAAGAGCCCTAAAATTGCTATCACGATAAGAATAAAGTCGAAGACAAACTGTGTGATCCAGTACAGAAGCGCAGAAACACCTGCTTTGAATTGCTGTAATTTTAATGAGTAAAGAGACCAACTACCGTTTTCCGTATCCATTTCATTTCACCTGTTTTTTAAACAAAGATTTCCTTTCATGTAGTGGTCCACTTGCAAAAAATGATATTAGAGCAGCGGCCACCAGCTGTGTAATCCATGCTGCTTCTTGCACACCTTGCTGATATTTTTTAAGCTCAATATCCACAATGAGCTGTTGTTCAACTGGACTTCAACAATTTGTTGCCTCTCGACTTAGATAGCAGTGAGACTCTACCTTCACTATAATAGAAGTGCTTGAATAGCTGCAAAAGAGAAGGTAGACCGAAGAAAGTGTCCGAAGCAAACCAAAGTTCTCTAGTCACATGATCAACCTAAATTAAATTGACCTTGCTAGACTGCGTGAATTTCGCGAATTATAATCATCTATGTTTAAACTTCAGATGGATGCAGTCCTACTGAAGGATAGTTGTACCCTTTGATTCAACGGTATTGACGGTTGGAAGGCGACAGCTCTTCAATTGTGCTTATCTTTTGCATAGAGCAATCTCTTCTATTGATTTTTCAATGTTTAATTTAGATTTTCTACATCCGGCGCTCCAGTCAGCTGACTGGTGTTAGTCAACTTTGAAAATTATTGTGGATCATCATTTATTGATATCTAAGAAGGGAATGGTCAGAATTCGAAGTGACCATTCCAAGCAGCTGCAACATTAGATGCAGCATGAAACGCTGACTCGAAATCCGTCTTCTTTATTTGCATAACACTTTTGTGAATGAAGTTATAAACCATTGAAGGCCATCTGCTAAGAAATCGAGCATGTACAGGGCGAATTTGGCCGTACAATTAATGTTCGGCTTATTGTCGAACCAAAACTTCCAACTTACTTTAAATACATACATAAAGGTGAGACAAACACGCAGTGCTAAGCTCAATTTCGCAATTTTTATGCACGATTTTTTCGCAGTAAAACTGTTCATAACTTCGCATACAAAGGTGTTCTGCAGATAAGGAAGACAGATTTCGAGTCAGCGGCATCGAATGGGGTACAGCTCTTATGTATTGCCACTTCGACGGACCATTCCTTTGTAAGGGTCACGGGAAAATTGTCATCTATATATATATATATATAAAACTCAAAAATTGTCAGTTTGGAGGGTATGTGCGTTATAGAAACGCGCGCCACTCAAGCGATTCAGCTGAAGCTTTGCACACATATGTTTTCGACCCTTGCGCAGATGATAGGCTACTTTTTGCGGCGATTCGTTGGGTCCTTCTATCGATTTATTGATTTGTTTACATTTTCCTAAGGAATTGAAGGGTTATCATGCTCAATCAAGCATTTTCCATACTCATGTAAAGGAGGGCGGTGAAGCTCATTTTCACCTCAGGATCACGAGGATGCGGTTTCCAAGCGGATGTCCCAGGGTAAGTCATCATACCATATAAGGCGGGGGGGGGGCGGTCGCAGTGCGGTGAACCATGGCCCGGGCTGGACCGGGAAAGCCAACTAGTAGAATATAACGATTTCTGCGCGATGGTTCTAAAGCCACTATGTTGTCACATTTCTCCTCGGTGCGTATAAATCGCTTCGCAACTTGCTCAGTTCTTACACATTCAAAGCATCCATCTGTCCGAACGTGACGATGACTCAATAAAGGATTGACAGTCGCATTAAGCGTAACCATTTAAGCGTTTTATGCAGAATTCGACAAAAATATTCTACTCTCGTGCGATCGCAGTTAGCTTATCGTCTTAGACAAGGTGTGGCTGTTTCAGAAAGGTTCGCATCAAGGGTACTGATGAATTTTGTGCTTAACTGTTGGCTTCTTTTGATTACAAGAATAGCCGACTTGCCTCAACCAATCAAAATGGTTTTTCTCAACCAAGCACCAAACAATGCGTATACAAATGCTGCGCGCGTTTATCTAAAAAGCATTCCCTAAAATTTGCCCAACTTACGTCCTGAGGTAAGAACTGTGTCCACATTAAGCTGTTAGAAGTCTGAAGATTAGAAACTCCAATTTTCTTCTATTCATGAATTGTTAATGAAAGTCACCTGGTTTGTATCAGTTGCTAGAGACGATTGTAAATTGCAAATGTGCTTTTCCTAAAAACAAGAAGTACTAGATTGTCTAACTTTTCTCCTGTTTTTCTTCGCTTATGCAACTTGTTGTTGTTTTCGAACTTTAAATGCAGAGCCCGGGCAAAAGATTAAGAAATGTTTACCTGGTCTTATCTTCCTCGCTGATTACGAAAATGCGGCTTGAAGAGCGCAAATACGGCAAAGACCGATTTTTCTAGCGGTCTCGATTATGATTTGGACGTAAAACGCAGCTCGCGTTGTTCAAAAAGCTTCGATATTATGACTTTATCGCCTCACGATTTCCATGACAAGATAAACTATGACAAAATTGCATGCTGGTTTTCACGTGTGTTGGCCGTCAGTTTTTTGACGCGGCTGCTTGACCAAGTTTGGCAAACTTCCCTCAACGCAATTTTATGGCATACTTCCCTCAGCGCAATTTTACCAAATCTCATGCCTCTCCCACCTCAAGAGTGGGTGGCAAAAACTTTACATGAGTCATTAAAATATACAAATGTGTTTATACTTGTAAATAAATGAAATGATTTTTGAGATGATACTGGGCTGCCGCAAACTTTTTTTTTGGAATTTTGGCATTATGGCTTCTAGAAATTTTGTGAAGCATCCCAAAACAAACGAGATTCTGAAACCACCACTGGTGTTTGGTGCGGGTTAAAGTGCAGAATCTCGAAATTCAACGACGTCAATCGAAGTGACAACGTAAATGCTACCAGTAAAGCTTTTTTGTCGATTTTAGAGAGTAAGCTCAAACATAAGTTTTCATTTTGAGCTCAACCATAAGGCGATACCGTATCAATCCCCTCTGTGTATAAAGCAGAGCATTCGTAAATGTGTGTGCTAGGTATGTATTTTGGCAATTATTCATGCGCGCACGATTTCTGCGGCGATTTACTGGCCCGTCTACTGATTAATTCTTGGCACCTTTCAATGTGAGTTTTTTTTTAACAACTAAAAAGTCATTTCCAAGTTGTCGATACATCAGCAGCGGAGCTCATGATATGTAGAAAGGATGCGCTTTAACGACAGCCATGCAGCGGGGAACGAATTTAGATAACCTGTAAGCGGTGCTGGTTCATCAAATAAATCGAAAGATTTGAGCAATACAGTTCATCAGGTTGTCCCATAAGTCATTTTGAATTTCGACCGTGATAAGTCATGCACTTCTCACTTCTCTTCGTTTTCAAATAGATTGTAGGTACTGCTCGATAGAGCAAAGCAAGCTCTACAAAACATCCGCCTCGCTTTTGTACCAGCTTTGATACATGTCGAGTTTCAAACCGCAAACTAAAAAGATCCAACAGACCGAAAATTGAGAAAAAATCGTAACCCTGTTCAAAAAATCCTACGAAAATTCTAACTTGCTCGCGTAAACACTATCCAGTTAAGACATTTATATGCCGTTGCTGTATTTTTTCCTTGGCTAAAAATTAAGAAAACGAAAATTTTCATGTTTTTGCTACAGCGATGTTGTGCTGTTCCTACACAGCTACTTGTATAGACTAGCCTGTAGAAGCAGAAATATAAATTTCCAGCTCTCTACGGCACTAGTTTTTGAGATATATGGACTTTAGCGTATGGCACCCTATTAAGGAAAACTGTAGTCGATATTTTTCGAGAACCAAAGGAGCTTGGGAGCTGAAAATTCACATTTGTACTTCTACAGGCTAATAGTATACAACTGTCTATGTAGGGACATCACAGTATCGCTTTGGCAAAAGCATAAAAATCTTCGTTTTCTTGATTTCTAGCAGAGGCAAAAATACGGCAGCGGCGCATACAAATGGCCTAGATGGATAGTGTCAACGCAAGCAATTAGAATTTTTGTAGATTTTTTTAAACGGGATTAGTATTTTTTCTTGATTCTTCGGGCAATCGAATCTCTTTAGTTTTCGGTTTGAAACTCAATATGTATGAAGGCTGGTGCAAAAGCAAGACAGCCGTTTTGTAGAGCTTGCTTGGCTCTATCGAAAAGTATCTTGCATCCTATTCAGTAACGAGAAGTGGACTTATTGCGGTTGATTCAAAACGGACGGAACTTATGGGACAACCTGATACATACTCAGAAAAAACGTCCTCGATAATCCAGATTTTCGATCCGTTTGGACAACTTTCAATGCTGACTATTAGACTCAGATTTGTTTCAAAATCTTTCATAATTATGTAGGGGTTGTAATGGAAATGCATATATGGAATATATTTTGAAGATTCTTGTTAACAAGTTTTTAGTTTGTTTAGACGACTTCCGAAACTAAATTCTCGGTTTGAAAATGTTTGAAATTTTCCTTTTTTATTTACCACGCTAAGGTGCGAGTGACTTTCTCGATGCGGGAACTAAAATGCACTCTGGAAGGATGCTAATCATATTCGAAGCTCATAACCACTTAAAAACTTGTAGCTGGGTTTTCTCACATATGGCGAATAAGTTGATACTAAAAAGGAACTCTAGCTTAGTGAAAAATGGTTAGGGAGGAGGGCTCTAAAGCATGTCGGAAGAGAGAGAAGGGCTAGAGTTGCCGGGGTGCTTGAAAAAAGAAAGACATTTTTTTCTGAGTACTTCTGGCCACACAGGCTTGATAGATGATCTATACTTCAATCACACGCTCTTAACTTTCAACGCCTTTGTCTCCTCAGAGGCCTGAAAATGGTTTAAAGTGTCACACGTGACTCAACACCACCAAACACCGCCTCTAAACAAACTAGTTTTTTCCCTCAGTTTCGCTAGCAGAAATTGTGCAGAGCAAATTTGACGTACCGAAAGACGCTTGGCATTCGCATGAAGGAACACTTAGCGATGAAAGGCGCCAAAGTTGGTTTCAGCACTAACAATAAGAAAGCACTGAAACGAGGTGCATAATGGAGACATTTTCGACATCAAATGTAAGATTCCTTCTTACGAAACGAAAGACCTCGGCTAGGAAAGCGATGGAAGCATACTGGATATCTGCAAAGAATCCAGAAATAATAATAAAAACGAGCGCATGTCAGTCATTGCTGATTTTCCTCTTTCTTTCACATTGATGTGTATCTGTGGGAGACTCATTCGTCCGCCACGATTACTCACTTCCGGTGCGGACCTCCACGCAAGCGGTCTTCCCATGGAAATGGAACTTGGAAAGACATCCTCTTCACTTAAGATACGCAGATGAATTTGTAACGAAAAAAATGAAGCGCTGATCCAGTAGGGGGGGGGGAAGAAAGCTAAGATTATAACCAGGGTCAAGCGAGCGGGGTGTGGCACGCCACACCTGGGAGGTCGATATCGAAGTGATAGTGATGTTAGCGACATTATGTCATTCAACAATATCTGATAGGCCCATTGTACAAAATCCCAGTATTGATGTTTTGGCCTACCATGTACGCACAGTAATCATATTAAAAGAATCCTAAAAGCGTAAGAGCAGCATTTCCGTATTTAGCAAGTCATATAACCTCAGAGGGCCAAGTTTCAGCGAATTTTGAGGTTTTCAAATATTGGGACACTCAAATGAGTTAGTCATTTTCGACATGATAACTTCGTTTCAAAGATGAGCAAACTACTTTTTTTGCACTCATTGCAAGGCACTACTTTGCTCGTGTTAGGAATTCCACTTCAATTAGCCTCCAAACTCTGGAATTAAGAGCAAGCCAAATCTCGTTTCTCGCATTTTTCGCCTTCAATTTCTCAGACTAGAAAAGACCAATTAAGCTCAAATTACTTTTGTGAAAATTACGAGGGTCATCTATTGAATATTTGTCCTTCTTTCCCTAGCAACTCACGTAGTAGGCGCAGACTTAACATATTACCGTAATTTAATATTTTCTCAATATTTCCATCTGCTTAGCTAAGAAAAACGACTATATCTTCTTCTAGGAGAAACAATTTTGGATAAAATTCCTGCTCAGTGGAGAAGAAGGTTTAGCAGTAGCAACCATCTAGAAAAAAGCAGAGATTTGAATGCTTTAAAGGTGAGCTAAGGGGTGTGGTACACCCCCCCCCCTAAAAAGCTGTAGCCACCACAGCTTTTTAGGGGTGGGCCACACCCTATCAACTTGCCTCCAAAAACAATTTTAGCGAACAGAATACATGCAGTTTGATAGCCTGAGTCTTGTAGTTTCCATAGAATTATCTGGTGCCTGATTCATCTTCGCTCTGAGTAAAAGCTGATGAAAGCAGCAATTGGAAGCGAAAATTGGGACAAACGAGATTTTGGCCTGCTTCTAATTCCATAGTTTAATGGTAATTTGAAGCAGGATTTATGGTATGGGTAAATAGGGTGTATCACTTATTCAGTACAAAAAGAGCTAATTCACTTTTGAAATATTCTTAATCATGTATGAAAATGATCACTTCACTTGGGGGTGGTCTAATATTGAGAAGTCTCAGGATATGCTAAGAATTGGCCCATGGTGGTTATTTGACATGATAATTACAAGCATGTGCCTAATTATGCATAGTAGGGCCTTTATGCCAATCCTAAGGAAGAGGAGATGGGGAGGGGGTATTTGACAGAAGATAGACGGGAAGGTGTCGTAATCGGCGCTTGCGTGCCACATCTCTTGCTCGACCCTGATTATAAGACGCGTGAGCCTGAGATAATTGACTGTGAAAACTTTTAGCAAACCCTGCGATTTAATTATCGCACACCCACCATAACTTTGAAGAAACATTTTGTCATGTCGATGTCATTTTGGTGTTCATTACAATGCATATTCTCGTAGGACGGGCTTTGACGTTAATGATTTTGAAGCAAAGCATTTGGTGCATTTGATTGCTACCGATGTATGCTTCTGGAGAGCAATCAGCGATTTTAACACCGTTTTTGGATTCATACCACACGCAATTTCCTTCAGTCGCTACGCGATCTGTTAATTTGCCAGATGTCTTAAAGTCCAATTCCGGCAGACCGCAATTACGTAGTGTGTACAATTGTCGTAGATTGATAGAATGCCTTATTTCCTGCACATTTGGATTGCACGCGCGATAGGCTGTAAATACTTTGTCGCGTTCATCGCCCAAACCATTTGAAAACCCCGGCAATGACATGGTGACGATGAGGAGGCGTAAATTATTACCGATGCCTTGCAAACAATGTCTCCGTCTTGATAGTGCGACAGTTCAGCACTGTGCCCTCGCACAGCTTGTAGCGACGCGGACACGCTTTCACACGGACTGCTTCTTCCCACATCTCAATCTCACGTCAGCAACACTCACGGGAGAGATTGGTTGGGACATACCCAAATTTGCAATACTGCTTGCCTATCCTATATACTATTTGGGTCACAAAATTGCAAAAATTGCTGAATTCTTTAAAAGTGATGAATGTATAAGACTTAAAAAACGTCAAATTCGCTATAAACGTACTCACTTCTATCCAACAAAATTTGGATTAATCCATATGGATTAGTGGTAGCCTCTGATATACGCCTCATTGTATGTGCAAAGTTTCTTTGGATTAATTTGTACGTAAACTTTTGCTACAAAGGTTTGATTGGATTAAACACACAAGCAACATGGATTTAGAGAGGCATCAAGGTTCAAATACTTTGACCACACTACGCAGAGTTTATGCTTGAGAACATAGCGTTTCAGAACTCCTCAGAACTTTCAGAGCTCCTTGATACGTGAATTTGTCAGCTTATTGTTTAGAATACTTTCACATCTTGATCATATACTCATTTCGTGAATGCTGTGGCAAAGTGGATCTTCAGATTTTGTCACATTTGACATCATATTGTTTCCATATTGCTGATTAATGTTAGAAGACTTACTTTAGTGTGATGCCATTCACATCCTAAAACAACGGCACCGGCAAGCATATACCACTCTGACGTCCGTTCAAGGCAATCAATTGAACTACATATCTGTACCTGAACCATCTTTTGTAAGCCAATAACGAGTGAGCTTGCTTCAGCGCTCAAACGCATAATCAAGCGGTTTTTTGTAAAAAAAAAAGTGTGAACAATTTTACCAGCAGCACTTGTTAGGTCGAATTTCTTCGCATTGCCATTTATCGAGTATAAAGTGTAGCTGCGAAGGAAAAATGGGAAAGCTTGCGAGATAGAACGTTATAAAGATGCGTTACAGCACTAGTCATGCTTTGAAACAATGGACCAAAGTTTTATTGAGAACTGCAGCTTATCAATTGCAGTGCTGGATGCACCAGCATCTCCGTTCCCGCGTGGCCGCCTCTGCTGGACTCTGCATCCCTTGAACATGCACTTCAATTATCTTCGTACACTTATTTAGCGGTTGAATCTCAATCTTTCCCACGCTCATGGTGGAAAGTGCAAAGAAAGAATATTCGCGAAAGGGGTGCAGATTCCAGGTAAGGAGGCGAGGGCTGCATTTGATAAGTCTTGTATTTCGAGTTCGTTCTTCGTGATCGTCTTGATCGTCTTACATGTTTCGTCACTTCCCAATCGCTTGTGACAAAGCGAGTTGCACAGGCCGAGAGTTTCAAATACTCATTTCGTGTTTGCTTAAATTAAGAGGATAGAAGCGTCGATTTAGAAGCACAAAATTTGCTAATGACTCAACGGTAAAGCAGCAGAACCAAATCAAAAACTTTTAATTTTCATTGTGAAAACGTCCACTTCAAAGAAGAATTACTTTAAAAAAACATCACTTCTTCTGAGAGAAAGCTTTGTATGAGGTTTTCCAATTTTTTAAAAACTCAAATGATTTGTCGAGCAAATTTTGTGGAGAGAACAAACGGTATATCTGTGGTTAAAAGCAATGGGTCGGCAAAATGGATCCTGGTCAGATTTTTGGTAGCGTTAAGCAGTAGACCCCCGCCCTCCACTACACCGTAGCCCTACCCCCACCTCCGATTCGTGCGCTTAGTTCTGAAAATGCGTTTCAAAACTCCACCAGCCCCGCCTACTTCCATTGGGTGGGCGCCGTCATTGGTGTAGTTTTGAACCTCATTCTCAGGGCTTAGCACAAGAATTGGAGATGAGAGCTACGGTGTTTTTTGGGGGATCTACAACCTAATGTTACCAAAATCTGACTAGGGTCCATTTTACCGATGCACTCTGCCTTTAATTTGAAAACGTTGCATTTCACTCGCTACCATTCGTTAGTTTTTTTTATTTTCGTGTTGGAGCAGAAACAAAAAACATGAACGAATCTTGTATGCTTCAGCTTATTCTTTCGAACCCCTGCAAGACTTCTTTGATTGTGGCTGTCACTACCACTAGCTTTCACGTGAATGCTACGAGCTCCATTTTTGTGCTTTTTACGGGATTGAGATCTGACGCGAAGAAAAATGCACATTGACCATCAGCGGTGTAATTTATCAGATTGTCCTATAATTTTCGTCCGTTCTAATTTTCAATCGCAGTAAGTCATAAATTTCTTGTTTTTGGACGGGTTTCAAGGTAAAGTTTGATAGAACAAAGCAAACAGGTTAGTGTACTTGCATTCGAACCATCGTTCAAATCCTCCCCAATTTGAGCCAAAAACTATGAAGACCCATTCGCCCGAAATACAGAGGAAAAAAATCGTAACTCCGTCCAATAAAAATCCTAAAAAAATCCTAGCTTGCTTACAGGTACAATCGATATCGGAATTCCTTACACTGTTACTAGATTTTTACCAAGAAGACGAAAATTTTCATGTTTTTACCAGATCGATGCTGTGCTGTTCCCACATTTGTATCTGTATACGACAGACCAGTAAAAGTACAGACTGAATTTTCAGCGCTCTACAGGCTTTAGTTCGCCAGAAGCAACAATTTGATTCAAGTGAAATTCGAAAAGTTCGAAATTAAGTTTGCTTAACGTCGGGTGTCTCATATAGAACGAAAATTTCTTGAGAACTACATAAAGCTTGTAGGGAGCTGAAAAATTACGCCTGTACTTTCACTGGTCTGTAGTACCAACTACAGATGTGGGAGAACAGCAGCTTTCACTTTGGCAAAAAACGAAAATTGTCGTTTCCTTGATTTCTATCTAAGGAAATAACACGGCAACCCTGTATGTCTCTATTTTCAGGTGTGTATGCCGTAGGGGATTTTCTTCTAAAATCGACCAAAACAGCCCAGAAGACTTCGCGACCAAAGGAGCTTTACCGTGCTACGTATTGCTCTAGAGAATCGTGCGGCATCAGAATCGCTTTTCGAAACATAATGAAGCGTGAGCGGCTCGCTTGAAAATTTGAAGATGCTTACTAAAAATAGGGTAATGTCTGAATGTGGATGGTGTATTTGTAAGCAAGTTGAGAATATTCTAGAATTTTTTTAAAGGTTTCGATTTATCTATTTTTCGGGAAATTGGATCTTTTTAGTTTTTGGCGGGAAACTTGAAGTGAATTTAAACTAGTGAGAAAGCAAGAACATGTCTTGTGGAGTTTGCTTAGCTCTATCAAACCTTACCTTAAGACTAAGTAGAATTGAGAAGATTATGACTTACTGTGCTTTGAATCTAAAACGGACAGAACTTATGAAAACCTGGTATTATCGAACCACTGTCTGTATGTCTGTGTGTACCTATGTGCGGGAAAGAAATTTTTGTTTTTGAACCGATCTGGACCAAACTTGGAACACATACACTTCGGGGCGGGGAGCGTGTCATAGGCTACTTTTCGTCATCGACCGATATCGATGTTATCGATTTTTTATCAATTTTTTTGCTGAGTTCACCTACGGGGCTGGAATTTGGCACAGGGGGTAATCGAGCATGCTGATTCCGAATACAATATAAGTTTGCAGAGTTATTGATTACTTTTATCGATTTTATCGTTTTTTTGCAAAGTTTGAGCCACAGGGCAGGGAGTTGGCACAGGGGGTAAGTGAGCATGCTGATTTCGAAAACAACACAGGGAACGGAAAATGAAGTGTGGAAGTGAGCACAGGGAAGACTGTACAGGGATAGGGATGGGACCTTTATTACAGTGTTTTGACAGGGCCGAGCGGAATAGTACAAAAAAGCTACAATTCACTTATGCTGTGGTTTGTACATATGTTAAATAGCGAGTTTTCAGTTTTTTAAAAGTATCGAGATCTGTCAATAAATGGAACTGTCGAGATTGGATAAACGCTCCAGCGTAAAGCAGGGCCCGGCACGAGGTGGGCAAATGACAAGCTGGAAATCGTTTTGGGGCCAAAAAAGCAAAGGGGATATCGTTTTTGCGGGATCCAGAACGGAGCCCGGAAGAAGATTCCAAGTGCAAGCAAAAGAAGGTCGAATCATGTTTACCTTATGCATCTAATTCATTGGGAAGTAGTTTTCATAAGCCTCAACGCACAGCAGACTTCGCACGCACTACGCCGCGTTGCCGCTAATTGCCGCGTGCGCGACGTCGCATGAGCGATGCCGTTGAACAGCATGATTACATGATCATGCCCACCTAATGCCCACCTGAGGTGGGCAGAACTTTCAATCCACATAATTTTTTCAAAATTTTTACATAAATCTGTTGTTCACCTAAAGTTTACTATATGATGAGATTTCGGTTCCGAAACTCCTCCTCTTGTCTTTGTTAGAGCCCAAAATCGCATCAGCAGCCTAGCTTTCTAACAATAAGATGGAAAGCGCGCCCCAGTCAATTGTTACGCGCGGAAACGGCGTCTCTCAGTCCTATGACTGCGTTCCTTTGATATTTTTTCATTCCTTCATCATTGAGGAGTAATTAGAGGAATTTGAGCATTTTGGGCGCTTTTGAGCGGTTTTAGGCAAAGTGTGGCCGTTGCTCTCGTTCCACAAGCACAAAGCGTCATTTTTGGGCTCAAGGGGGTATTCGTAAAAACCATTGGGATCAAAAGGGAATTCGTTTTGGAAAACCCCGTCTGCCCACTTCGTGACGGGCCCTGGCGTAAAGTTTAATGAGTGCTAATCGTTAATCAGTACAAAATTAAATGTCATACAATGGCAATGATACTTAAGTTTTGCTCAACACTCAAAACTACGAAAACAAATACCAAAACTTTGAAAATTAGTCTCACCTCGATGCTTGGATACGCAGAAAGGGTCCTCAAAACTTTGTAAACTTCGTAAGTAATCTCCTTTGCTCCAAAAATGATAAAGCTTCCAGGTTTGTATATATCCAACGATATGTTTTCCGCTGTAATGTATGATTTTTTTGGTAAGAGAAAAGAAAGTGGTGAGAAAATAGCGTCCTAAAAATAGCAAAACTCAATTCTCTTTTTCGTTGAAAGTTGGTAGTATGTTATAAGGAGCCTGTGGTATAACAGGACGTACTAGATGGCATAACTGCTAGGCTGACCTTGTCAATGGACTATAATCGCAGTCCGAACTATGCAGAGTGAAATATCAAATGTACTATGCATTTTCGATTGCTAATAAGTCCTTGTTTTTAAATAGCTCTAATCATTTCAAGTAGCGCTAACTTCATCTTAGATTTACCATAAAAGAAAAATCATCAATTTCTTTTCATTAGGAGAATAACGGCTAGAACTAGAATTTTGCACCAGCGAGAGCATATATTGCCCAAAGAAATTGTTTGCAAAAGATTAAAAACCCTATAATGGTTGGATTAGCGTTGCTAATTGTATATTTGTTTCGTTTCTCGAAATCCCTAGTTTCAAATTTACGGCAAGTCTGCACTAGCAGCTGCTTCTAAAAAAAACTGCAAACCTTAGTTGTAGTCAGGGCCCTACAAAGTGCTGTACAGAAATTCGCGAAAGCCAGACAAAAGATTCAATGTCTCCTTCTAGTAAACCATGGCATGCTTAGTATATATTCTTCAATTTCGTTTAAGCCGTAACAAGTTAACACGCATCAAGCAAAGATTAGTCACCATACTAGAGATTTATTAGCGATGGAGCGTACGATACTTTTCGGGGACCCTATACAAATGCATCTTTGTCCCTGTCGCAGCTCATTTGCAGAAAACGATGACAGCCGTAGACGTAACGGTGTTTCCCCACATTGATGTTACTTTCGTTCGCAACACATTTACTCCGTTCCTGCGTTTCCTGTACTGAACCGGAAACCCTACCTCAAAGTCTGCAAACACTAGTTGATAAATGCAGACGTAATTTTGAAGTTAAAATTGTAATAAGCAGCGTGCTCACTTTTTCCCTGTACCAATCCTCGCCCCATAGCTCAAAGTTTGCTGTAAAATCAATAAATAGATTTTAATCGATAGGAGAATAGCCTACGACACCTATCCAGAGATTCCTGCAAACTCACTTATACTTTGTACTGACCCAATCCCTAACCCGTAGCTTATAGTTTACTGAAAAATCAGTAGCTTGATATCGATCGATAGTGAAAAATAGCTCACTACACCTGCTCCTCCCTGAAGTGTATGTCCGCAAAGTTTGGCCCAGATCGGCTGAGAAACGAATTTTTTATTTAAAACATACGTAATGCCATACAAACATAAGTATACAAATACAAAAGTAGACATTCAGCTATGTAGTAGAATTCAGCTTTATGCACAGGGAGTCCCAAAAAAAAGCAGTGGTATCAACGCAGAGTACTCTCTCTTGTCAAAACAGGCAGATGAATCGCATATTGGGAGTCGTCTTTACAAAACATATAGTTCATTGCTCATTATTACCGTGCAATTACGGTCGGAACTTTTAGCTTAATGTCCTCAAAGCGAATCAGCAGCCATTTCAAAATTTTCGAAAAGTCTGAAAGTTTTTGTGAGATTTTTGTCAAATTTTTGTGTGTAATGAGATTTTTTGAAACTTTTGCGAAACCGTTGTCACGTTTACCTTACGGAATTTTGACCTAGAAAATTGTGAAGCAAAAGTCTCATGTAAGGAATTACGGAATTAGTGGCTAGTCGACCTGTGCAGTATATTCAGTGCGTTAACCCACTCAGTGGATTAGCCTACCCGTTAGTTCACCTACACCGTAGGAAGGCTACACATTCAGATTTCAAGGACGTTTGACGTAGTAACATCATATACAATCGAAATACTGTCTTTTTGCAATCTCTCTTAAAACGTGCTCAAATTTGAGAAGGGAAAGGGTTCCTTCATACTACGCCGCGTACGCCGCGTACGCGGCGTAGTATGAAGGAACCCTTTCCCTTCTCAAATTTGAGCACGTTTTAAGAGAGATTGCAAAAAGACAGTATTTCGATTGTATATGATGTTACTACGTCAAACGTCCTTGAAATCTGAATGTGTAGCCTTCCTACGGTGTAGGTGAACTAAAGGGTAGGCTAATCCACTGAGTGGGTTAACGCACTGAATATACTGCCACAGGTCGACTAGCCACTAATTCACATGAGACTTTTGCTTCACTGTATTTTCTAGGTCAAAATTCCGTAAGGTAAACGTGACAACGGTTTCGCAAAAGTTTCAAAAAATCTCATTACACACAAAAATTTGACAAAAATCTCACAAAAACTTTCAGACTTTTCGAAAATTTTGAAATGGCTGCTGATTCGCTTTGAAGACATTAAGCTAAAAGTTCCGACCGTAAGGTAATAATGAGCAATGAACTATATGTTTTGTAAAGACGACTCCCAATATGCGATTCATCTGCCTGTTTTGACAAGAGAGACAATAGCAATTGAATCTTCGATAAATTTTTTTCCCTGTGCATAAAGCTGAATTCTACTACATAGCTGAATGTCTACTTTTGTATTTGTATACTTATGTTTGTATGGCATTACGTATGTTTTAAATAAAAAATCCGTTTCTGGACCGATCTGGGCCAAACTTTGCGGACATACACTTCAGGGAGGAGCAGGTGTAGTGAGCTATTTTTCACTATCGATCGATATCAAGCTACTGATTTTTCAGTAAACTATAAGCTACGGGTTAGGGATTGGGTCAGTACAAAGTATAAGTGAGTTTGCAGGAATCTCTGGATAGGTGTCGTAGGCTATTCTCCTATCGATTAAAATCTATTTATTGATTTTACAGCAAACTTTGAGCTATGGGGCGAGGATTGGTACAGGGAAGAAGTGAGCACGCTGCTTATTACAATTTTAACTTCAAAATTACGTCTGCATTTATCAACTAGTGTTTGCAGACTTTGAGGTAGGGTTTCCGGTTCAGTACAGGAAACGCAGGAACGGAGTAAATGTGTTGCGAACGAAAGTAAGATCAATGTGGGGAAACACCGTTACGTCTACGGCTGTCATCGTTTTCTGCAAATGAGCTGCGACAGGGACAAAGATGCATTTGTATAGGGTCCCCGAAAAGTATCGTACGCTCCATCGCTAATAAATCTCTAGTATGGTGACTAATCTTTGCTTGATGCGTGTTAACTTGTTACGGCTTAAACGAAATTGAAGAATTTATACTAAGCATGCCATGGTTTACTAGAAGGAGACATTGAATCTTTTGTCTGGCTTTCGCGAATTTCTGTACAGCACCTTGTAGGGCCCTGACTACAACTAAGGTTTGCAGTTTTTTTTAGAAGCAGCTGCTAGTGCAGACTTGCCGTAAATTTGAAACTAGGGATTTCGAGAAACGAAACAAATATACAATTAGCAACGCTAATCCAACCATTATAAGGTTTTTAATCTTTTGCCAACAATTTCTTTGGGCAATATATGCTCTCGCTGGTGCAAAATTCTAGTTCTAGCCGTTATTCTCCTAATGAAAAAAAATTGATGATTTTTCTTTTATAGTAAATCTAAGGTGAAGTTAGCGCTACTTGAAATGATTAGAGCTATTTGAGGACTTATTAGCAATCGAAAATGCATAGTATATTTTTTTTTGATATTAGGTTGATTCATAATTAATGCACGTTTTTCCTACCCCTTCTTCCAAGAGCTAGTATTTGATGTGTAATCAATTTCCTCAAAAACTTTTTACACTGCCTAAAAGAGTGTTTTTTATAGTTTCTTATGCGGTCTTCGCTTTTGTAAATCTCCGTTCATTCCAAAGTTGTAAGCCCTCAAATGAAAGAGACTAAACCCTAAAATTCTTGCTTCTCACTCTTTTTGCCCTAAATCCATGAGGAATAGCCGTATTAATTTCAAAAAATATGCGTAAGGACTGGGAAACTTTGTGCTACAAGATGCTAATTCAACAAAATTTTCCATGGATTCTGAGCCGAGAAATTCAATTGCGAACTTGAATGATTGTCGCGGCCCTTCCGTGCCATATAAAACTTTGAAGCAAAAGGCGATTGCAGATCTTTTGCACTATTCAGCAAGGGTAGACCTTGCTCATTTGATGGTAGAAAAGCGCTAGAGTTTTCTCACTTTTCAGCGAAGAAAAATGAAATAATTTCAAAAATGACCGATTTTTGAACCCGTCGAGATGCCAGAAAAAAGGGGGTACTTTCGACTTTTTCGCGATATTTTCTTTCAAAAGTTTTCCGTAAAATCCAAACTTGGCATTACTGCTCAAGAGACTTTTGGCTACACGATGAGCGAAGTCTGCTTTATTCTACTTCATTTCGACATAAGTTATGCTTTCTCAAAGTGGAGGCTTCTGAAAAAAGTTGTTGGCAATCTTCAGGCCAGAAATTCTTTCTTGTAATAGATACAGTCACGAAAAAGTAGCAGTTTTATAGCCACTGATTTGGTGGTTACAGTAGTTTTTATTGGGCCCAAAAATGTCTTTTCAAAAACGAATTATCCCGGTTGAAAGTTGAAGTATAGAAAACGTGCATTAATTATGAATCGACCTAATATTTCATATTTTTTTTGATATTGCATAGAAGTTCGGACTGCAATAATAGTCCATTGACAAGGTCAGCCTAGCAGTTATGCCATCTAGTATGTCCTGTTATACCACAGGCTCCTTATAACATACTACCAACTTTCAACAAAAAAGAGAATTGAATTTTGTTTTTCTTTGGGACGCTATGAAAGTTAAGAAGAGAAAATATGGGAGAAAGCGGTCTTCAATACAAGAAAAGCAGTCTTTAGATTTTGAGGCGATCGGCCAACTACCTATTGCGTCACGCGCCCCATGCATAAATTTTACCCGCGTACCGTTTGCGAGTTATCTCGCATGAGCTCAGCCTTTTTGGGTGACCGCCTTCGTCATAGATCAGATTCTATGAAAAACTTTTAGGGCTAAGGCTAAAGCACGTGTTTCATGAATTTTTTCAAAAAGGGTAAACTCTTATTTGTATTCGTTCCTCTCAGAAAAATATATAGTCCTTTTTTTCTTTTCTCATGAAAAGTTTTGAGTCATGGTAAAATACTAAGTCTGCGCCACCAAGTACAAGCTAATCAAGGTGGTGAAACCATTCGATAGCCTAAACGTAGTTCTCACAAGAGTGATTTGAGCTTTATTTCCTGTTTTTATTCTGAACAGTAGTCGCTGAAAGCAAAAAGCAAAGTCATTGAAAGCGATATGGATATACAAGGTTCGCCTGGCTTTCAATTCCATTGTGTGGAGTTTATTTGACTCGGAATTACCTAGAAGGAGTAATGTTTTGTATTAATTGCAAAAGGATAGCTCTATAATGTGGGTCCCGGCCACTTTCTCATAGGTACTTCTGCGGCGCGTACGCAACGCGCGTTCTTGTTGACGCTTCTCATGCCACTTATAGACAGAAAAGCATTTTGGTGGGAGAGTTATGAGCGTAAGAGTTATGAACGTCGACTGAACGCTTGATCAGAATCAAATTAGTTGTGGCAACCTTCCATTTCATACATGGAATAATGGTGAGCACGAAAGTTGCAGCAGGAAACTTCTTTTATAGAAAAGTGACAGTCACCGACGTTCCATTTGACACGAGAGACTTCAACAAACGATCTTCTTCCCACAATGCGTTCAAATTTTCGCTACGAAGGCTCTCATAAATTCTTGTCCAGAGAGGCTCCGCAAGGAAGGTGGTTTTAAAATCAGCGTTCGATGTCCTTCAAGAAAAGCACCCCTTCTCAAAAGGCCACTTCGACCAAGGATCTTTCCTGGTAAGCAAAAAAGAACGCTTCCACAATTTCCACTAACATTTAGTATCTAGTCAGTGCCATGGATACTGCTATAGTACTGCTAGTGATGGATGGAGATCGTAGAAACAACAAAGAGAGGATCATTTCTAGAACGTTGCTCTTCTATAATCATAAAAAACCTGAGAAGTAGAGAGCGTGTCTGTACAAGCAGAAGCTTCTATGATAATGGTGTGGGTTCCCACCAGGGATGAGCAAGAGGTCAGGCACAAGTCCTTCAAAAACGACCCCCCCTCCCCCTTTGGAAGCCCCTAAACGACCTTCCGCTTCACCACCAAGTCCTCAGGGTGTTATATTTTGAAGAAGACCAGCCTTTACTGCAGGTTTCTATTTTTTAAAAGTCTGTAGGCTCGACTTTCTGCAATTGCACAACCACACGCAACTTGACGGCAAGTTTTAGGTTTAGATAGTCCTTTTTTTTCAGAGCTACAATTTTCAGTGGAGTGTTTGGCTTCAAATTTTCAATATAGCAAGAAGAGGCTTTGCGCTCAATACTCATACTAAGGGGCGATTTTCGAATTTTGAAGGCAAGTTAGGAGGGTCAGGCGCAACCCCTCAAAAGGTCAGGCCGCCTGACCTTTTGAAGGGTTGCGCCTGACCCCATTGACTTTATTTCCAAAAAAGATTTTCTACCCAAGTTTTATGTGATTCGCTAGCGCAATCCTCGAAGATTCCACAGTAAGTGTTTGAGCTTGATTCCACTTGTTTCGGCCTTGTGCTAATCCGAGAAATTGAAGCGTGAAAAACGCGCCGGTTGGAATTTTGGCAGCACTTCTTACTTCACCGTTTGAAAGCGATATGAAGTCCGATTTGTAGCATAGACTTGCAGAGAACATTACTTTGTTATGAGTATACAAAAGCTGACTTTTCTCACTTTTGTAACCAAGTAATCACGTTTGAAAATCACGTTTCTTAGGCGTTGAGAAACACTAGAAACTGCAGTAGGTAATGGTTTGTAGAGCGCATAGAGGTAATTTGACATGCTGGTTATGGAAATGATACCCATTTCACACAGCAGGCTTCCTTGTTTACCTCATATCAAGGTAAAAGAGAAGAGGATTTGAATTTGGCTGAAACTTGGCTGAAACTTTGGCTGAAACCATTGTGGAAACAATCAGTATGCTGTTTATGACCGTCATTTCTTCATATGATCGCGATATCCACCGGACTAGCGCATTTCTTCTTCACCTTCACAGTATCTCCCCAACTTAATAAATTCGATTCTTGATTACGATCTCCCCCCCCCCCCCTCAGTCTTACCCTCAATACGATCCCCCAGATCGGGCGCGCCTGACCCCACGCTCAACCCTGTTTAGAACTTGGACAGTTCTTCTATGCCGTACAGGTTTTTATTGGTGATACACTTTATTACTGCCTTATGTTTTGGTTGAACACCGTTTTCAGAGGCCTGGAAAGGAGTCAGTACTTTTATATTACTTTCCTTGTCACCAAAAACCTCTTCACACCCGCGTATTCGATTCGTCTAAGTAGAAGATTGAGAGACTGGGCGTGAAAGTTTATCCACCAAGTGTATCACCATGGCAGCAGCGTATGCTGCTTCAGGACGTGCTCGAGTAACTTGTGAATGAGCAGTTGGATAAGTAAGGGTGACAATCTCATAGTTCGCATAGCGCAAGAAATGGCAATAGATCACTTGTTATAGAAAGCTTTTCATTCTTGCGTTCATTTTTGGGTCACGGGCAAGTACGTAAGATGCTTCTAGAGCTTTTCGGGCAGCGATTTGATCTTCGAAGGCCAGAATCTTGCATTCGATGTTGTAATCGTCACCGTTGTGCTCTACATTTGTAGGATTTTTTTGAACGAAGATATAAAAAATTTTCGGTTTTTTGGTCATCCGAAACTTTTTAGATTTTGGTTCGAGATGGACCAAAGCTTGTGCAAAAGCATAAACGCCATCTTATAGAGCTTGCTTTGCTCTATCGAATGATTTCCTGGTGTCTATTTAGAATAAAAAGTACTTATTATAGCGAAAACTCAAAAATGAGAAGACTTATGGGACAACCTAATACAGAGTGTTCCAAAAAGATGTGCACACTGTTTGATCGTTAATAACTCTCTTGCTTTCATGTCTTTTGCCGAGCTTGAGGCACCATTCTGTAGAGCCAAGACAAACTTAGATTTACAGTATAGAGCGAATCATTAATCACTCTTCATTACTGTAGGATTACGGCAGAAATTTTGAGGAGATTTTAAGCTATTAAAAGCGGTATTTTCCCTCAGAAAGAAAGCCAAACAAGCCAGAAACTTTTAAACTGGGTTATTCGAAGTTGTTGATTCTAAGTATGAAAACTGCACGTCACTACATTGTTTCTTTCATAAGTTATTTCAGATTTAGGGTGACAACTGACTCTCTAAAGTTAGTCAGAAAAGTGATTACGCCATCAAGAAAGCTCGAAAAACTGCTGGAAAGTTATGTAGTGAAATCAGCACACCTGAAAACCCTGCTACACAAATTTTTAAATTTTTTCGAAATTATTTCATCAAAATTCTTATTCCACAGCGACGCTGTATGCTGAAAGTTCATACCTTGATCCTACAGTAGCGGAGAGTAATTGGTGATTCGCTCTATACTGTGAATCTAAGCTTATCCTCGCCCTACAGAATAGTGCCTCAAGCTCAGCAAAAGACATGAAAGCAAGAGAGTTATTAACGATCAAACAGTGTGCACATCTTTTTAAGGACACCCTGTAGATGCTTCGTTCTTTGGTATGGAGCCAGCAGGCCAAATCTGGCATAGTGCCAAATCTTATTATATCGTTAAAAGGTCAGGTTAATTTGGAAGCAATCGTAGAAACTCTCCCCTGCCCCCTTCCTCCCTTCAGAATCTTACCTCCTACATTATAGTAGACGCCGAGGTGCGAGACGTCACACCTAGCCGTAGGTGTTCACACCTCGCACGCAGAAATTTCTCATCGTGTAAGTCACTCACCCCGAATAATATCTGTAATATATCGTAGCCATGCTCAACATCGGTATGTTAGATTATCAGTACAATTAAAACTTTTGATGAAGACACTTTATTCTAAGAAAAATACGCGCTGTCGGGGATTATCGGGGGAACCATACAAAATGCAGTGAACAAAACATTAGTCTAGTATAATGAACCAGCAGCTCTCTGCCGCTACACGGCAGGTTCGGCTAATACTCAGCAGCTTTGATTTTCGTTTTATTTTTACTTTTTACTTTAATGCGAAAATGTGAAAATTCGCAAACAATTTGCGATCTTGCATGAATCAGATTTACAAACTCTGCAGAAAGAAAAGTTGTGGGCATATTTTCGGCTTTGTCAGTTCATCTTGACTCAACAATCTAAGCAATGTATATTACGAAAGTGCAAAAAATCAAGAATCATAGAGGCAATCGGTAGGTCCCAACAAAATGACTTATTAAAAACGCCCCACCCACCACGTACACTATGTCTGCCAAATTTGGCTCAGATTCGATGACTTTTTCTATCTTTTCATGCGAACATAGAAAATTTTTTAAGCAAAACTGCAAGAAATCAATAAATCGATAGGGGCGATCCGTGTGTCGCTATAGCATATTAACACACCCCGTACACTAAGACTGCCAAATTTGGTTTGGATTCCGTTACTCCTTCTGTTCTTTTCGGGAGAACATAAAATATTTTCCAAGCAAGTCTGCAAAAAATCAATAAATCGATAGAGGCAATTCGTCTGTCCCTAACAAACTGGCTTAATAACACACTCCATATCGCCGCAACGCTGCGATCCTTCAAGGTTGTATTTTCTATTATTACTGTAATGCCGCGGCAACGCGGGGAACGTTATCTCATGACAAATTTTGCAGCTTTAACTTCTTCTCAAAATATGCTATGGTTATCGGGCAACAGATCGCTGCGCTGGATATAAGAAGCCGCGAGCCGAGCACGCATGAGGAGAATACTTTCCTTTTGTCTTTCCGATCACGTTGATGTCTTCTTGTTTTTACTTTATTTTGATTGCAACTCGTTTTAGCCATTTTTTGAGGCAAAAAGGCCTATGAAGATTCACCTGCGCACGCATTTCTTCTATTTTTTGCACCAAAAAGAGTTCTTGCCATTTTCGGAGATTTACTTTCGTCGCGCCGAACATCTAACAATAATTGCGCCTATTCACACTCATGCAAGAGACGCTTTATAATTATTTCTTAATTTGCGCATATATTGTTTCAAAGTATCAGACTGCGGTCTAATTACCCAAGTTTGAGGAGTAAAATCTGCGGATCGTGTGTTGGTCTTGGTTGAATTTTGGTTGGTCATTACCGTGTGGCAACGAACACACTCCACACCCTATATATTATGTATGCTAAATTTGGTTCAAACTCTGTTGCTCTTCTTATCCTTTTTAGGTGAAGATACAAAAAGTGGCTAAGCCAAATATAAGTAATATGTTTGTAGATACACTTTTGGATGGAGAGATAGCGTAAAATCAGCCCCAGGATGTGAAGCTGCATATTAAGTAAGCTACCTCCACAGCGGCCTTAAGGGCCGTATGCATTAACATCCCGTGGCGTGCGGAGAGGGAAGCGGCGTCTACGTTATAAAGGGGCCGCACGCAAATGCCGCTGCGGTTACCTCATCATTGATTACTCCGCTCTCCTTGCCGTGGGGATGTTAGTGCATATAGGCCTTGATCATGCAAGAGAGTAGCACCATACTGCACGGTATATGCGGCGTAAACGACGTACGTAGCGTGTACATACGCGGAATGGGTCGTACGCTGCGTAGGTCGCGTAGCCGCTTACATCGCGTTTCGTTTACTTCTAAGGCCCCGGTCAGACTTCACGCGACTTAATCGTCGCGACCAAATCGCCAAGATTTCCATTCATTTTCATTTCATATTCAAAAATTTCGGTCTGGAAAAGTGTCACAACCGAATGCAAGTTGATCTGCATGGAATGATGTTGTAACAGTTGTCTCCTCGCGATTCAATCACGACGATCAAATCGCGTGAAGTCTGCCCGGGGCTTAAGGATTTTTGATTGTTGAGCTGCGAGATGCTTAACGCATGCAAAGTTGTGGAGCTCGATTTATGCTTACATTCATTTGGTAGACAACAATTTGTTTTGTACTGTTTGAAAGAGACAAAAAAGTTGCCCTAATTTCATGCGTATAAGGCGCACTTTTCGAATTCTCAAGCGAGCCGCTCAGCCTCCCTGTATTTCGAGAAGAAATCCTTACATCGCACGATTCTCTCAAGCAATATACAGCACGTTATAGGGTCCTTTGGTTGTAAAGTCCTTTGGTCTGCGCTGGTCGTTTTTGGAAAAAAAATCCCCCGCGCCTATGGGCGTGAAATTAGGGTAGTATGAAACGAGTTCGTCCGCCGATTGTTTGTTGTTTATTCTGCTAAGGACTGCGCAACCTTTGACGGAGTTACTCGAAGACTGAAGCAATAGCCTCCATATTGCGACTATAAAAAGCAACAAAGGTAGATTGTCCTGAAAGTTACATTGTAAACGCGTAATTTTCCTCTCCTTTTTTCGACGGATTTTGTTGAGTCAAAATAACAAAAAAAAGAGATCTTAAGCCTTATAACAGTTTTTGGGGAGCATAGTTTGCTTAAAAAGACACCAATGGGAAAGAATGCTCTTCAACTATCGACTATATTTGAGTTCAGCTCTAGCCAAACTAATGCATTGCAAGAAGGCCCCTTTATACACTTGGTTTACGATCTGCTTTTCCAAAGGAGCTTTGTTTTTTATTGCCTCAGAAACTACTTTTGTTGTTTTGTACCGTTTATTCACTTTTCTGTTTCACAGCTTTTCAAGAAACAAAAAATGCTTGAATAGCACTATTCTTTGTCGTAAAAAGTGGCTTATAAAGCTCATACAGGATGTCTCAAAAATGTGCCTACTGTTTGATTGTTGATGATTCTCTTCTCTTTAAGTCTTTCAAAAATCTCTGAGTACCATTTTGTAAAGTTGAGTTTGACTTGAATTAACAGTACGAAGCGAATTACCGATCACTCTTCGTTACTATAGGATTACGATGGGAACTTTGAGGAAGGTATTGAGTCGTTTTAGGGCCATTTTTCACCTATGAAAAGGAGTTTGAATAGTCTGAAATTTCTCATACTGGGCTAATCAGAGAGTAATCCTAATATAAAACCACAACCAGCACTTAAACGTGACGCTTCTTTTATAAGTTATGCCAGATAAACCTTAATGGTTAGTGTTTTAATGCTCAAAAAATGCCCCGATGATTTAGTTCACACCAACCAAAAGTTCCTAAAGCAGTAAAAGTTGTGTAATAAAATCGTAATGCCTGAAAACATTGTTACACAGTTTCTCAGACTTATTTGGATTTTCTTCTCGAGCGACCAGTCTCAAAGCGGCGCTATATGCTGAAAGTTTCCACCGTAATATTACAGTAGGAATGAGTGATCGGTGATTCGTTTTATGCTTTTAATCTAAGAGAAGCCGGGTTTACAAAAATGGTACCTAAAGCTTATTAGATTCTATGACGAGAGAGCAATAAAGATTAGGCACATTTTTTGGGACACCCTATATACTGATGTTTTGAAGTTTTCTGGCAGCAATCCAAATCTTCGGTGATTAACTGAATATGATCTTCAAAGGCTTCGTTGATTACAAAAACAAGAAAAACATAACCGTACAGATGGGAAAGGGGTTTGAGTTTTCAAACACTCGTCGAGGTCCCTAAGCCTAAATATTAGGTCGCCGGTCGTCGAGGTCCCGCGCGGACTCTGCAACAAATGCGCACTTCTCTCAGCTAAAACTCATGGTAGCGTCCGCGAGGGTAAGCCTGTTGGCAACCTTTTGTCCTTTACCCTCAGAGATGCAAGAGCACATTTGAAATGGGCTGATATTACTCAAACATCAGTGAGTCTTGGTAAAATTGAATTATGCAACAATGGGAAGCTTTTTTTAGAGTGATGCTGCACAGATATTCAAAAACATCGCTTAGCTACCTAAAAACACCCACAAGTTTGGGTATTTCGACAAAAGGCTTTATTTGCAAAGGTAAAGATGAAATGTGTGATCAGCAACCTTCGGTTTGTATAAAAGAAAAGTTAAAAGAAAGTTGCATTTCAATAAATATTTGGAAAGCAGATTTGTGAAAAAAGGTATTCTCACCTTTACTAACATTTGGAAGCTTTTCCACATATAGAAGCGAAGTAGCCAGAAGCAACAGCAATATCGGGAAGACAATCTGAACCGATTCATTTACTGAAAATATTGATTTATTGAAAAGGTTGTCTACATGTACAACAAATTGCATATGTACAATTCGATTGCTTTCGCTACATCTGAGCTCAAAGCCAACATGGGCGAGCCGTTCTTGAGCGATCACAAGCGATCACACTTTTCTTCGAGAATTGTCAAACTATTAGTGCTGAGTAATTTGAAGGTAATTTGAATATACACGAAATCGTCCGTCACACACCTGCAGCGGTAGGGAAACCGACCTTTTCAGCAGCCCCGAACGTTGGTATTTGAAACTGGGTGAAGACAAGTGATTTAAAATTGCTTGTACATGCATTACGTCTATTCAAAAAAAAACCGAAGTTAGTCAGAGGTGGAAGTATGATTGGTTCTACAAAAAAAAGCATATAAGGCTAGAGTGGACCCCAAAAGAGTCCATGCGATTTTGGCCTAAAACTGTGCTCGTCTTTCGTCGTTGTGCGTCATGTATTTTCTATCATGTACCCACCATGAAAGCTATAAATTTTAGATCAATAAATGACAAATTGACCACAAAAGCTGCTGATTTACAAGAACTTGAGAAATCCTTTTTTAATCAAAGATGTCGCTCGCACAGCAATTGTATCGCGCCTATTCCATGAAACTTCGATAAGTGATTGCATTTAAAAAAAGCTTCTTCTTTCAGAAGTTATTCCCCAGAAAAGCTTTTGATGAGTAATTATTAACGATTTTTTTAGAGCGGTCAAACGGCGCTGCGCAATAATCGTATGAGTATGAGGCAGCATAAGGGAACATGGATAGCAAAAAAAATTTAGCTTACAGTCTATGTGAGGGAAGTGACGCACTGTTCTATCATAATCGTTGTGATGCGATCATTCGAAAAAAAAACACTTGCGTATAAGGCGTTACTGACCTGTATCAAGAAAAAATAACGGCTGAAAGACAACCATAACTTTTTTTGCAGTAATACTGTGCATATTTGAGTCGTATTTGCTGTATCTAAAAAAGTACGTGTATGTAGATTGTTTTGACGACCATCAGTCCTGGAACCTCAAGCTTGAAGTACAATACCGCTTACATTTTTTGAAAAATAGACGCGAATGTATGGACATGTATGGACATGTCCGTACATGTCCATACATGTCCGTACATTCGCGTGTATTTTTCAAAAAAATGTGAGCGGTATTGTATTTCCGCCAATACGCTGTGCTGCGCCATGCGTGAAACATCCGTTATACCGTACACGACCCCAGTCTTAGCGCGACTTGGCATTGCTACGATTTTATAAGTGAGAGCACCCACTCGGGATAATCAAGAACTCGGCACGTTGCTACAAATTGCGAAAGCTATGCACCTATGCATATGGATGCGCGATAAAATTGTCGACATCTGCCAAATAGCGTATAGACAGATAAAATTGCTTAAGATACACTCAACGTTAAAAGACGCATCTTATGCGAAAATACGTCATTGCGCAGCATACTAGTCCGAGACCTTCCAGATATTAGGTTGTCCGGAAATAGATGCAGGTTTTGAATTCCTACCGCAATAAGTCATAGACTTCTCATTTCAAAGTAGGTTACAAGATAACATCCGATAGAGCAAAGCAAGCTCTACAAGATGACAGTCCTGATTCAGCAACAGCTCTGATCCACCACGAGTTTCGAGCCAAAAACTAAAACGATTTAACTGCCCAAAAGACTGAGAAAAATCGTAACTCAGTGCATAAAAATCCCACAAAAATTCTAACTTGCTCACGTAAACACAATCCACATAGGGCACCTATATACGCCGTTGCCGTATTTTTCCTTCGTTACATATCAAGAAAACGGAAATTTTTGTGCACCTGCCAAAGTGGTGCTGTGCCGTTCCCACATAAGTAGTTGTATACTACAAGCCTATAGAGGTACAAGCGTAAATTTCCAGCTCTCTACAAGCTTTAATTCTCAAGAGATAGCGAGTACAGTTTTCCCTAGTCATGTGGTCCAAACTAAAATTCAAATTTCTCGAGAACTAAAGCTTGTAGAGAGCTGGAAATTTACGCTTGTACTTCTACAGGTTTGTAGTATACAACTACTTATGTGGGAACGGCACAGCACCACTTTGGCAGGTGCGCGAAAATTTCCGTTATCTTGATTTTTTACAAAGAAAAAAATACGGCAACGGCGTATATAGGTGCCCTGTGTGGATTGTGTTTACGTGAGCAAGTTAGAATTTTTGTAGGATTTTTATGCACTGAGTTACGATTTTTCTCAGTTTTTTGGGCAGTTGAATCGTTTTAGTTTTTGGCTCGAAACTCGTGGTGTCAGAGCTGTTGCTAAATCAAGACTGCCTTCTTGTAGAGCTTGCCTTGCTCTATCGAATGGTATTTTGCAGTTTACTTAGAAATGAGAAGTGTATGACTTATTGCGGTTGGAATTTGAAGCCTGAATTAACTTCCAGACAACCTAATACAAAGACAGCCCCATACATAAACGCTGATTCTTAGCGTAATTTGCCGTAAAAAATTGCAATGCAGAGTGGTCGATAGTGCAAAGCACCAGTTGGATTTGATGAATTGGTGCATTCGAAATATTGCGCTGATGCTAGGCATACACTTCTTACATTTTTCGGAGCTGCTCAAGTAGATGGAATTGCCCAATTCTTCAATTTCAAATCCTTGAAGTCGAATTTCTAACCTGCAATAATTATTAGTCTTAGAACTGTCCTATGATGAGTGAAAAACATGTGTCGACGAAAGGGCTATACAATTGATTGGACCAAACATGGTATTCCACGTCCGATTGTCACTGAACCTCGGCACTGTAACTTTTGAACGATTGTAGAGCCTTGTGCCAAGATTGTTGAATTCTTTATTCGGGCTTATGCTTCGGCGTCGTCGCCTTCTTCAGAGCCTGGAAAGGTTAGGAACATTGCGACTTATCCGCTCACCCCCAATCAGCCACAGGAGTATCACTCAACATTATGCTAAACACTACTACGATACCGGAGGGTCAGAACCAAGCTAGCGCTCACCTCAATAGCCTTGGCGGTGAACAGAGTGAGCATCACGGACTGAATTATGCCCTCATTAGTGAATTAGCCTCTCTTATAGCATCAGACCTCGACCTCGCAGATCAAAATTCATAGAAGTTTTGGTATAAAACTAACTCATTAGTCACGGCGATGCATTCCTCTTTGCGGTTCATTTTAGGGTTCTTGGATTTTATCCAGAATGTCTCTAAGGTTTTTCGCGCTATCACCTCGGGTTCGCGCTATATGATCGTGACAGTCGTTTCAAAGGAGCGATTATCATGGCATTGCCTGCAATGGGCGCCTAACGGTGTAGATGATTTTGATTTTTCGAAGCCGTCCAGGTGCTCTCTAATTTTACGCACAAGGGCTGCCCGTTTCGCCTATGTACTAGTCCCCACATGATAAGCACGTAATCATGTAGACTACTCCTAACTCCGCAATCACCTGGCCTCCCGCTTGGACAGATCACCCAGCCTGAACTTGTACATACGCGATCGTATGCGCGATTGCGTATTAATTGTTGCCTAAGGCTAGAGGGCGGTATGTATATGACCCTGACGTAAGTTTCGAGGCCCGCGTGCTGCAAACTTTTTCTGAAAGCCCTGCTTAGCTCTTTTAAAATGAAAGGTACGCAAAACGGGATTTTTGGTGATTGCTCCACTGTGCGAGTTCTGCGTTCTAAATGGCAAGAGTACTTTGACAGACTAGCCGTTATTGAAGCCGTTAGACTGCGCGATTGTTTGGCTATATTTATTGATGTAACGTGTGCGCACGCATCCAACGAAACTGCTTTGGCTCTTCTAAACATGTTACCTACCACCGACCTTTGTAGGAAAGGTTAATTCACCAATGAGGGCATAATTCAATCCGTGGTACTCGCTCTGTTCACCGCTAAGGCTACTGAGGTGAGCGCTAGATTGGTCCCGACCCCCTGCCATCGTAGTGTTTAGCATAATGAGTGATATTCCTGTGGCTGATTGGGCGTTTGAGCGGATAAGTCGCAATGTTTCCAACCTTTCCAGGCTCTGAAGAAGACGACGACCCCGAAACGTAAGTTCGAATAAAGATTTTAACAATCTTGGCACAAGGCTCTACAATCAATTCAAAAGAGCAAACATGTTCAAAATGTTGGAGTAACTCATCATGCTTCGTTACCGTGAGCTTAGACGCGGCGTCCGGGCAGATATGATATTGTAGAGTACAATGGCACCCTCCTGATAAGCTCTTGCCCAAGGGGCATTGCATCAAGTAGCTTCCGAAGCGGGAGGACTTTCGGGGATTTGCCCGCCCTTTGATCGTAGAGTACGTACGTCGCACTCGATCAAGATGTTGGGCCCACGACGACTCTGCGTCTTAACCCTTGGCAGCAGGCATTTAAATCTGAAATAAAGAACGTCTAGAGTACTCTTTTTCGACGTCTTCGTGCTTTCCAACATAGGTGCAATAGGGGAAGCAGGGTCCCTCCAGGTGAAGGGGATTTTGGCTTTTTCTGACCTAAAAGAGTGAAGGGGTAACTTACCCTCAGGATGAATGCTGACGCGAGCTCACATTTTAATGGAAGAGGGAGTGAAAAGAAGGAAAATAAATGATACAGAGATGCATTAGGCTGGCACATAAGTAATGCAACTTTTTATATAACTTTTGTCTATTTGAACGTAGCGCATTCATTTCCTGGCAATATAAGGAATATGATGCAAGTTTCTAATGCACACATTTTCGCCGAATTTTACCATCTTATGTGAGGATTACGGTAGGTTTACGTACTATGAGAGAAATTCTAGAATGCATCAGATTTTGCTGAAACTTGGCCTGTAGGGCTTTTTTTACATGCTGGTCGTAAAAATGAGATCCGTTTCGCATGAAAAGGCCTCATCCGTGAGATCATAAGATGAATTTTATTTTAGCGACAAATGAATACGATATTCGTGTTTACTGCATAAGATTACCCTATGGTGCAAAGTTATAGCAAATTCTGACTTTTCGCAGCTTAGTTATTGACAAATTGCCCTCAAATTTACGCATTTGACTTGTTCAACTTCCCAAAGGCGCCCCACCTTGATTTGTGTTTAAATTTCATTTCTTTTTTACAGATTTCAATCTGTCCACCTTTGGCTACATGCTGCATATAATTGCTTCTTGATATGTTCGATTCAGGTTTCGTAGGGCTTCATGTTTGCCAAAAAACCGTGAAACCTCAATTTTCAGCAGTTTTCGCTTAGATTTTTTGTTCTACGTTATCAAAAATCAAACGGTTTGCGCAGACTTGCAGCTTACATAACGATCTACATGATGCCAAAAAATGAGATTGCTACATAAAATAGGAAAAAAAGTTACGGGAATTTTTCTAATACTTAAGCTTTGGAATGTCAATAAGCAGAGACTTTTTTAACACAGCAAAACTTTATGATTCATGAGTCGACATTCGAGAGCTTAGAATATACAAAATCGACATAGACCGTCTTCTTTTTTTCAGCTCTCCTGTGAATTCCGATATAAAAAAAAATCATATCTAGCTTCAGCATTAGCTGATTTTATGCAATCACTTTGAGCTCTATTTTTGAAAGAAAAAGGAAAGCTAGAAAAAAAGAGACGGTCTACGTTTATGGCGAAGTCTTGCTCTGTAAATAAATTTAGACAACTAGGCATTTCAACCACTCTTTGCACAAAAATTTCTTCACAACGCACATGTTTTAGCTAAAATGCCACGTATCTCTGGGTATAGGGCTTTTTAGTGGTACATAGGTTGCTGAGTGAAAAAACTTGTTGCTTTCAAAAATAAGGTGAAGATATTCAATACTAACTTGCTCCACCCCGCTCTGACTTTCTATGGGTCGCCGCAGCAAGACTTTTTTGGACTGGGAAAGTTTCGTGCAGCAATACTTTGTATACATTCTATAGCTAAAAATACGAGGAATTAACTTAAACTATCTCTTTTTCCCAGCTTTTCGTGAAGCGAAATACGAGCAGTTTTATCTAGCTACAATATCAGCCAATTCTGGGTAATTATGATTACCTCATGCTTCATTTTTAGAACCAAGAAGGTCTTTGTCGAAGTTTTAATTATCACTCGAAAGCTTGCGAAACTTATTATTCTCTCTAGTTAAGGGAGAAATGGTAAATTCTTGTCAGTGAGCATGTATCTATCACTAGTCAGTCCAGATTTTCTACTCTTGCTCACTCTTTCTTGCGACAATGTGTCTTCATTGATACTACAATGCCAATTATTCATAAAATCAGACATCCTTTTGGTTTTTGACTATATTTTGTTATCAATACCACTTTGAGCGCGCAGGAGATCTCAAGCATGCGTTTTCTCAACGAAACGCTGTTAGATGCTCTCTGGCAGTCTTGATGTTGGAGGAGAAGGGCAGCTGATTGTTTAATTCTGCCGTTGTGCCTTGATTCTCAACTTCAGGTGAAAGGGGCCAGCCAGACGTGGGCGCTAAAGTGGAGGGGGCTAGAGAAGTTTCTCCACCATTTATGCTCTCCAAACTGCATTTTTAGAATCAGACGGAAGGGCGAGTCCAAGCATGCGAAAAATAATTTCATTTATAATTTTGCCCGGACGCTACCTTTGGGACATAAGCTTTAAAAGGATGCTTTACTATCAAAACTTTTTGATATCGTTTGTAATAACTATACTCTTTTCAAAAAATATGAAGTTCTCATAATGTTCTCCATTCGTTCAAACATTTTGAAGATGAATTACTCTTAATTATCCATTTTGATTTCTGTAACAATTACTTGGTAAATGTTTATAGGCGTGTGTTGGGCTGACTATATTTAGTTTTTTTGTACATCTCGAGTGGATAAATCAATAGGTTGAGTGCACACTCTGGATTTTGGCTCCTTTTGGCACATCTCGACCGTGATAGACAAACAAAATAGTAGTTAAGTGCACTCTTTTGTCTTTTAACTTCCTCTCCACATTTGCACACGATGTTCTCGACTGCAGGTAAGTTGTGTCACTATATCGTATGCGTATGCAAACAGAATCACAACAAGAATTCAAGTTCTTGAGACTGGCATTTGATCAAACTACATACCAACTACATATCTTTGGGCGCGAACGCGGCTTCATTAGCCGCAGAGCGCATGAGGTGCAGCACAACGGTGAAGATACGCATGCATCGCGTTCGCGCCCGCTCAACTGATACTGCTTCTGCGCTTTCGTCCTGCAGCAGCCTTTAGTGATTTAGTCTCTCACGAATATTAGGCCGTCCCGAAAATATTTTGGTTTTTTTTAACAAGCGCAACAATGCGTGGAACAAATGTTTTCAGAAGGTCTTGGTAGCGTTGGATACGGTTTCTTATGCTCTTTCAATCAAATATTTTTATGTTGCGATTAAAACTCTCAAAAATTACCAAAAAACGACCCATAGATTCTTACCAAATCCAACTTTTGCTGTTTTTTGAAGTTCTTGTATTCATTCCTCCAAGAAATCCAAGCAACGTACAAATAGGACAAGCTCTATAGGATACAAAACAGTTTTGCTCTCCTCCACATGGCTTGCCATAATTCTTGAATCTTCAACAACACCATCTATTCTTAGCAGACCTATACCAAACACAAACTCATAGATACAAGCCATCATTTATAGTTTTCCCTGGCTGAACTCGCATGGAGCCAGAGTTTGAAGAAAGAGACATTTTTGACACTGCTGAAACGATGTTCTTTTTGAGTTGTAAATTGTTTTACTTATGTAAAAGTGTTGAACAACTTTTGGGGGATCAGAAGTGCTTTTTTATCGGAAACTAGCTGGCTTACCCGGCTCCGCCGTATGTTCCGAATAGAAAATTCCATTTCTTAACCGATCCGGACCAAACTTGGCACACATACACTTCGGGCCCCGGCGGGTGTCACAGTCCATTTTTCGTTATCGATCGAATTTTGCAAAAAATCGATAGAATCGATATCGATCGAAGACGAAAAGTGGCCTATGACACCCGCCGGGGCCCGATGTGTATGTGTGCCATGTTTGGTCCGAATCGGTTCAGAAATGGAATTTTCTATTCGGAACATACGTACACACAGACAGACAGACAGACAGACAGACAGACATTCAGCTTTATATATAAGATGACTTAGAGAAACGTCAAATCAAATCAACGTGTCAGATATTTTGCTGACACGTAGCAAGGAGGCAGTCCTTGTAAAATCTATAAAAAAAAATTCTTCTTAAAATAATCAGCATATTATAGTTGAAAAGTGGTCCGGATAAGGGAAAAGTACTCAAGCAACATACTATAAGAGAGGAGAAAATGTTGCATCGAATAACACTCGAGCTGCTCGCCTGTTGTTGCTCTATGAGGTTATGTTGATACGAATTTAAACGGATCAAAAAGATAGTTCTGAAAAAATAGTTCTGAAAATCATTCAGAATAGGTCAAAGAAAGGGAAGAAAGTGCTTTGTGTCCTATAAAGTTCGTTCATATACATTACTTGGAAGTCTTCAGAAAATTTATGCACGAATCTAGAATAGTGAACCTTAAAAAACAAGGGTCGCAGTTACTGGTAGCTCAAGAGCTCGTTTGTTCAGCTGTAATATAAAGGTAATTTTTGAAAAAGTATAAAGAAAGTGCTCTGTACTGCATCGAATGCTACTAAGATTTTTCATAAACTCTGTTCCACGGATCGTGGCTTTCTTTTGACACATTGGCGACAACGTGACGTGACCCACATGGTGGGCCACGGCTCAAATTTTGTTGAAATGATTACAATTATTGGTTACTTTCTTTTATGAGGTTTTCTAGGCTCTAATCCTAAAGATACTTTGATGTTTCTTGGCTGCTTCTCAGAGTTTATGTAGGTATAGTATAGACGAACTGCGTGATTTTAGTTAGAAATATTCGACTTATTCATGAAAGGCATTGTCCCACAAGGCAGACAACTAAAATGCGCGTTGTCGCCAACGCATTAAAGAAGCGGAGGGAACTTTCGGGACGACCTAATAGTTCAAAGCTGGATTCCATTACCACATATAGTTCTACAAGCAGATGCTTTAGCATTTGTCTTTCATTCCCCTAGTAGGTAACCCCAGTCCTCTACAGTTTGTGAAAATTACAATCTCTGAAATCATTATGTCGATTATTGCAGATGTTCCTGAGATATCTTCATTACAATCAAACTCTATTTTAAAGGGACCAAAAGCTCGAACAATTCGCTTGCTTGTGACTCTGCGGGTGGTTTTGCTCAAAAGCTTTGACTTTAAGGAAAACCTTAGAAAGGCTTACTCAGTCATAAAAACATAAGTACGTGTTGGCAACATGTTCGAAGCGGTCTTATCTTTAATAATGAAACACGGTATCATTGCTTTTGGCTCAGCAGATTACAAAAGCGACTACAGCTTCACCGCGGTGCTTGATTTTGGAGAAGGTAAGAGTACTTCAGTTTTATAGCACACTAAAGTGCCTTTCAGCCGCCTCTTATTTCAGACAAATGTGGCAGGTAGTCTGCTGAGGCATACAGTAAGCAAATTTTCAAATGTTATCAAAGCTGCAACTAAGTTACCATTTGTATGAGCAGGTTTCGTTCTCTTGATGCTAAATGATATTCTTAGGGTTGGACCAGACTACGCTGGGAAAGCGGCGTACGCGATGTACGCAGCTTACGCTCGGTATCTTTCATCATAGGAGCGTACGCAACGTACGCTGCTTATGCCGCTTTCCCAGCGTAGTCTGGTAAAGCTTATTTCCAAAACAAGTGAACGATGCCTATATCAAAAACTGTAGCAACTCTACCAACTTTCAACCTCAAGTTTGTTGCGAAAAAAACAATGAAAGGGGGTAATGGTCGGATAAAGAATGATGGTCTGGTATGTCCTTTGCTATGAAACAAATGCTACGATTGTTACACCTACAAATGTGTTCTGCATTTTTCATGATTTTCCGCTTTTTGTAATTAACCCTCGCCAAAAATATGCAGGTTATGATGACAGCTAGAATAAGCCATTAAGCCAATGTTCAAGTTTTGGAAGCCTTAAGATATCGACGTATTTCCCAACTGTTAAAATCCGATGGTCTACAGGTTTGAAGCAGATAAAGCCGTGCAGCTTAATAAATACATCAAGAACTTGGGCGAAGCATTGCTAGAGGCTGATTACTGAAATCAGTAAAAAAAAGATAGAGAGAAACAGGTTAGAATCTTCACTCTCGAGAAAGTGAGCATATTACTGTTGTCAAATCTGTTCACGGCAGTCTCTAGGGAGGATTCGCAATCTTAAGATTTGAAAAGATGAATGAAGCCAGTTAAAACACATGGTGAACTGTAGTAGCCTTCGCAAAAAAGCTTTCACTGGAAAAGAATGTAATTTTTTGTGACCAGAATCTTAGATCTCCCCTCCCCCAGACCAGGTAAACCAAAAGCCAATTCTGTTGAAGTCTGTAATATTTTCTTCTTGAAAATTGCCTCCAGCATGCTATTAAATTTGTAATTATCTGCGGTACGCTTTTCAAAGAAGCTTAGGCGTCAAAAATAAAGATGCAAACGCTTTCTGAAAAGATTTAAAATCGGCTCCCTGTGCAAACGCTCACTCACGGTGCACCATTCTATCAATGATTGCACATACTGCAGTACTCTTGTACGAAGTGGATTATTAACATGGTTGAGCTTGCGAATTTTTTGCGGGGTTTGCGGAAAAGAATTGCACTTGTATCACTGACTTCAGCAAAACATAGCATATTGAATGACGCTCCGTCTACAGAGGCATTCCTTGTTAATTGAAGCTACAAGTTCATGAACGAAATCAATCAACAAGTGAACGTCTGTCAATACTATTTGCAAAGTTGTATCAAACATAGTAACAAACCTGCGACAGATGTCTTCCATTGTACAAAGCCTAATATAGGAATAAATTATGCCAAAGTCTGACTTCTTTTCCTCCAAAACTTGGAGCAACTTAGTTTCTCTTGATGGCAAAAGTACAAATTTTATAATTATTATGAAACACTTACTTGCTGGGCAACATTTTGAAGAGACCGAATTTCATTTGATTTCCACAAGCTTGCAAAAGGTCCGCAGTAGGTATGATCTCACGTACTGCCTGAACTACAGATTTGTATTCCATTTTATTGCCCAATAAATACAAAATAATTGTCTTGAAAGTGCACAAATTTTGTAAAAAGGCGCAGTATTCTAACAGCATGCGGTGAGAGTGTCATTACCTTTTCTATAGAAGCCGTAGCGTCTGCGATTATTTTTGAGTTGAGAACAATATCTAGTATGTAATCGTATCCAAATCTAAAAGTTTCATGTTTCTGAAAATCTGAAAGTTTTTAAGTTTCTTGTAAATTTTAGAGTAAGCTTTTTTTGTTCCCCATTCCTAACAACAACATATCTTAGGTCTGCCACCTCATCTGTGGCACCTAGATGAAGCATGCGGACCGTTTGAGAGGGCTAGAGGATTTGTACTGTATCACTTCACAGAAATTTAACACTGATGACTCGAGTAAAAAATGCTTAGTTTCCAAAAAAAATAAGCCCAATTTTCCAATACAATTTTTTTTCCATTGCAATTTCGGTCGCCGCGCGACTCGGCATTGGACGATGATAGCTCATATTCTGCTTAGCGCACTTTCGGTAAGCAAGATCGAACGCTTACACTACATCATGGAGTTCGCCCGTGCAAATCTGGCTGATTGATTAATAACATCTATCAATTTCTTCTTGACTTTTTTGTGATTTTTTTTCGCAATCCAGCACGGTTTAGCCAAGACCATAGGCGAATATTGCAGCTTTTTAGGTGTGGATTCTTTGAATGCTAATTCCCCCCTCCCTCAGAAAAGTTGCTGGTTCTATCCTCATTTAAGTTCAGCCTAATGTAGACCAAACTTGATTAGAATAGTAGTGCTGCCTCATTTCAGCTTTTATAAAGGTCTAGGTCTATAAGGCTCGTGGTTTCGAATAACAAAGATATGCTTTGCAGCATTAGTACAAAATTTGCAGCAGGGTTTTCTAGTTGAAGGCAACTTACTCAACTCTTAAGGTTTTATTTGTACTTACCCAGTTTTTATTTTCTACAGAGCCTCTGGGTCATCCTCAAATTGCTCGCCTGGGCTGGTAGTATCTCTTTGGCAGGTCCCTGCCACCTTTCCGTGAGGTGGTCAGAAACTAAAACCCCAAACTTAGGCCGTCCCCTTTCTCCAAAAGATTTTCACGATGAAGATGCCACCTCGACCCTATAGAAACCTACATCGAAATTTGCGGTCCTAGAAGTTTTCCTCAAAAAATATCTAGCGCAGGAGGAGCTGCCGGCAACTTCGCAAGTTGCTGGCAATCTGCCGGAGCTCGTCGAAATTCGGGAGGTGGCAGCTGCCGGCAGGTCAGAGAGCACGAGAAATAGCGTGATCCTTTGAAAGAGAAACCTGCGCCGTCTGCGAGTTTGCGAATTGCGGCGATATCACACAACTTACGTTAGGCGAAAAACTCAAAAAGTTCTACTTTCCATCAAAAAAACTATCATTTTTCTCATTATATGAGTTCTTCTTTTTTAAAACGACAATATTCTTACAGAGAAAAAACCCTAGTAATGCCTTAGAACCATAAAGAACACCATCTTTTTGGCAATCCCTTTTAAATCTTGTTCGCAACGATGCTCTCTCTCGCTCGTATCATACAGCTGTTTTCCAAGCCAAAGTCTCTCACACAATGTATCGATTCCTTTTACAGGCGGCCACTTACAGGGCTTTTCAACCTGAGAGTCGCAAGTTTCGCTTGCGCGGCTCCTCAAACGCGGCCGCCTCGCCCAGGCCGCGCGCGACGTTTGCTGCGTATCGCCCGGATTTCGCCAAGCTTCGTCGACGCGCAGCCAGCGCCACGAACGCTGCGCAGACCTAAGCGTGGCGTCCTAGCGGGGCAGGTGGGACACTCAGGTTGTAAAGCCCTGTACCAATGCGTTCCTCCTGTTGCTGGTGCAAATAGCCATGACTCACCGAATGGTTTAATGGTTAACGTGGTGGCAATCAAAGTTAACGCACTTAGGTTCGACCCGTGCGAGGTAGTAGTTTTGCGGCTGTCTGCGTCATCAAAATTCAAGGTGCGAAATAATTGCGTAATATCATATTATAAAAACTTACAATCACTCCGCGAGCTGCCAAGATGGCAACTTCTCCGCGATGTGTGCCTAATTGCCGGCCTCTTTGATGCGACTAGATAGGGTAGATTACTACCGGCCCTGATGCCTGACACCTAACTTGTAATCAGTTCGAAACAAATGATCAACCATATTCCTTCTCATATAATGTTTTGTTCCCTTTCAGGCGCATACATACGAAATGGGTGTCAAATAATTGTATGCTTGTTGGAACAAAACCATTTATATCTCGGGTAGAAACTCGAATTTCTGCGCTCCCTGAGAACGTAATAGGGTCCAAAATCTTCTGCAGAAGATGGATTTTTAGAGAGATTACGTGCACGTGGGTTTGTAGTAATAAAAACATAATATCAAACAAAGGTGTAGGAGAAGAGGTGTGACGACATTTGTCAGAATGGCTGTCGCAGCTCGCGATGCAAGCCACTCCTCGAAACAGGAGGCCGGGAGCGCTGGCTATAGCTTTGCTTGGCGCGCTACTCATTTCGCGCCAAGACCTCTCCTGCTGGGCGCGTTGCCAAGTCACAGGGTATATAAGGGCGCGCAGGCCGCGGTCTACGCCTCTTCGAGTTTCGTTCGTATCGATCGTTTCATGATATTGTTCGTGCTAGCAGCGCCTCCAGCAGCTCCCGCAGATGATCATCAGTTTCGAGCGATTGAGCCTTCGTCATCTTCTTGGTTTTGGAGAAGCGCAGCTTGTATTGTGGTTTATCGCGCAGAAGGAACGGATTGCGGGAGCGGAGAGGGGTCACACCGTCCCGGAAGGGCTAGGGGCCTGCGGTTGACCCAGTGGAGAACCCGGAACACATGTTGGAGACGATTATCGTGGAGCATCGGCAGCACGGGACGAGGCGGCTCGTCCCGTGCCTTCCTTTCCTTTGTAGTTTTAGTAGCCTAATAGTTTTTAGTAGTTTTAGTAATAGTTGTTTGTGTTTTTGTAGATAAATGTAATTTGAACTAGTCGTGCGTGTGATATTCGTGTTGTACGGGTTTGGGATGTTGGCGTCGAGCAGACGCGCTAGGATCGCGCGTACTAGCGCAGAAGCGGTATGTCCTGGAGTCAGGAATTGTGTCGTCAGGCGGACGAGCACTAGGGCGAGGGGTGCTGAGCACACCGAGCCGCAACATGGTGCATCGACGCCGAGCGCATGGTGGATGATATTCTCCGCCCGCGCATGGAGTTTACCTGGTCGAGCAGGGAAACAACACCGTTGGAATGCAGGGATTAGCGTCAGTCAGGGACGCGCTTTTTCATCCTCCATGCGTGCGTAACGGACCCGATGTCTACCACGCTCAGCACGCAATAAGAAGACCAGGCAAACAAGGAAGCTGGAGTGAATATCTACGTAACCGGTAGCGAGGCAGCGGGGCTAGCCAGGGTGAGAAGTATGGCGTCAGAGCGCGGGGGGAAAGTCGGGAAGACTGTGGCAACTTGCAACTGGAACCCCAATCGACGTCGAGCGCCTACGCCATGCGATACCTGATCAGCCTGCCGTGTTTGGAAGTGCTATCCAGGTGGAGGGCCGGTGTCGTTATCTGACGGGCTCGACACGGGGGCGCCAGAGAGATGGTGCCAGCGGCCGCACATGTCGAGTCTTCAAAGTGGATAGGAGCGATTGAGGGGTACAACGATGGACAGGATCGCCGGACGAACGTATTGAAGGATCGATAGCTGCTGGAAGGACAGTTGGACGATGGAGAAGGAGCAGATGAAGATTGGATGGAGCGAAGCGCGCTTAGTATTGTATCGTTGTACGTGCAGTAGGTGCTGTATCGTTGAGCGCGAAGCGCGCGCGTGAAGCATGATCAGGGGGCGCGAGAGGAGCTGTATCGTAGTACGCGTATCATCAGTGCTGTATCGTCGAACGCGCAGGAACTGTATCGGAGCACGCGCCATGAAGGATTGGACGTTGGATGTCAGGGCTGCAGGAAGTTGGAGATGTGGAAGATCGATGGATTGATGGAAGTTAGCGCGATTTTAGTATTGTATCGTTGTACGCGTACGTAGTATTGTATCGTAGAACGCGCAAGTATTCTATCGTTGCACGCGCTATCCGGAAGGCGATGGAATGGAGGATCGATTGGACGAAAGGAGCTGCGCAGAGTTGTATCGGTGGACGCGCAGGGATAGAGCTGTATCGTCGGACGCGATGGGAAGCGCAGGGGTAGGGGATCGGCACCGTCCTATAGAATTAGGAGCTTGGACCATAACCGGGGAGTCGGGATTCGGGCCATATAGTGTAATTTTGGGGTTTTTGCATGGGGGTACTTATAAGGGGTTTAGTGTATTGTAATATTTGGGTTTCAATATATTTAGGGCATATAGTAGGGGCATATGGGTTAGGGTCAGTACTAGAGGGTCCTAGAACCCAAACCCAGTTAGTCTTTCTTTCACACCACCTTCTCTTCTTTCACTCTACTGTAGTTTAGTATTTCCAAAACCGGCTAGTTTTGACCCCTTAGTATACTCCCTTCCTCATATTTCTTTTCTTTTTTTACAATATTGGCCCAATGAAGGACCTGTAGTCGCCCTCTAAAGTAGTGCCTCATAGGGTACCGTAAGGTAAGTTTCTTTGGTGCAAAACGCGCACTTGCACCTCTGATTCTACGCCCCTTTAGTTCGCCACCACCTCTAGTACAAGCGGGGAGCAGCCGTGCAGGGATTGGGGACTGTCGCGCAGGAGACAGGGAAGTACCATCAGAACGCGAGCAATGCAGGATGGCGACAGCTGCAGGATGCACGGTTCACTATTAGGATAAGGTCCAAGTGCCCATGGGTTATCAGATGATGCCTCTCCGATTCGTCAGTAGGAGCTCTGGATAGTTTCTGGCCGGCCTCCGGCAGGTTACTTGTCTTTGCACCTCGTTGTACGCGCGCTACTCAGTACCGCGCAGGTTCTTCAGTGACACCCAGATGTACTTGTTTGCCTTACGCCTATGATAACTTCAGTCGCCGTTCATCCCATTTGTGTTTTTGTACTAGTCATCCTTCTCTTACGTTAACCACTTCATATTTATCGCTCATGTACATATCGTTACTTTTAATTTATTGTTTTCCTTTCTTTTCTTTTTCAGATTATGTCGATGCTTGGTGCTCACAAAGCTCAGATCACTAAGGCCGCCAAAACGCTCCGTAACAAGATCGCGGACTTCGATGAGGCCATTTTGGAACCGGTGGATCTTACCACGGAGGCAGGTAGGGATTCACAGTTCATTCTTAATCGTAAAAGTTTGTTATTTTTCAATTTTACTGTTCTTGTTCGTACTGTTGATTCACTTCGCGCCCAGAGAGAGAAGGCCGAAGAGTTTGCGCGTCAGCATCCTGACGAGCAGGGCGAGTTCCCCTTCCTCCAACAGATTCAGGAGCATTGGGACGCCAGTGAACTGGATCAACTTGTGGAGGAAGCCGAAACTCTCCGTGATCGTGTCGACGCTGCGATCAAACTCTTGACGAGCTCGGAGGCATTGTATATTTTTCGCGCTTCTACTGTTCCTCCCTCTCTTTGTAATCTTACTCCTAATCCGGCCCTGGACCCCATTTGTACCCGTCAGCCACCGCAGGATGTGAGAATGGAAATCGCGAGCCATTCTTCGTCGCATGACCAGGATCGTCCAGCTGATCCGGAGGCAGTCGCGCGAGCTGATCGGACTTCCCCACCCGCACGCGCGCAGAGCGTCGTGCAAGGATTCGACAACCCCTCACAAGTCCCTTCATCCCACCCAACTTTTGCAAACCCCTTCTCAACCCTTCCCCGTCGAATCCTTTCGTTTCTTCATCAGTCCCTAACTCCAACCTTCCTTACCCATCCATGGAACAGTCATTGAAGTTGCCTACTTTCGAGATTCCAACCTTTCACGGAGATGTCGACAACTTTTTGGAGTTTTGGGATCTCTTTTCGACGGCGGTGCATAACAACATCAGTGTGCCAGTGTCACTCAAATTTATGTACCTCAAGTCACATCTACGAGGGCCAGCCGCGAGCCTTATTGCCGGCTTTCAGTCTACGGCAGAAAACTATAAAGACGCAGTACGGACCCTGACTAATACGTATGGAAGGCCGGAGATTCTCCGAAATAGGCTCTGGGACAAACTGATGCAGCAGTCACCAGCATCAGAATCGCCAATGTCGCAACGCGCGACACTTTGCACCATCAAGGCCATATGGTCCCAATTGAAACATCTCAAGGAGGACTCTAGCGCCATCGGCACGCTTAAGATCATTCGTGCCAAATTTCCTCGACGTACACGCGAGAAAATTGGCGAATACAAGACGAAGGGAGATTCGATGTGGACAGTGGATGAATTGCTTTCGACGTTAGATACCATCATTGATAGACTGGAAACTGTGGAAGATGCTGACCCATCGGACTATCATTCATATAACTCCCAAGCAGCATCCCGTCAATCTTCTCCTTCGCCGCCTAGGTATCCGAGCGCGAGTCGCAACGATCCAGCGTTTACGCGCTATCGCACGTCATCGTACTACCCACGACGTTCGTCGCAATCGCGCACACCATCACCCTACAGCAGGCACAACAGACCACCAACACCATACTATCCTCGCACTACGTCGCGCAGTCCCAGACCACGTTATGTAGCTCGTTACGAGCCTCAGTGTGCCTTTTGTTGTGAGCTTGGACATTCATCAGAGCGATGCAGGATTGTGCAGGATATCGCGCAGCGTAGATTGTTTGTCAGTCGTCATAAGCTCTGTTTTTTGTGCTTGGAACAAGGTCACACTTACATTTATTGTAATGCATCACCATGTGGATACTGCGGCAGATTACACCATAGGGCTCTTTGTATGGATTTTCCACGCTCATCGCGACCACGATTTCCATCCGGTGAAAGGACTACATATCCAAGTCCGGAGAAATCCTACTCTCCTAGACGCGTGCAGTTCCAAAGAGAGACTTATGGCCCACCTCGCGAGTATAGTAGCCGCTCACGCGCATCTCCATCGCGCAATCTTCATTCTGAATCGCCATCTCCATCTAGGCGACAGTCTTCTTTTCACCAGCTAGGCGTGCCCCATCCGCGCGCCGATCACGTAGCCCTACCTCCGCAGTACACACGGCCACCCGTACTACTGACCTACCTTGTACTACCAGAGACGCGCAAGCAGAACTTCTTGATCAACAACAGGCTTGTGTAGGCTCACATTCACCATCATCATGCACTTCTGTTTGTTCTCAAGAGTCGGTGCACCAGGAGCCGCGCCTAATGGTAGTACATGCTGTGACGAAGAACTATAGAACGAGAACGGAGGAGCTTCTGACAGTGTTTTTGGACAGTGGCTCGCAGTATAGTTTTATCTGTACGTCGTTAGCCAAACACTTAGGCTTACCGTTCCGTAACACTAAGGAAGTTACAACTCTGACATTCGGAGGTCATCAGTTTACGGAGGAATCGTCAGACGTCACACTCGTACTCTGGGACCAGTATAACTATCCGATTGAACTCGAGCTATGGACGCGCGAGACTATCACGACGGTCCCACGGATTAATACTCTAAACGACAGTGACATCGTCGATTACGAGGATAGAGTCGAGGTCGAGGTGTTGATTGGAATTGATAACTATTGGCGGGTTGTAGACTTGCACAAGAACGAGAAGTTACCATCTGGCTTAACGTTGTCGCATACGAGATTTGGACCAGTTCTATCTGGATCGAAGTACCCGGTTGTCTCCAATACCCTTTTAGCAACCAAGACCCTCCTTACGGATGACGAGCCGGTAAGCGACCATCTTGTGCGAAGTCTCCTTGGCCTCGACACAGTTGCGATAGAAGAACATGAGAATGCAGAAGATGCTAACGTCATCAAGCACTTCTATGACACGGTCAGGATCGAGGATGGCAAGATTTATGTCTCCTTCCCATGGAAATCGAATCATCCTCCTCTTGCTGATAACAAAGCACTAGCCTTTCGTCGACTGCAGAACCAGTACGAGAAGTTTCGTGCTACACCATCGGTATGGGATGAATATTGTCAGACATTCGAGAAGCAGTTGAAGAGAGGAATAATAGAAGATGTCACGCACGTTGTCGCGCAAGGCCCTAATGTTTACTACATACCACATCAAGGCGTTTACAAGCAGGAGAGCTCGACTACGAAGTTGCGAATCGTCCTTGATGCGTCTAGCCACCAGAAAGGCTTTCCTAGTCTTAATGACTGCCTTCATCAAGGACCATCCCTGCTACCCGACTTAGTAGGAACCCTGATGCGAAGCCGCTTCCATCGTTATCTTATCATCGCGGACGTGGAGAAAGCATTCCATCAGATCCATTTACATCAAGATCAAAGAGACTCTACTAGATTTCTCTGGTTGAAGGACGTGCAACAGCCACCCTCAGCAGAAAATCTACGTATCATGCGCTTCGCGCGTCTGCCATTTGGCATAAACGCATCACCATTCTTGCTCAGCATGTCCATCAGATACTTTCTTGAACAGGATCCAGCGAACCGTCTCAAGGAAGAGATCCTTGCTAACACATACGTGGATAACGTCATAGTAGGATCGAAGACCACCCAGGATTGTGTGGACAAATGTATGGAGTGCAAGGACACCTTCGCCAGGATGGGCATGAACCTCCGAGAGTTCATGTCCAACAATCAGAAAGCATTAGTAGCGATTCCTCAAGAAAGCTGCATGATCATCCAAGGACATTTCGCTAAGTTTTTAGGACTCAAATGGGATCCTAAGCTTGATGTTTTACACGTGCCTATCAATATCGCGCGTCAACCAGTTGTTAGTAAGAGGACCGCGCTACAAGTATACGCGTCGACGTTCGACCCCCTAGGATTCTTGACACCTTTGCTGATAAAACCTAAGATTTTCATACAGGATCTTTGGGAGTCCGGTTATGGCTGGGACGATATGCTGACTGAGGAGGATATCCAGAAGTGGAACACGATTGTGCAGGACATAAGCGAGTTTCAGTTGCGGATGCCGCGCTTCATTGGCTATACCGAGGAAGATACGTACGACTTGGTCGTGTGTTCAGATGCGTCCAAGCGAGTGTATGCCATGACTGCCTATATCGTGACGCGCCCTCATAATGGCAAGCCTCAGTCATCTCTACTCTTTGCTAAGGCAAAGTTAGCTCCACCCGGCGCTATTACGATTCCGCGCATGGAGCTCCTTGCTTGTCATATGGCAGCAAAAACAGTGCAGTTCGTGAGAAGCCAACTCAAAGTTAGATTCCACTCCATCAGGTTTCTAACTGACTCGCAGATAGTCCTTTACTGGATACAGTCCCACAAGCCCCTTAAGACCTACGTCATCAATCGTGTCAAGTACATTCGTCGCGTTTTGGACGAGCTGAAGGCAGACGAAATCGCCTCTGGATTCTATTACCTGGCCACGGAAACCAACCCAGCGGACTGTGCCACCCGGGGATTGACAACATCTGAACTTGAACAACACATTTGGTGGACAGGTCCCAGTTTTTTCATGACGCCCTTCGAACAGTGGCCCTACAAGGCTTTCAAGCCATCACATGTAACACCCGCAGGAGCAGAATCGGAAGAACTTCGTGTACCAAGGGCAGTTGTTTCTTCGGTCAGTAACATCCAAGAGACGTATAGATCTTTCGTGCCGTTCACACGTACGAATTCGTACGCAAAGTTAGTTCGTATTACAGCATACGTCCTTAAATACCTTTCTAAGCTGCGTCATAGAGTCAAGACGCGCTTTCAGAGCGAAGACCAGGACGAATGCTCTCTTTTCAGCACGATAGATATTACTTCCACTATAACATCGGACGATTTTACGGCAGCTGAACTTGTACTCATACGCGAACATTATCGCGAAAGTCAGCGCCAAATGGACGGATCGTATGTGAAGAAACTCCACACGAAATACGATACGGACGGTACTATAAGAGTTGACTTGCGTATGACCAACGCGCAGATGAGCGATACAAGTAGGAATCCCATCCTCATACTTTCATCTCATCCTCTTTGCGAGAAGTTGATCGCGCATTACCATCATCAGCTCTTTCACGCAGGACCGTCACATTTGATAACAGCTTTACGTGAGAGATTCTTCATACCCAAACTAAGACGTATAGTAAAATCGTTTATTTCCAGGTGTGTAATCTGTAAAAGATATCAGGGTCGCCCATGCACTTATCCGAGTCCACCTGATTTACCAGCTGAAAGAGTTACGAGGAGTCGTCCGTTCCAGCACATTGGATTAGATCATTTTGGGCCTATCTCCGTCCGTTTGCTGAACTGCGATCGCCATAAAGTCTGGGTTTGCCTCTTTACGTGCATGTCGACGCGCGCACTGCATTTGGAAGTGGTAAGAGACAACTCTACGTTCCAGTTTATACTTGCTTTCAGAAGGTTTATGGCACGCAGAGGAACTCCGGACAGCGTTACATGTGATAACGCGCCTACCTTCAAATTGGGACAGGAGATCATCAAGAATCAGCTGACGACGGTTAGGAACGATTCCCAGATGGACGAGTTTCTGATGAGCCATAACATTAAGTGGAGCTTCATAACCCCGTATTCGCCTTGGAAAGGGGGATTTTATGAGAGATTGGTCGGATCAGTGAAGATCGCGCTGAAGAAAGCGATACGGAATCAGACTCTAGATCTTTGGCTCTTTGAAACGCTCATCATAGAGATAGAGGCCATTCTCAACACCAGGCCACTCTTTCCGGTAAACTCGGTAAATCCCAGTGCAAATGCGGCCATTCGACCGATCGATTTGATATCGCCACAGTTCCGAATAGCGCGCTTGACTCACAGTCTGCCTCAGAAGGTTAAAAACTCGTCGAGCGACAACTATCAAGCGCTTAACACGCGCTACAGAATACTGCAGACCGACTTAGACCGTTCTTGGGATGTCTGGCAGAAGGAATACTTATCAGTATTGGCGGAAAGAGAAGCTGTACGCGCGAAAACCCGGTCTTCTATGAAACTACCAAGAGTCGGTGAAGTTGTGCTCGTCAAAGAGGACGCGCCGAGATCAAGCTGGCCATTGGGACTTATTTTGGAATTACACACCTCTAACGATGGCAATATAAGATCAGCCAGAATCAGAACAGGCAAAAGGAGAGTGGTCGACCGTGCAGTGAATCATTTATTGCCTCTGGAAGTAGTAGCAGAGAGTGAGGAGCCTTCTCAAGGTGATTGTCAGCGTAGCGCGAAGGCGCAACATCGTCATCGTGGAGTGTCTAAGAAGTAGCTAGGAAGATACAGCATCTTTGCGTAAGTAAAATTTCTAATTTCATTATTTTCCTTCATTTACTTTCCTATTCTTGTTCCATTTCTTTCACTTCTTTCCGCTATTGATGATTGAGCGCTAGTCGCGCGATCATTTCTTTTTCCGTTTTAACTCTAACTTCAAAACCTTTGAGGTCCCGACGCGAAATGCCGGCTATAGCGCGATCGTGCCTCGAAAGTAACGGAGAAAGCAGCAAACATCAGCGAATGCTGGCGCTCGTCATACGCTTCAGATTAGAGCCCTTACGCGCTCACATTTCTTTTGTATCTGTTATCTTAGTAGTTTTTATAAGTCATTTCTCACATTTTTGTTGTGCTTACGTGTTTTTGCTGTATCAGCTAGCGCTTCATTGTAACTCACTTCATACTGACAATCTTATTTCACTTAGGCTACTTGCAATAAATGTGTATATCGACACTGTCGACTACCATAGATTAGGGACCTCAGCGAGGGAACAATGCAAGTAAGAAGAGCAAAATTTAATTTTTCTTCATTTTTTATTTTCTTTTCTATTTTTCAGGACACCCTGGAAGTGCACTCCGTTATCTTGCGTCCTATCCAAACTTTGTGCACACTTACCCCCACTAAAACTGTTTCAGAATTCTACGCTTTTTCTCAGTTTCTTCCTTCTTGTATTGAGCCCTTTACACCTTATATACACTTACCTATAGCGCATTTTACATCACGCGCAAACGACTTCTACTCACCATGACTATTTTATGTTTTAGCAGCGCAAAACATCCGCGCGTTTTGGTTCAAGTACATACATTTTTTTTGTTCAGGTCGAGTCGTTTAGCCAGGAGGCACTATAGAAGAACAACGGTCTACGCACAGCAATCCCGACATGGTCGATGTGTCCTTGCTCCGCCGTGATCAACGAGGACACCAGCCACTTTCGTCCAGTGCCCGGTTACATCACCCTGCTCTCGCGGAAGGCTGGACTGAAGTCCACTCTTTTACTTAGCTGGTCGCGTAGGTCTCGCTGCTCAGCAGCAAGAGACAACGCCCGTTTTTGCGCGAGCGAAACATGTGAAGCTAGTGTGTTAGTCATGTTTATTTTAGTTACCCGTAACCCAATTCCATCTGGGCGTTGTGTAAGCGCGCGCTTGAACACCGTTGCCTCACCGTGGCGCGCGTAAGTAAAATTAGGCGAGCTAGTGCGTAGCAGTGGTTGGAGAGGAGTGAGAGCATGACTTGTGGAGATATGTTTGACCTTTTAAATCGCAACTGTTTCAGTGAGACCGAGCAGTATGCAATGGTTGGCGTGTGGACGCGCGATCGAGTGTCATCGCAGTTACGGTACGCGCTGGTCCACAAAACGGCCATTTGGTTGGTTGGATGAGTATGATGGTCCGCTGGTTGCGCCTCTAGCCGCCGACAAGCTTTTTTCGTATTTAGTCACCCGTATGTAATTTTAGTTTACTTAGCTGTTTAGTAGTACAACTTTTATCATATAGTCGTATTTATCCACATTTATTTGTATTTAATCCCACTTACTCTAATTTGCATTTAATCTATGTTGTATAATCTTTGCTATGTGTTTTTACTGTGTGTTCGATTTGGCACGGGCCGAGTTTTTATCCTCCATAGTTCCTTGTCGCGCGCTCTACTGTGCTGCCGATGGTTATTTATTCCTTTTGCTATACCTTGTTAGGTGCTCTCCGCTGTGGACTCCAGCGCTATCACGTAACCACCATTCGAACGTCCAAGTCCACTGTTTCGGGGGGGGGGGGGGAGTGTCGCGGCTCGCGATGCAAGCCACTCCTCGAAACAGGAGGCCGGGAGCGCTGGCTATCGCTTTGCTTGGCGCGCTACTCATTTCGCGCCAAGACCTCTCCTGCTGGGCGCGTTGCCAAGTCACAGGGTATATAAGGGCGCGCAGGCCGCGGTCTACGCCTCTTCGAGTTTCGTTCGTATCGATCGTTTCATGATATTGTTCGTGCTAGCAGCGCCTCCAGCAGCTCCCGCAGATGATCATCAGTTTTGAGCGGTTGAGCCTTCGTCATCTTCTTGGTTTTGGAGACGCGCAGCTTGTATTGTGGTTTATCGCACAGAAGGAACGGATTGCGGGAGCGGAGAGGGGTCACACCGTCCCGGAAGGGCTAGGGGCCTGCGGTTGACCCAGTGGAGAACCCGGAACACATGTTGGAGACGATTATCGTGGAGCATCGGCAGCACGGGACGAGGCGGCTCGTCCCGTGCCTTCCTTTCCTTTGTAGTTTTAGTAGCCTAATAGTTTTTAGTAGTTTTAGTAATAGTTGTTTGTGTTTTTGTAGATAAATGTAATTTGAACTAGTCGTGCGTGTGATATTCGTGTTGTACGGGTTTGGGATGTTGGCGTCGAGCAGACGCGCTAGGATCGCGCGTACTAGCGCAGAAGCGGTATGTCCTGGAGTCAGGAATTGTGTCGTCAGGCGGACGAGCACTAGGGCGAGGGGTGCTGAGCACACCGAGCCGCAACAATGGCGATTGAAAAGTCTTCTTGGAAGGGGGAAGGAATTCAATAAAACTATTTTGGATCATAAGGTTTTACTTTCGCTTACAAGGAAGATATTTTTGATTGAAGTGCGCGCTTCAGACGAAATCATCAAGCTGGTGAGCACTATGTGCTTATTCAAAATACTCCTGCTGCCCACCTCCGTGGACGATTTGTGAGCGTTTCTTGGATAGAATAATTACGCGCAAAGGCACAGAATCGTACGAAATGCTCAGATGGGCCAGTGCTGGGATAACAGCACTTTATCCATCAAATACTTACTGTCTAAGAACTCACACTCTAAAAAGGCATTACCTGAGTACTTTATTCATTGAATACTTTCTTCCTAAGAACTCACACAATAAAAAGGCACTACCTGAGTTATGAACGTGTTAAGATCGTGATTATTTTCTCTAAATCTGTTAATTTTTTGCTTCAGATAACGCTCATTTAGAGGGGCAGAACAAGTCACGAAGACAGATTTGAAGTCAGTGATCAATGCTTTACAAAACTGGTAGCGAATTTCTTCGGAAAGCCACTCCCACAAAACCTTTTTCATTTCTCAATTCTTCAGCAATTTTTCAGTGACCCGTAAGCACTCTATTTCCTTTGCTTTCACCCCCAAATTAGTTTCCAGCCTGCCAGTGTGGTGCCATGTGTATATGGTCTATTTCAATCACAGAAGGAAAGAAAATAAAAACGATAATCGGAGGTTCCCTACAATTACTTATTATAGGCGCTAACAAAGTAAATAGCAATGAAATTTAGACTGACTTTTTTTGCAGACTTAACGGATTTCCACAAACGACTCCTTCGCCATTGTGAAAGATTACAACGTAGTCTGCAACCATTTCTGCAGTACATGCCGATGTTGTGCTGATGATCACACATCTGTATGGAAAAGTTGAAAATAATTTCAAGTTCTATATCGTATTACCTGTTATCTCTTTCACGATCTAATAATTTTTTCAATAATATCATGGATTCAGGGCTCAAGTCATCGAACGGTTCCTCTAGCAAAACAATAGTGGAATCACCAATAAACGCAAGAGAAATGCGTAGAAGTTGTTTTTGAGTAGGAGTTAGATTTTCGACAGGCTGAAAAAACCTGTAGAAAGTCACGTTTTATCTCAAACACTGAGAAGCTTTCTGAAAGCATGGTATATAATTTTCATACATCGCTGTATATGTGCACCTTCTTTGTAAGCGTGTGCATATGTAAAGAATAGATGATTTTGCACAGGATAGAAAACAGCGTAGCACTCTGACATATATCAGGGATGAAAGTCCTTGATCGGATAAACGATAGAAATGTGGCGTTGCGATAGATTTTACAAGCCTACAGAGGAAGATAGAGGTTTTGTCAGGATTGTGACAAAAGGACGCCTGGCAAACAATTTTGCATTTGAATCGAATATTATGACTTTCGTTGGCAGCGCGAGCGGCGCTTCAGTTGATCGTTTATCTGGAGGCGCTTATCTTTTCCAAATCTAGAAATTCTCACGCTTTTCAGATCCCAAGGTGAACGTCTATGTAATGAAAAATATGTGTCAAATTTGGTGCATTTAGGAATTTGGGTACGCAAAGTTACGGCGAGTAGAATTTAGAAACGCGTGAATTTCCAAAATTCACCAACGCTTCTATCTCTTTTAAAAGACAGTCTGCAGCTACTTTCGAACGCACGACAACTTACAGGAACAGTACTATCGAATAGTGCTTACTGGAATTTTTCATGTTACACAGACGCTGTATTACATCCTTGCGAAGGACCTCCGTAGAAAAAATTCGAGAAAACTGACAAAGGAATATCGAGGGCACGCTGTACATCAAAAGATTTCCCTCGACGATCTGAGCACAATGCTCTTTCCGGATTTAGAATATATCTGATCCGAAGGAAATTATGGCGTTGCGTGTTCTGCGTGATTCCCATGATTCAGCGGATCTGGAATGTCGTGAACTTCTCGGAATATCGTGGACTCGGCGAAAATTCCGAAATCTCGCGAAGTTCATGGAAGGTCTGCACATCCTGCATCCTGTGAGCGGTGTTGTAATCTTGAGCAGATTTTAGAATAAATTCGACCAGAGTGACTCTCTACCATATTTACAGTATACTTTCTATGTGTCATCAGCGTCAAATCAATGACAATACTGTATCAGCACACTGAACAATTTAACCAAACAAAAATCTGCAAAATTAAACGAAAACTTACTGTCTAGAGCATACGGTGTCCTCGGATTCAGAATTCGTCCATTATGAAGCGAGATACGGCGATGCGAAGCGGACTCTGACGTACTCTAGTAGTGTGCGGCGCACTCCGCTGCTCTCCGGCGGACTCTAGTGGAGATGACGCAATCTTCCGCACTCCGGCGCACTGCAGCGCACTCCGGCGGACTGCAGTGCAGTGCACCACACTCCGCTGCACTCTAGTGGACTGCGTCGCACTGCAGCGCACTCCGTCGGAGTGCGCTGCACTGCGACGTTATGAGCGGTATTGTACCTTAGTTCAATGATACGAAACTTCGGCTTTGGAAAAAGTTTGAGATGCTTATTACGTTTTGCTCAACAGTAGAAAAGTTATAATCCTTATTGAATAGCATTTTTTGTTTCTCGTTCAGTAGTCCTCCATTTCCGCTCAGGCTTTCGCTCTGGCATACATGTCCTCATCCGAGGACATGTATGCCATCTTTCAAAAGTTGCTGGGGTACTCAAATGCATTTCAAAGTAAAAAGCGCAAAAGTTTTCATACTGATTGACCATATCAGACTAGCCTCGATTTTAGAAATTATTTGTTATTGAAAAACTGGGAAGAAAAAAATCAATGTCTGCGAAGATAAGAAGTGGAGAATTGGAAAGCAAAAAGGTGCTTTATATATTGTGTCCTCACCTCATCCATGTATTCCCCCAGACCTAGGATGTCAGCGAAAACTTCGGTTTCTTCTTTCCATTTTCCATCCCCGCATTTCAGCCCGTAAAACAGCCACAGATATTCAGACACGGTTAATTTCGGGAGGAGAGCGTTTTCTCTTGGACAATATCCTACGCAAATCAGACCCTTCCTGGTATTCTTCCTCCTTTCAACATCAAATATACTGATAATTCCTAAATCATAAAATCAAATGGATGTACTTTGGTCATTCTCTGTTGTGACTTATTGTAGTGTTTTTGAGCAACTAACAATTGTGATACTGTGATTGCTTTAGATACGGAGATAGATAGATAGAGATACGGATCCCAAAACTTACTTGTTACTTGTCTGTCCCAAAACTTGCTTGTTACATCGATCAGAAAACTGTATTGTCAACAGCATATTTTATTAGGTTGGAAACTAAGTTTTGCAACTGGTTTCGTAACTTCACTCTCTTTGGATATGGCGCACTCAAACTCTGGCATTATGTAGGAGACAATGTGAGCTACAAGTGAGCACAAATTTTCTAAATTTTGAACACGAAATAGAAGAGTTTTGTTGACTTCTTTGGTCTATTAAGAAAGAAACAAAATTTAGGGGCATATCCAGATTTGGCGTCCTCATAAAATCGAACGAGTCGATGTACGCAAGAGCTGTTGGGGACCACCGTCAATGACTAAAGAGTCCGAAGCTCAAATTCCGCCGACACTTTACATAGTAAGGTTATTTGACCTGCCAAATGCGAATATCACATTCATTTGTTGAATCAACGCCTTTTCCTTGTCTAGGGTGAGACCCCATGTCGTACATCTACAGTAATCCTACAAAAAAGCCCTTATCACGCAATTTCACTATCGCTTTCGTGATCAGCATGTCGGATATCATCCCTATACAAAGTTTCAGCCAAATCCGTCAAACTTTGAATTTTCCCCCTTCATACCATGCACCTATCGCAACCCTCATTGCGACGTCAGAGTTTGGTGGGACAGCAGCTGCGCTTGTAGCTCACGTAATAACCAACGCAGTGGCAAAATTTGAGCGCGCCATGTTGAGTGAGAGGAAAGTTACGAGACCAGTTGCAAAACTTAGTTTCCGACCTAATATTTAGTTCTCCACTGGATTCATCTCATACAAAGTTGATGCAGAATTTTTTATAATTTTGATTTTCCGAGACAGTGCGGTAATAAGAAAAATCTGCGACCTTTTCCACGAATATTCTATTTTAGCACTCCCGTGTCAGATCAAAGCTTCCCCATGAACGTGTGGATTACAGCTATGTACAAAACTTCAAAAAATTCACGGGCTATTTCGCTTTAAAGACTAAGCCAAAATTTGGAGTGCCGTGTGCGAATTTTGATTCTTCGACGTATGAATCCCTTAATTTCTAGAATCAAAACATGAGATTGTTCACGATTTCAGAAGTAAATGGTCTTGTCCTGGTCACTCAGAAAGCCAACTTGATACAGTTTTGTCGCCAACCTTCCTGGTGAATAAACATTGACACTTACTTTTGAACATCGAAGGCTCTTTACCCCTTTGCCAATCACAGGATAAGTGATGTTAGGGAAGACATACCAGACCGAAAAGTTGTATGCCTGTGGTACGCAGTTGCACAAGGACAGCGAGCAGCGCTCAAGTCTCTTAAAAACTATATCTTCTCTGCATTGCGAGAAATCGTAGATACTGCGATGATTCCGTAACAAACTTAAAAATGAAACTCAATATGTGCTTTATCTAAGCATGGATTCTTGGACTGGGAAAACCTGTCGAACTTTGTACACAAATGTTTCAGATGGGACTGTGTGACATTACCCTTCTGAAGATAACGATGATAATTCCCTCTAAAGGCTTTCAAAGCTATTCATTACATTTCGCAAGATGAACATAGACTTGCAAAACCTGGCAAGAACTTGCTGCAATGATGGTACTCTTTTTGCTATCACAACTCTAGCATGTTTCCATGAGGTACATCCAAAAGTTTGTGCGGTTTTTAGCCTTTTCTCCAATCATCATGGCTTGTTGAAAAGCGCTAAGCGTCTGCTTTTTTGTGCGTTGTGTGTCTATCTGCACGAAATTCATAGGGGAGCTGCAGCGAAACTATTCAGCTACAATTTTGCATAATCCACCATGCACAAGGATGAGCCTGTTCGATAAGTGGGCCCTTCAAAATCTGCGCGTCAAACGGGTCCACCCGGCTGTTGATACGCAAAACTAGGTCGCTAATTCGACTTTTTGCAAATTTATGATTTGCCTGACAAGTAAATCTGGGCTCCATGAATTTTAGCCCAAAAAGTGCTCAAAAAGTTTGCTTTTCCGCGAAAACAGCGCCAAAAAGTGGTGAGCGCGCAGATAGTCAATTTGGTAAGGTTCTACTTAAAAAGTGAAAAGATTTTTGCACGAATTTACCTTAAGGTGAACATTATCTTTGCAACAACTATCACGCCGAAATTGAATTCAACAATCGTTTCAAATCCGCATTTGTTCCCTTGCAAATTTCCTCTCAAAGTTGCCGAACTTACATGGAGATGTTTCAAGAATGAGCAGTTGTTTACAATTCTTGTGATGTTCATCATCGCGCGTTATGCGAGCACGAGGTTTGTCTACCGTCACTTTGAACCAGTACATCATCTCTGCTTCGCGGAGGTTCGCACTGGCTCTGCTATCCCCGTGCCCTCTCAAAAGTGTTCTATGCAGAATTTTTCCTCTTTGCTCCTGTAATGTTTTCGTTAGGATTTCTTCATGCTATTTGGAAATCGTCGCAATCTTCAACCCATCATTTTAAGAACCGTATTCAATATTTCTTGAGATTTTTGTTGTGTACTTTTGAAGCTTTGATAACATTTAGGTAGTAAACAAAAAGCTACAAAAACCGACTTTTGGCATCGATGGCTGGCTTTTCAATGTTTGTAGGAACCAATTTATAATAGTCTTCACATTTGCAAAGTCCAAGAATATACAAACGCTTCAAACGCCATGAAATCTTCGTAAATTTCGAAAAGTCGGTTATGGTTAAACTCAAATTTCAACAATTAAATGAGTTTTCACTAAGCAGTAAGTTTCTATAATCGTGCGCCACACTTGGCAGAAGCTTTCTCAGTTCAAGCTGATTTGATGGATAATGCGGAAGGTACAGCGTTGAGTTGTTAGTCCAGATACTTTTCCTTTTAAAGCTACGGTAAATCAAAGATAAGATAGTAGTATTAATTCGGATGACAAGATATGGGCTACAGAAAAATTCGAAGGTTGTTAGAGAAATATACTACCAAACATTCGGAGTTAAGGAAGTTGTCCAATATTGCAAAACTCCATAAAAAATCACTCGTGAAAACGCGAGAATGGGACCGTGATTTGCAACCCAGAAGCCAGAACTACAGCGATTTTTCTACATCCAAATTGAAAGCTCCTATTTCTAGCAGCCTATCAATCAAGCTCATATATACTATATACGCTCATACAATATGCAGCCAAAGTCTCAATCTCTTGGCATGACCCCATACCAAAACAGATGGAAAGAAGACTGCATTAAGTTTTATGGAGGCGTCATGGAAGGTAGATCTGGAAAAGCTCACCGCAACGAATATTAGGTTGCCCCGAAAGTTTTGTCGCTTTTTTAAAAGATTATGAAATCCACAGTTAAGAACTAAACGACTTTTGAGACGCATTGATGCAACTTTTCCTTTCCCCTTAGTTATAATTGCGAAGCACAATTTTTTGAGCTTTGCAATAATTGCCAAACATTGGGTGGAGGACTATATGTCGCCGAAGAAGGGCGGTCCTCGCAGTCATTTGCGACAAATACGCACCCTTGTACATACGCGGACATGCGTTCCTGCAGGGAATCCGCGCGGGACTCTTCCAAATCCGGCGACATATAGTCCTCCACCCCCAAACATTTTGCTCGTCATTTCTACCTCTTCAAAGTTTGGCTAATATTCAAAAATTGTGTTGCAAAGCCTTGGAGGCTAAGTATGTCATAAAACAAATCTCGGAATATACAGCGGTAATTCTAGATTCTGCTGATCTTCTGTGTTTAACTTTGGAAAGATTATTTTTTGAAGATCGGTTTTTGGTAAAGTCATGAAACACGCAACTGTAGCAAAAACATGAAGCTTCTAGAGTTTTCGCTGGAATTTGACTATTACTAAACATTATTTGTGTAGCATAATCAAGTTTGATTTGCTTTGGAGATTTTGCAATTTTCAGTACTCCTATGCGTTAAACGTAAGCAAAAAGCCGCGGTTTGCAAGCAGATATTTATTTTAAACTCGATAAACGTGACCTATGTAATTTCAAATGGATGTGATGTAAAGGTTTACTTTACATAACAGCTACCAGCGCTCTTCAAAAATATTAGGATAAGACAGAATTTTGAAAATTGGCTTTACCGGTAATTGCTCAAAAAGCCATGGCGATAATTGCTAATACAGCATAGATCAAAAGAAATCCCACTTATAGAAAAGAAGATAAAAGTTTGAATCGAACGAGACTTAGGTCTTCCATCAATCTATGTTCTGTAAGTTTTAGTGACCGATGAAAGAAACGAGGACAACAGGACAAACCAATAAGTTTACGCAAGCCAAAAGAGCATAAGTTCTTTTCTCTAATGACAGATGCGTATAAACTTTTATGAAAAGATTGGATTGCATCTAGAAAATGTGAGCCCTCTGTTGTAAAATAGAATGAATTGTGATAAATCCCCCTCAAGAAAGACGAGAGGTTTTTTTAGCAGCGACCAATTTTACAGCATCTAATGACATGTGGATCAAAGCATCCTTTGATTTAACGGGATTAGTGGTTGAAAGGCGACCGCTCGCACCTGTGACGCAGTCTGCGCTCTCTCGCGAGCGTGCTCTCTGATCATTTTCTAGCCTTGACTAGACTTCGAAAGCCCCGCTTCCGGCCGTCAGTCCTTGAATCAAAAGGTAGTTCCATTTCGAAAGATCAGCGTTTGGAACGTATTTGCAGATGTTGCAAAATTCACGAAAAATTACCTTGTGTTGGTAATGTTACTCCTGCGATCAATTTCAATAAGGTTGATTTTCCTGATCCTTTAGGTCCAAGAAGTGCAACAACATGGAATCAATCAAATTAGTTTCAGTTGATTCATTGCCTGTTTACTAATGAATAGCTGTAAAGATTAGTTAATCGCAATCAATTTGTTTTTGAATTCTACTATCTGTAAAGTTCTGTGAGCTTATAAATAGGAGTGTTTTTAATTTCTAAGGCTTTCCTTTGGCTTTTTTGCTTATGGGTTAGTACGACTACGCCTCAGCGCACAGGCCAGATCAGCGGCACACAGTGTCTGGCGTGCTTCGATAACGTACAATTTGTTTCAGCTATGACAAAGCCGAATTGTTGTCCTAAGTTACGCGATCGCGGCGTTAAGGACCCTGTATGTTCACGCGGAAAGCATAATTGGAAAAAGGAGAATGGGCAGGGAGCAAAACAGATTCTCTCAGATCCTGTTATAGCAAATTGCAGATACTGCGCAAGACTATGCCGATGGAAAAGCGCATCATGCCATTTGACCTGATTCAGATTGACAAGGGAAGCTTGTTTAGTCGAAGTGGCCTTGCTGAATGAGATGTATACCACACTAGAGGGCATAAAATGCCGATTCCAGAACTGCCTTCCTTATCTGCAGAACGTTTATGGACGAGGAGTTGTGAGCGTTTTTGGAGCCAAAAAAAAACGTGCCTTTTTGATAAAATAAGTCCCTAAAATCTTACTGGCCCTAAAATGATGCAACCAACTGTGATATAAGTCTGCTCCAATCCTTACCAGGCCAAAATTGGCATGGCGGGAGACCGCGTCGCTAGGGTTTCGCGGTCACGCCCACGGCCTGCTTCTCTGCTCTCTCTTCAATCTTTTTTGCTTTCTCCGACAGCGCGCATATGCAGCGCAAACCGCTAACGCTGCGAGCGCCCAAATCTACGCCGACGGTTCGGCTTGATTTCGATTGGACCAGACTGTACGTTTTATTTTGGAGTATCTTTTAAGCGCTCTGATGATTTTCACTGCTCCACTGAAGAGCCAGAAAAAGTATTATGGCTATTTCTTCCTGGTTGCACATTCAATTTTTGGTCCAATAAGCGCACATGACTACTCGTCCACAAACGTTCTGCAGATAAGGAAGGCAGTTCTGGAATCAGAATTTTATGCCCTTCAGTATGGTGTAAGTTCCAGGCCACTGACTGAACATGCATTCCTTGTAAGACAGACTGCACGGTTGACAGCTCCTTCATAGCCAGCGATCTCTCACGCAATACCAGGCCCTTATTTGATGTTGTTGAATGGTGCTATTAGTGTGTGATATGCTGTTTCGTGCGTATTCGTGAATCTATCCTTTGTTGACATGTGCGCATGCTGCGGCTAAAGTTTAGGATAGAACTTATAAGAGGAAGGTTGACAGATTTTTTTGCTTTACAGACTTTACAAACATTACTTTTCGAGACCGTGCGCACTGACATCTACGCCGGAAAGGGTATAGCAGCTCAAAAGAGCGTCATATCCTAAATTTCCAGTATCAGGATTTCACCTGTCTATCCATTTGCATATATTCTTTCTATCCTTCACTATAACCCTATTGAAAGGGGCGAAAAGTTGAGGCATTTTGAAGTTTTTATATGATTCTCTGATAATCCTTGGCGGCCGACCGTCTTGTATTCAAAGTCAACAGAAACATTCCCAAGTTTTACTGATTATCTACTCCAGCGGTGCCAACAAGGGCTCAGAAATCGAAATGGCTAATTTAAACAAACTGCATACCATTAGATGCAGCATAAAACGCTGACTCCGAATCTTTATTCAATATCTGCTGAGAGCCTATGTGGGCAAAGTTATGAGCCGTTAAACACGTTACTTGCTTGAAAATTGTGCATGAAAAGCGCAAATTGGGCAGTGCAAGACATGTCTGGCTTAATGCTGGGCCAAAACATGCAGCTAGGTTACTTTATATTTCTGGAGCCTAGAGGTGAGCTGAAAGTGCACCAATGTGCTCAGTTTCGCAATTTTTGTGTGCGATTTTTTTTGAATTGAAATTGCTCATAACTTGCTCCACAAACACGCTAAGCACTGAAATAGAGATTCGAAATCAGCGTTAAATGTTGCATCGAATGGCAGGCAGCTGCTTGGATTGGCCACTTCGACTTTTGACCATCCCAAATAAGCAGCATTGTGACATGAGCTGCAAGTAAGTACTTTTAGCTGTTGTTTTAGACACTTATGCAAAAGTTCTCGACGCATTATGAAGGCGCTTATGAAATGTAAAAGGTTTCACAATGCCTGCTGCCGCATCACTTCTATATAGGTTGCATCATAAGTCGCATCATTGGTAAATTAAATGTGCTTGCACTTTGCATCTGGTGATTACTGCATAATCTTGAGAGGGATTGAGCATAGATGAGGCCTGACAATCGGTAAATAAGTACTATTATTTTTGTTCACAATAGTCACCTTTTACAGCAAAGAAGCAGAGAACTTTTGGTTAGCCTATTGCTAACCAGTAACAGTGATGAATTTTGTGTGCGTTGGAACAAAGGTTCAGCTGCGAACAAAGGGTTGCTTAAATTGAAATTTTTATGCACTAAAATCGTCAAAATCTGCCAAATATGATGTTTGAGGTGATAAGGACGAGAGAAGTTACTGAGTAAACGGTGAAGAAGGCAAACCTGGCCACAATACGCTTTCATGGATAAAGCTTTCAGAGAACTTTCTTTTTTATCTTTCCATTGTTTACTGACGTTCCGCAACACTACTGTTGGATCTATGCGGGTCTCAAAACCATCAGGGTCGTAGCGACGCTCACTTAACGAAGAGGATACTTGAGCAACACTCTGAAAACAGTGTTTTCTGCGGACAATAGTTAGTTATGAAAGATAACTTGAATTTGACAATTATGTCTTTAGCTTATACTCGATTTCTAAAACTGTGGAACATACGCTCGGCGAATCATTGCGTAATATACCCCAAACAACCATGAAAGGGAAGTTTTGTTTGCATGCATAAATTTCATTAAACGAATAAATGACTTCGAATGGAGTGAAGCAATGCTCCTTTAATTTAGCAAAGGTCTTTCTATGTGTAAGTGATACCCTTTCTCTATAGTTTCAACTTAGTTGAGCAATAATGTTGATTTGACATAATGGTCATGTAACATGCAAGGCTCAAAAAAGTACGCATGCTCAGATTATTTCTTTAGAGTTAGCAGCTCACCCGGTATGTGCTTTCCATGGAATATGAAACGCATATTATATACGACATCTGAACAAACGCAAAAACGATAAAACTTGACGTTAGATAAAATAGCGATTCTAAAGGCGACATAACATCGTGAAAACACTGCTCTAGATCAAAAATCCCAGCTCCTTAAACAGAGTATTAGTTAGAGGAATAGCTTTGAGTTGCGTACTCACCGCGTGTACGATCAATTATAATGCTTTCAAAAAATGTTCTGTACGCACTTGCCGGATTCAAAGCCAAAAACCATGTGCATTTTTCACTGATAGGTGTGAGAAACGAGACTAGGAGCATGATGGTGCACACCAAGAATGACGCTCAAATAAACCCCATTTTTCGAAATTTTTGACGAACACCTTATTTACTCTCCATTCACTTCATTTACTTCGCCAAATGACAATTCAATCATGCCTCATTTTGTAAAGTGAATGAAGTGGTTGGTGAATCAGATAATCAAATGTATATAGCATATGCCTTTCTGTAACAAGCTTACTTAATCCTGCAGTTAGAGAGGAAGGTGCCAAGATTGAGCATAAATGAGCTATTATGGCAAATGCGAGTGCTGTCAAAACGCAAGTAAGGTCAAATAGAAAAATATAAGTCTGCAAAAAAGCCAGATGAAATTTAGAGTAAAGATTTGCTTTGCTTGATGTGCCGATTGTTGTAAAGACTCACATGCCAAAAGTAAGCAGTGTTGAGAGTTTCGAGAAAGATAAGTACGAAACAAATGCATAAAAATGATATCATTACGTGCGAAAGACAAAAACTCAGTTGTCCTGTTCCTGTGGTCTCAATCAGCTTCTAAAATCATTTGATAGACTGAATTACTTAATTAAAATGATTCCTGCGCTCACCTTCAACCCACAAGACTTTTCTTTACAAATCTCACTGCATCTGGAGGCAGTCGCTAATACTGTCATCAGAAGTATCACTGAACAAAATCTATTTGAGAGTTTGAATTACAAAATACGATTTCATACTTTGTTTGAGTAATATATCTAGACTTATAATAATAAGGGCTAAGGTTTTAGGTGACTGTGTGTGTGTTGTGTGTGTATGTGTGTGTGTTGTGTGCGTTGTGTGTGTGTCTGTTACGAAATTTGTACAGCGTGTTCCAGCCAGCGTTCTAAGCCCAAATCTTGCGTAGCGCATGCTACCTTCATGAAAGTCCAACACGCAAAAGCACAGGTAGATCCATTGAGTGGATTCCTCAGAAACTACTCACCAAACGGACCCACCTGGCTTCTGTTCCGCAAAATTGGGTCCGTACCACAGCTTTTTGCAAAGTCGTGGATGTGTTTGGTAAGCAAATGTGCAAGCGATGGACTTTAGCCCAAAAATGGTCAAAGTTTACTTACTACATAACGAAAACGGCGCCAAAAAGAATTGATTGCGTAAATAGGTAATGTGCCAAGGTTTCTAGCCAAGTACTTGAAGATTTTCGCACAGAGATGTAGCTCACGGTAACTGTTGCCTTTATGGCAACTACCAAGCCATGACAAAATCAAAAATCTGTTCAAATTTGCGTTTGTCTTCCTGCAAAAAGTTTTATCCATGCGAAATCACCGATATCACGTGAAAAAGCTCTCTAAATGAGTAGTTGTTTACTTTTATTCGTGGTAGTTGGCATAGCGCGGTGAGTTCCAGTGCCATGATTTTACGAGATAGTAAAATGAGTAAGGCACGTAGATAGTAAAGCTAGTGGGAGCCTCTGCGAAGCAGAGGTGACGCACTGTCTAGAATATTTCATTATCATGTATCTCTCTTTTGTATTGTTATATTGTACAACTAAAGCGTTCAATTACCCAAGTGTGAGGTATTATAAATGATTTGGCACTTGTGTGGTTGTGTTAGTTGTATTACGCAACACCTCACTTTTTGTTGCATCGATTTCCACAAGAAAAAGTATTACTATAGCGCTTTCTCAAATCACCTCACGAACCAAATCACGATCCAGATTATTTTTTCCCAGTTCAAACGCATCGAACGTACAAAGAAGGGAAGCAAGCGCTAGAAAACAATCAAACGCGTCTAACAATTCCAAAAGTTTGGAAAAACTAATATCTTACCAGTCTATGCGAAACGACAATATAGCATTGGGACCAAATGCGCGAACAAGGATACCACCAGGAAACACGTCCTGATCACAGACGTGAAATCAATTCCACAGCAGGATCACATTAAAATTTGATTCTATTCCAGTAGCTGGGCCTCAATGTTTTAAAGTCGCGGATTTTGCTCACACTCAGTTCAAAGAGGTTACTCGACCCACTGATGCCAAATAGCATAATCATTGTGCTTGGTAAGACGACAACTCCTGGGGTCACGATAGGAACATGTAAAAGGGCAAAACCGTAGATGTGGTTGAGATTCCGTCTAAGAAAGTTGTTTTAACATGCTTATTACAAAAATCATACTCACATCGCGTTTTCGGAAGTACACGCGGAGTTGCGGTGAGTATATGGTAGGTGTCAAATCCATAACCTTGCTTGAATCTTTGCGCAGCGAAGTTGTTTGATTTTCTAATCTCGAATATCGTATTCATTTCCTATGATGAAGTCTTTACCAAACTTTTTTTGCATCTAAATTGACCCGAAAATAATCGCTAATTGTTGTTGCGATTGACAAAGATTGTAAGAAAATGGCGCTTTTCTGATATTATAATGATAATCATGTTCAGCGCGCAAAGGAACTCGCTCCCCCACAACAAATTCAAAACGAATCCATGGTTTGACCCTTTACCGTACACCCACGGTAGCACCAGAAAATGGCGCTAACGCACACAATAACCCTGATAAGACACGAGTCTAATAATCCCCTAAACTGAGAGCGAAATTCATGACATTGAAATCTTGGGTCACGGCTAGCGCCAAAAATGGATACAAGATTATCGATTGCGAGAATCAAGGCATTCGGCAAATAGAACTATTTTTGAAATTGTATACAAGAAAACAGCGCAAAAAAGCTAAAAAACGATGATGAAAACTTACAAAAAGGAAGCCAATCTTAGCGTTTGGAGTCAGCGATGCGTTATTGCTGAGATCAGAGCAAATTGCGACGATTTCAGTGAAGGAAGTGTGCCCGGGGAAAAGGCCAGCGATTTCGCACCGAACAATATCACAACCGAACAGCAAAATAATCAGCAGGGAATGAACTCGTAACAGTCGTGCTGACAGAGAATCGCGATGCGATGATATCGCGTGATGTATGCCTGGCCCTTTATGCTCGACGACGGTGCGCATTCATCTTTGCGCGGCTCGGTCTTTATTCTCACGCTACGCAACTTTGATGCCGTTATGCGTCTACTCGCTGACGGAATGCTCGTTCTTCTTCATTTTCTTGAAAGCTGGTGGTGCATTGCATCTTGCGATCGGCTCAGCACTCAATTCTGCAGCTTTATTATGTAAAAGTCTCTCTTACCCTTACGAAAACGCTTAGCACGGCTATCAGCACTTTCACCTTCTCGTTGCCTGTGGTTACTCTCACGTTCTTTAATTCAAACTTCGACTCGTGTTGAACTGCTTTCATTTTGTCAACGCCGCTGCTGGCGTTGACAAAATTGAAGCATTCTGAAGACTACGCCCTGCATCTTCGTCGGCGTCTTCACCCTCGCTGCGTCTAAATTGATGCTCAGCATTTTCGAGACGAAGCTCTGCTCTTTCCTTAATTTTTCGTCCCGGTGGCGTCTCTGCTAACCTGCGGCGTTTATCGAACGGCGCTCAGTAGCTTCAAAACTCTCACACTCACGACGCCTTTGAACAGGCTCCGCCATATCCGCAGTCGGAACCCTCTTCGTTTTAGCTTCAAGTTCTTCGCGGTGACGTTGCATATCTTGTGCATACTTAATAGAATCATGCAAATTTCCCCACACTGACGGTGTAACTGATCGTGTCCGCTTCTAAGCGCAAAATCTCTGGAGTGGTAGTAATTTAGTCGAAACCAACAAATGATGTGATAGTTCAATCATGGTTACATCGTGGTAAGCATGATCAACTTTTCACGGCCACTCAGTTCAATCGGTCATACAAAATCATGAAACAAGCAAGTAACTAGTAGAAAACCATAATTGTTTCATGCTTGTTTCATTCTAAACCAAACTATGAGTTAAACAGCAGGTTAACACCATTGTTCCCTTATCAGATAGAGTAATGAAAAACAGCACTTCATTTCATGAGACGCAGACGTGAAACCACCACATCATAGTTTAAAATGAAAAAGTACCCCCGACCACTTTTTCGTTTCAAACAATGATGTGTTGGTATTGCAAGTTAAGAAGAGTGAGGGAGATCATTCCGCAACTTACTATGAGAAAGCTTACTTGTTTACAGCTTAGATAAGGTTATAGGAAGGTGCAAGGCTGGAGACCGAACTGCAAATTTGGTAAAGTGCAATGATTGCCGACAAGCATGAGAATGGTTGGAGTTTCGTCTCCTCCAATGACTTCGCTTTGCAAGATAGCATTTCGAGGTTTCCCACTGGTTAATTCGTGGTTTCGTTGGGAAAATGATGTGAAGCTGCTGGTTAGCTGGTGTCATGAAAACACAGTTAACATGATGGCTTCGACCATATTACTACCACTCCTGATGTTCAGCGTCAGATGCATAAACGCGAGGGCGTCCAAGTCTACGCATTCCCATTTGTTGATATCTCAATCACCATTTTGCACATCCGTAGAAAATTGTAGTCGAAACTTTTTCTCTTCTTCAAAATGGGTTTAGAAACTCTTGTTTTAGAAACAAACGCTGATGCTTTGATACAGTTTAAAGGCTAAGAGTGAAGAGAGATTAGAGATTGAATACTGTCTACATGTACCTATAGTTTGAAAGAAACTCCGATGGTAAATATACCAGCAATGAGATGTGGTTGTTTGTGGTTGTTTAGTTCAGTACTCAGAAAAGTAGTCCTGCCCTGATTCGCAAAACATCGGACTGAATGAGTATATCAACGAAGGTAGGGTTCCTCAAACTAAAAATGTGGGAATTGATATTAAGATGCAGACAGTTTAAAAGTGGACGTGTAAGAACGGCCGGCGTGTTTTTTAGACCATTCAAGCGCAAGGATAAAAGAACATCTCCGAAACATTTGAAATTTGCTTTGTAAACGCTGCCTTCATGACAAATGGCATCTTTTTGGGTGTTTCTTCTTCTTTACGATATACAGAAGTCGCTGGCTTTTTATCTATCAAACATGCGTCAAGCTGGTCATAACTAATCGCAATACTTACAAGTAACGGATGTGTTAACGTTGTATGCACATTCTCCAGTGCGACACACTTTGGATTTTTTTTTGAGCGCAAAACTCCTAACGAAAAAAGGAGAAGGGAAAAAATGCGCTGCAACGGTACGACTGTCTTAATGACGCAGTTTTGCAAAGCCTGTTTTTTTTTATAGTAGCACTTTCAGAAGTACGTAAGCAGTTGTCCATTTCGGATGGTTTACCGTTTGGAAGCGGTATTCAAAGGAAAAAGTTGTGCAGTATAGGTGATCTATCTTGATCTATTCCACTTGTATGTAGATTCTTAATTAAAAAACCATTCAATAGGCACCAGAGTTGTGACGTGAAACCTTACCATGTACCGGGTTTAGCGTTCTGGCATTTACCACATAGAAATTTGGTTTAAACGCAAACTTTTACACAGAATGCGAGCATGTGTGCCATCGCACACACAGTCCACTTTGGCGTTCTCATCCTGGATATGCAATCGCAAAAACGCAAGAGACTTATCGATTGTTATCGATTACATCAATTTGAGGTGACTAGTAACTAAAAAGGAAAGAAAATGCTAAGAACACCTTGGAAACACTTACCTGAAGGCTTGTTTCTCCATGAATCCAGGATGGGGACGCCAAAGGTGAACTGTGTGTGCAATGACACACATGATCATATGAAATGAAGCGATTGTAGAATCTGTATCAAATTTCTGTCAAAATTCGTTTATTAGACGATCTAAAGACTTTATATCAAACTCTTTCTCATCTTTGAGTAGGCTGGCTACTCGCGCTGCCATACACTATCTGTGCTCGCATTATGACCTTTTTGGAACTCACCGCCCACTGCTGGCTATGACTAATAAATTGAAACAATTATTCATTTCGAGGATTTACCATATAAAACGGATGGCTTTGCAGAAAAACTTTCTTGCAGGCTGGGAATGCGATCTTCACTTGCTGACCTCATTCTAATTTGATATACGCCGAAAGGATGACTACCACCCTAAATTACAGCAAGCGAAAATCTTCTCAGTTTCTAAAGTAAATCTTTACAAATTGACGATCTATGCAATCATTCCTTTTTGGCGCCGTTTCCGCAGAAGAAATTAGACGTTTTGCTGCTTTCTAAGGTCAAGTTTATGGCTTGTATCCATATCAAATATATCCATAGCTTAAAAGTCTGAATACGCTCCAGTTTTGCGAGCAAAATGTGCGGAAAGAATGAAAAGATCCGGCCGCCCATGAATAAGTACATAAGACATTGCTTCCTGAGCATATTCATGCATATGTCTTATATTCCACTAAACCTAGGAGGTAGTATATCACAAGTGGATGCAGTCTTTTACACGCAACGCTATTCCTAAATCACATTTTCATTTCGTCAACTTTTTCATCAATATATTGTTACACGTATGCAAAGGTCGAGACAGAACGTCTTCTTTCGTCTGTCTAAATCAGTGAGCGTTGCGTATAAAAGACTACATCCACTTGTAATATACTACCTACTAGGTTCAGTGGAATACAAGAAATATGCATGAATATGCTCAGAACGCAATGTCTTATGTACGTATGCATGGGCGGCCGGATCTTTTCATTGCATTTGCATATGATTCGGCTTGGAATGAAGTGACAGAGGAACAGCTTCCTGGTCAAACACCGAGTGATCAACATAAGCTCAAAGCGAGGATCTTCAAAAAGCTAGTTAAGCTTATAAATGTGATGACGAAAAGTCATATAAACGAGGAGACTCGCCGTTTCATGGCTTCGATAGAATGACAAAAAAGGGCCTTCCTCACTCATACTGATGGCTGGAGGACAGGATTTGCCTAAATCAAGTGGATGACATCAGATCTGATGAGCTCCCGAATCCGGATAAAGACCCATTCTGTTGGCCGTGTAATCAAATCAATCCTTTTGCTCCCTTTATGAAAGAGGAAAATGCACAAAAAATTTTCTCGACGAATGATACCAGAAACACAGACACGACGCGATGGACTCCTTCACACAGATGAAGGAGTCCGCAGAATGGTGGTTACACAACGGAACTAAGCTTAGAACTGGGAGCAGACGAGCCGCGGCGCTTTTTTGGCTTAAATTTCGCAACTTTTGCAGCTCGGCCGGAGGGTGGGCCACGATTCAGCAGGCGATGAGCCTCGGCTCAGCCGCATCGGGCCGCCCTTAGTTCATTCTAGCCCGGCCTAATTGGGTCTTGGCCCACCAATTATAGGGCTCCCCTTCGTCACTAAATCATATAAAATTTAAGGACATATGCACAGGACGCAGATACACGGTAGAACTGTGTTTTATTCACTGACATTTAAGAAAGCACACAGTAGAAACAAAAATTGAAGCCACCGATATAGCAGCTTCGGAAACCAAGTCCGACTTCAAAATTGGATAAGCTAGGTGCTATCCAAGATTGTTTACAATACAAATTCACCTTGTTTCTGCATGGAAGATTGTTTAACACATCCAAGGGTATGAACATTGAGGGCAGCCTGACCATGCGTCGTACATCACGCAAGTATCCTTTACGCTAAGACACTAAGAGCGGCCAAGCCGCGGCCTTCATTTGACATAGGTGTCGGCTCGCCCGGAATTTTTCACACGGATTTCAGTCCGCGGCTCAGCCGCTGCAATGCTCCACCCCATTATCAAAGGCCGCGGTTGAGCGGGTAAGCCCATTTCTTCCCGCGGCTCGGCCGGTGCAATGATAATGATATGAGCAAGGGGCCACGGTTTGGCCTCACTCCGGCCACCCAAATTAGGGCCGCGTGGCCGGAACGGCCTTTTAAGGCCGCGGCTCGGCCTCTCCCAGTGCCTAAGAAATTCAATGGTTGACGAAAGATGACAGAGATAGAAGTAGATGATAGATGGATCGTACCATACACCCCCTTTTGTCGAAGATGTTTCAAACGCACATAAATGTAGAGTACTGCAATTTAGGGAAATTTATTGAGTAGATATGCAAGCAAGTCAACAAGGGAGGGGATATGACGGTATTCGGCTAGAAGGCGGAAATCCTGGGTACGCCACTGTTGAAAGGGTATACTTTACTTCTGAAAACGTAAGTGAACTGCCCGCCTCCAAACAACACCTTGCCGCGTTTTTCCTTCTGTGCCACGAGAACGCGTTTGCAAGAACTCTATTGTAATCTGAGGTGCCGAATACCCTAATTTCACGCGTATAAGGCGCGGGGTGGTCCTAGCTTTCATCGAGCTGCTCAGCCGCCCCAACGTGTTTCAAGAAGCGATCCTTATGCCACACGATTCGTCAGGCAAAACGCAGCACGTTAAGGGGTTCCTTTGGTTGCGAAGT